CACATGTCGGTACCTTTAGTAGTGTAGAACTTACAAACTAACGAAATTTAGCTATTTTTAGCTTTTTCCCGCTAAAGTAGCGGCTTTTTCCAAAAGTCGTAGAACAAAAGATTCCTATATGGAAGTCTTAAGTGCAAATTTACTGATTCCATGACCCTAAAATACAGTTCGGATACCCTCCCACAAAATTCAATACTCAGGGAGCGTTAATTGTTCGAGCTGGCAACAGTGGCTATTTTCGTATAAAAATAACTTTTAAACGTGACTTTTTACAGTAATGTGTTATATACCAAAATTTAAGGAATCTCAAGGGCTACACAGTTTAAGGTTTTAAAGAAAATCGTTAGAGCCGTTTTTGAGAAAAATAAAAAAAGCTAAAAAAAAAGGTTTAAAAAATTGTCTTTTGTTCATATTTTTTTAACTATTACATTTACACAAATTGCATATAGAAGGCGTTTATAGCATTTCAAAATACCTTTCAAACGAGATGCAGCACAAGTCTGTAGCTTTAGTAGTATAGAAGTTACGGCTTTCCAAATTTTAGCTATTTATAGCTGTTTTCCCGCTAAACTAGCGAGTTTTTCCAAAAGTGGTAGAAGAAAAGTTTTTTATATCGATGTGATGAACGTCATATCAAATTTTCAAAACTTAAAAAATCATTTGATTTTATTTCAAATCATTTGAATTGATTTGATTTGATTTGAATCATGATTTGATTGATTTGATTTGATTTGAATCATGATTTGAAATCAAATGATTTGAAATCAAATCAATTCAAATCAAATCAAATCAATGATTCAATGATTTCAAATCATGATTCAAATCAAATCAATTCAATGATTTCAAATCATGATTCAAATCAAATCAAATTTGATTTTATTTCAAATCATTTGAATTGATTTAATTTGATTTGAATCATGATTTAAAATCAAATGAATCATGATTTGAAATCAAATGATTTGAAATCAATACAATGATTCACTGATTTCAAATCATAATTCAAATCAAATCAAATTTGATTTCAAATCATGATTCAAATTAATTTCAAATTTCATATCATGATTCAAATAAAATCAAATTCAAATCATGATTCAAATCAATTGAATTTGATTTGAATTGATTTGATTTCAAATCATTTGATTTATTTGAATCATGATTCAAATCATTTGATTTTATTTCAAATCATTTGAATTTGATTTGAATCATGATTTGAAATCAAATGAATCAATCAAATCATGAATCAATCAAATGATTTGAAATCAAATCAATTCAAATCAATCAAATGATTTGAAATCAAATCAATTCAAATCAAATCATTCAATTGATTTGAATCATGATTTGAAATCAAATTTGAATCATGATTCAAATCATTTGATTTTATTTCAAATCATTTGAATTGATTTGATTTGATTCATGATTCAATGATTTCAAATCATGATTCAAATCAAATCATAATTCAAATCAAATCAAATTTGATTTCAAATCATGATTAATTGAATTGATTTGAATTTGATTTGAATCACGAGATTCATTTGATTTCAAATCATAATTCAAATCAAATCAAATTTGATTTCAAATCATGATTCAAATAAAATCAAATTCAAATCATGATTCAAATCAATTGATTTTGATTTGAATTGATTTGATTTCAAATCATTTGATTGATTTGAATCATGATTCAAATCATTTGATTTTATTTCAAATCATTTGAATTTGATTTGAATCATGAGATTCATTTGATTTCAAATCATGATTCAAATCAAATTCAAATGATTTGAAATCAAATCAATTCAAATCAAATCAATGATTCAATGATTTCAAATCATGATTCAAATCAAATCAATTCAATGATTTTAAATCATGATTCAAATCAAATTCAAATGATTTGAAATCAAATCAATTCAAATCAAATTCAAATGATTTGAAATCAAATCAATTCAAATCAAATTCAATTGATTTGAATTTGATTTTATTTGAATCATGATTTGAAATCAAATGATTTGAAATCAAATCAATGATTTGAAATAAAATCAATGATTTGAAATAAAATCAAATGATTCAATCATGATTCAAATCAATCAAATTCATGATTCAAATCAATTGAATTTGATTTGAATTGATTTGATTTCAAATCATTTGATTGATTTGATTTTATTTCAAATTATTTGAATTGATTTGAATCATGAATCATGATTTGAAATCAAATGAATCAATCAAATGATTTGAATCATGATTTGAAATCAAATGATTTGAAATCAAATCAATTCAAATCAAATCAAATCAATGATTCAATGATTTCAAATCATGATTCAAATCAAATCAAATTTGATTTTATTTCAAATCATTTGAATTGATTTGATTTGAATCATGATTTGAAATCAAATGAATCATGATTTGAAATCCTTGAATCAAATTTGATTTCAAATCATGATTCAAATTAATTTCAAATTTCATATCATGATTCAAATAAAATCAAATTCAAATCATGATTCAAATCAATTGAATTTGATTTGAATTGATTTGATTTCAAATCATTTGATTTATTTGAATCATGATTCAAATCATTTGATTTTATTTCAAATCATTTGAATTTGATTTGAATCATGATTTGAAATCAAATGAAACAATCAAATCATGATTCATTTGATTTCAAATCATGATTCAAATAAAATCAAATTCAAATCATGATTCAAATCAATTGAATTTGATTTGAATTGATTTGATTTTAAATCATTTGATTGATTCATTTGATTTCAAATCATGATTCATGATTTTGAATCATGATTTGAAATCATTGAATCATGAATCAAATCAAATCAAATCAATTCAAATGATTTGAAATAAAATCAAATGATTTGAATCATGATTCAAATTTGATTTCAAATCATGATTCAAATGAATCATGATTCAAATTTGATTTGAATCAATCAAATCATGATTCATTTGATTTCAAATCATGATTCAAATCAAATTCAAATGATTTGAAATAAAATCAAATGATTTGAATCATGATTCAAATCAATCAAATGATTTGAAATCAAATCAATTCAAATCAAATCAATTCAATTGAAATCAATTTGAACTTTTGTATGTTGAAGGTGCGATCGTCACTAGTTTTTTACCTCGTTAAGAGGTGTTTTTATTTGATATCAGAAGTTTTTGTTTGTTTACATTTGCTTTCATAGGAGCTAATATATACATTTAAATTAAAATTGGTCAATCATAATTTGTGGGCCATTGTATTTAAACAAATTAAGTTAAAAAGGCGTTTAAGTATTTCAAAATACCTTTTAAACGAGGTATAGCACATGTCGGTACCTTTAGTAGTGTAGAACTTACAAACTAACGAAATTTAGCTATTTTTAGCTTTTTCCCGCTAAAGTAGCGGCTTTTTCCAAAAGTCGTAGAACAAAAGATTCCTATATGGAACTCTTAAGTGCAAATTTACTGATTCCATGACCCTAAAATACAGTTCGGATACCCTCACACAAAATTCAATACCCAGGAAGCTTTAGTTGTTCGAGCTGGCAAAAGTGGCTATTTTCGTATAAAAATAACTTTTAAACGTGACTTTTTACAGTAATGTGTTATATACCAAAATTTAAGGAATCTCAAGGGCTATACAGTTTAAAGTTTTCAAGAAAATCGTTAGAGCCGTTTTTGAGAAAAATAAAAAAAAGCTAAAAAAAAAATTTAAAAAAAATTGTCTTTTGTTCATATCTTTTTAATTATTACATTTACACAAATTGCATATAGAAGGCGTTTATAGCTTTTAAAAATACCTTTCAAACAAGATGCAGCACAAGTCTGTAGCTTTAGTAGTATAGAAGTTACGGTTTTCCGAATTTTAGCTATTTATAGCTGTTTTCCCGCTAAACTAGCGAGTTTTTCCAAAAGTGGTAGAACAAAAGTTTTTTATATCGATGGGATGAACGTCATATTAAATTTTCAAAACTTAAGAAACATGTTTTGGACAAACTGACAAACTGACAAACTGACAAACAGAATTAAATTTTCATTTTGGGAAGAAGAAGGAAATCTTATTTTGGCTATAACTTTTGAACGGAGCGTCGGATTTTGACAAATGACCCCTCATTCGACGGGTATTTTCAAAAGGAATACAACTAAAACATTGCGAGGGGGAATTTATCCCCACCGGCCCCAACAGCTCCAAATTTCGAAATTTTCATTTTTTCACTTTCACCGCTCTCTCTCCCAAGCCAATTGATTTTCTTAAAGTCTTGGTATGCAATCCTTTAAGTTATTGCAATACCTTTCGATTGGTGTATTACTCATTACGATCGGACTATCACAGCAGATTTTCAATTTTGCGGCTATATAATAGTAGTCGCCTTCGCACACTCTCCTGGTGCGCTTCGTCACTACATGGACTGCCGTCCATAGTGATATCCGCAAGGTATGTATCGTAGAGTATACCCTTTCACTCTACAAATAACGGGTATACAAAATTAAACACAAAAAACCCGTAATGCATATTGTTACGTATTATTTCTTGTAGCTTCATGCACAAAATATCGATTTGTATGCAAGCCCGCTTCTAATGCAGGTCGTCCTTGTAACAAATGCTTTGCACCCCCGCATTCGCCAATACCCCATTAAAGGAAAATGTAATAACAAATAACAATGCGTCTAAAACTAGGCCACACGAACATAATGCAGAAAACGAAATGAAAATGGCTAAAAACCTCTCGACGAATGAAAATGTGTCTTGCACAGAGCATTGCATCCAATTCGCTTTAAAGGGCGGAAAGTGGGCGGTAGGGTCAGACCTGTTAGGGCTGAGTTAATACTTGGGCAGACGGGCGAATATGTATGTACCTTAACCGGAGGCACCAAGAGACAGTTAAGTGTGCTTTGATTTGGTGGTTGGCTTGGTCAGAGCTTTCGTCGTAACCAGCCTCGGTTTACTCGTACTTTTTAGAGCCGTGTATGTCTGAGGCTAACCATTTTATTGATTTATTTACCGTTGTCCTGTCCAATTGATTATTGGCTTCATCCCTTTTTTCCCTTTACAGTCCCAATAAACCTACCACCGAGGAACAAGGTTGAACTTTTTGCAACATAATGGCATCCGGCGGGTTGGCATGTGTCAAATACTTGACATTCTTCTGCAATCTTCTTTTTGCGGTAAGTTTCAAAGAAATTTTATGACCAAGCCTCAGAAACTTGAACCCTATAAAATAATCCTTAAGACTTTGTTTTTATGGTAAAAACACAAAAAAATTGTTAAACAGTCCCCAATCACAAAAAATTGTCAATTCTACCAAGTAAATAGCTAATTATGTGTATTTGTTGTTGTGAAAGTAACTATTTAATTAGTAGAATTGACAATTGTGGTTGGGGACTGTTTGACAATTATAACAGTTGATTTTACCAAGTTTTTTTGTGAAAATATAAATACTTAATAGTTTTAGGGCGATTTTCTAATATTTAGGAAATTATTTTTATGCAGTCATATTTAAAAAAAAGTTTGATATCATAATAACATACTTAAATCACCGTTTTTCCTGACCCAGCTCACCGGACTTCTCATCTTTCTGGTGGGAGGAATGGTTCAACTGAACTATGCTCACTACTCGAATTTCGTTAGCGATCACATCTGGACCGCTCCTATTATACTAATGATTGTCGGCGCCGCCGTAGCCGTGATCTGCTTCTTGGGATGTTGCGGAGCCCTGAAGGAGAGCAGCTGCATGATCCTGAGCTTTGCCATTCTCGCTGTGGTGATCTTCCTGTTCGAGATCGGATTGGGCTTTGCTGGCTATGTGAAGCATACTGGCCTGCAGCAGCTGATGGAGAGTCAGTTCAATTCGACCATGAAGCACTACAAGGAGCGGGATGACTACCGGGATGCATGGACTCTGCTGCAGACCGAGCTAGACTGCTGCGGCACTTATGGGCCCAACGATTGGGACACCGTATTGACCAACAAGAACCATACCCTGCCACCTGCATGCTGCTCTGTGATTAATTTAAGCGAGGCCAAGGAATGCACCTATGTCCATGCAGCCAAACAAGGATGCTTGCAGAAACTTTTAGAAATCCTGGACTCGAAGACTTTAATCTTGGCCTCCGTCGTTTTGGCAGTAGCGGGTATTCAGGTGAGTCGATAAACAGTTCTGTTGATTCCATTTTATTTATGATCCAATGTTTTCACAGATGCTCACTATACTGTTTGCCTGCTGCCTCTACCGTTCGTTTCGCAGGAGCTACGACCATGTTTAGAATGCGAAGTGAAGATCCCGTATGCCGCCTTTAAAACGGGAACACCAATTTTCGTAGTTTGTAGTTGTCATACACATGCAAAGTTTTCACGTTGGCTTGTCTAAAATGAACACGGTCACAAGCACTCACACAAATAATCATCTGTTTCACTTGCCCGTTGAAGGCTGATTAGTTTATCTATAACTAGGGCATATATTTAGTTATACCTTAGTTCCTAAAGTACATCATTCGAAATACACCATAGGCAATATGAATCTCTTGCCTGAATCTTGCCCCAATCCTATCAATGTTTTGGTTTTTTGTTATATGGTTACGTTTTTTCCTTACCAACATAATGCAGTCGGCCAGTTGAATAAATATTTATCTTCAATTGATAATAATTTATTAATTTAAATAAATTAAAAATTTCCCATTGTCCCATTTCAATATCACACAATCACAATGAATATTTATTTTGACAAAGTGCCCTTGTAGTGAATTTATAAATCTACATTTAACACACAATAATAACATATCTTTCGTGTTATTTTTACCAATGTAAACTTCTTTCAAAGAATTGGATTACCAAAATAAGAAGACTATTTACGGTGGGACTGACCAAAAAAATAATTCTTTTCTTGCATTCCAAATAATTGTGTACAATATTTGGATCCTTAAGCCTAGTACTCACTTCAATCAAAAAGGCAACGAAACGAAAATTTCTATACAAAAATGACAGGCGAAAAATTTTGTGATCAAAATTTTGTATGGAGATTTTCATTTCGTAGGCTTTTTGATTGAAGTGAGTACTAGGCCTTAAGAGTAAAAGTTGTTCATTATAAATCAGCAACTCATATCAAAGCAGTGTTTTGCTTTAGAAAAATAGTTTTCAGATAAAGATTTCTCGATTAACTAATTTTCCCCTGTATAAATAAAAGGTTTTGTTGCCAAAGTCGATTCTGTTTTAAATGTTTTTAATTGAACATATAATTTATATTATTCCATTAATCACATCCCTCCTTTATGAAAAAAAAGCAATTTTGTGCGTCATAGAACATTAACCCACTAAACTCTGAAAATAATAAATGCTCGCAAAAAACATACTCAAATTGAAAAATAAAATAAATCGAATTTACAATTTTGATATCGAACTGCGTTACATCGTAAAATTGTAAGGCGTTTTTAAATCTTGAGGCTTTAAAAATAGACGATCACAGTAAAATTAAAACGTATTTGCAATATATATTATACATAACTGTCTACAGCTGAATATTGATAATTAAGTAACATTTTTAATATGTATTTGTATTCGTATTTTAAACTGTGTTTAAAAAGTGTGTAGCACTGAGAATTCTTTGAATAAATGAACAATTTAAATTCAAAATATATTGAATGAGTTTATGTAAACTATCATCTACAGTCTTTTGAATGGATGGAATTTAATTATGTTGCTAGGTATAATAAGGATCATTTTAAGACTTAAAAAAAATAAAAAAAAAGCAAAACAGGTAAAAAATTTAAAAAAATTAGAATATTGATTTTTTAATATTTGAAATATTTGGAATATTTTCACCAAAAAAACCCTTTGGTGGATAAAAATCGGTTCACTCGTCAGTGAAGTTAGCTTCTTTTCTTAATTTTAGTTTATGCTGCTTGCAATAAAAGTTAGTTAATAAAAGTTAAAACCAGAATAATGGTATTTATTTAGACGGTACCATGGCAAATAAACAAAACTGAATAGATGCCACAATAGTTGCTATTAACAACGTGAGGGACCTTTCTAGTTTGTTTGATCAATAAAAAAGGAGAAGAAAGAAGTATGCTATTCTATAAATGTGTCTATAAAATATAAAATAATATATTTTTCATCAGTTCCATTCGAGAAGTATTGTATAAACAAAACAAAATGTCACAAGGGACTGCGGTAGTCGCCCCTCGCAGAGAGATAACCGGCCTCAATCGTATGACGGCCAAGGGCCTAAAGGAACTCTGCAAGAAGGACAAGCTCTATCAGACACCACGTCTAAATGATGTACTCTATCTGCATTATCAGGGTAGGTGTTCCAAACCTTCTTCAGTAGGGAAGGGAATTAATTAGTAAGTGCTCCTTTTAGGTTATCAGTGCATCGAGTGCTTGGAAGAGTACACCGAGCTGAAGTGCCTGTGGTTGGAGTGCAATGCCATTTCGGAAATCCAGGGTCTGGAGCAACTGACCAAACTGAAGTGTCTCTTCCTGCAAAATAATCTGATCACAAAGATAGAGAATTTGAACCCATGCCGGGAGCTAGATACTTTAAATCTAAGCTCGAACCATATTCGCAAAATACAGAACATCGGGTCTGATATTTTGCCAGTTTTGAACACTCTCAACATTTCTTCGAACTATCTGAAGGACAGTGAGAGCCTGTCGGACCTGGTGCAATGCAAGGCACTGTCGGTGCTGGATTTATCGAACAACCGAATCGACGATATTTTGATTGTGAAAGTATTTGAACAGATGCCCAGTCTGAGGGTCCTGGTGTTGCAAGGAAACCCAGTAGTGTCTAGACTGCCCCAGTATCGTAAGACATTGATACTGTCCTGCGTAAGTTTTTAAATAACCACAACTTGTATTTATTTTTAATGAAACTATGGATCCCAATTAGAAAGAACTTACTTATTTGGATAGTCGTCCTGTATTTCCTCGTGATCGGGCGTGCGCTGAGGCTTGGTAAGTGTTTATTATATCTATAAATTAATTTTAAATGATATTATTAGAGTTAATGATGGATAATTTTTTAGGAAGCGCGAGGGCTACGAAGGAGAACGCAAGGAAAACAACCGTTGGAACCGGGCTGAACGCAGAAAAACTCGAGACAGTGTTAACTGTAAGTCGTCCCCTAATAAAGTTTAAACACGTATCTAAGCTTTACCTCCTCACAGGTACCATACGGATGCGAAATCGTTTCCGTCCACCTGATCAGCAGGATCCATTGCTAAAGTCCAGCGATTCCGAAGACGACACAGTTGCCGAAAAAAGCCGCAAGAGGGCCGAGATTGAAAACGGTGGTGGCGATGATTTGTGGGACGAGGTGTCCGGTGAACAGGAGAGCTCGGAGCACAGTAACAGCACAGCTAGTTCTGGGGAAGATAATGAAGGTGCAGGTTCTCAGGACGATCACGCAGCTGAAAAACTAAGTAATCGAAAGCCCCTAGAGGGGCGTCCAAAGAACCTTTATGAAACTGAACTGTGCAATGCTGAGGAAGTTAAGATAAAAGCCGAGGACGTAGAGAATGAAAATAAAATTGAACACAGCGATGATAAAGATGTTGGCAAAGTGATGCGCCTTCCAATCGAAGAGGCTAAGCTGGAAGACTTAAATATTTCAAGGGAAATAATTGACAATGATGGCAGAGATGTTGCAATAGAGGATTCGACTATGGATAAACATGAAGAAATTATTGAAAAATCCAGAGGAGAAAATATTAAAAAATCCACAGAAGAAGAGTTAACAGAAAAAGCTTCGGAGCAGATTAGTGCCATTGAAAATATAAACCCTGAAGAAGTTTTTGAAAATCAGCATCTAACAAAATCAAATGAAGACATTATCGACAGTAGTTCAGAGCTGGATGAAGATCTTGAGCAAACTTGTCAAACCCTAACTCTTATAGCCCAAAATAATGATCTTATAGAAGACGAAACCCACAAAGAGTTTAAAAGTAAAGTAATTGACGATATGTACAAGAGCTTTGAAGGTTACATCGATAACGAACTAGACGAACCTCTCGATTTAATTCTTAATGATGACACTACTAATTACAAACCAGAAGACAGGTTTTTTTGCGAGGAAAACAAGACGCCGAGGGACTTTTATCAGGATGATGCGGAGCCCTGCTTCACGCCCAAAAGCAAGGAGCAACTAGAGCTTGAGCTAGACTGTGCCATTGTTAATGATAAGTGTGCTCATGACTTGGAGGAAATGGGTAGCCAAATCGATGAGGATCTAGAAGAACTCAGGCAGTTTAACCAAAACTTGATAGGTCCCATAAAGGACGAGACTAATCAAACAGACACTGAATCAGAGGAAGAAGACCTGGCAGACCAGCAGGAAGCAAAGTCTCCGCTTCTTACGCAACAATTCGAGGAAAGGCGTAAGCAAATGAAGCTAAGAGAAGAACTCAAGAGAAAAGAAGAGGAATCTTTGAAGAATTTAAACACTACACCCTTAGAAGAATCGGTCGCGGAAGATGGGCCCGACGAATTGTTCGCCAAGATACTAGACGATGCTACAGATAATGTACCCAAGCGCATCTTTGGGTCTGGATACGATGCGCCAAGCCAAGATTGGCCAGAGGAAGAGTGTATGCGTCAACTGGCTCTGTCAGAAACTTCTGTCCAAGAGGAAGTCTTCACCAGACCCATCACCAACATGACTAGTGCAGAGGAGGCTGAGGAAATTTGCCGTCAAATGGACCAAAAACTGGCCCAGGACGAGGAGGCTCTGCGTAAACTGCTGCAGGACTTGGAGGATGAGGCCGACGAAACGTATGAAATTGAGACAAAAGTGGAGTACGAGAAAATCATTACCATTGAAGAACCGAACGTTGCCAGTATTTGCAGCTCTTTGCTAGATGATATCATTGTTCAGCTAACTTTCGACGAGATAGTGCCGGTTGAGAAGCCCAAAAGTTTCGAGTTTGGTCCCATTGAATCCGACGAGGAGTTCAGTTACTCCACTGAACCGCAGCTGGAGAAGTTGGTGCCCCCCGAGTTGGAGGACCCGGCCCGTGGCAAAAGCCTTCGCGAATGCCTGGACACCTTTTCGGACTTTGTCACTTCCATGGCCGATCCAAAACTGCCTTGTTTGCTGGGACGTAATCCGACCGCAGGAGTGGAAAAAATTCGTGCTGCCCAGGAGTTGCTAAAATCGAAGAATCTGGAGGAGTTCACCAAGGATACAGCTGAAAGCTTAGACGCCCAGATAGACAAAGAAACTGAAAGGCGGAAGAAACGCGTGGCAGCCTCCGCTGCTCGGTGCTTTAATCAGCGAGAGAAATATGAGGATACCTTAGAAGTGGTTAATAACCGGTTAATGGTTGTCAAGAAGGACACCGGGGAGCTGGAGGAGCTTCCACCGCCACCAGACTTGATAAGTGACACCGAGTCCGACGACTATGATACAGCCGAGGAAGACTATAGCTCGGGGAAGGGCCCTGGTCAGGATGTTCGTCGTCCATGGACTACCCCGTACAAACCAAAGCCCCGGAAGTCCGATGAAAATCTGGTGATTGAGGCTATGCAGCAAAGCCAAAAGGAATCAGAATCTCCAGAGGATGGTCCAGACGACGGTCAAGAGAATGACACCGCTGAAGACGAGTTCCACTCGCTGGAAGCTATGACAACCTTCGGTAACCTTGACTGCGAATTCTTTCAGAAGCTGGATCTTCAAAGAGTCAGCGAAGACGATGATGCAGAATCGGCCATCGAGTGCATGCGAAGCTACAACGAACTTAAAGCCTACATGAAGGCCGGATCTCAGGAGCCCCAGCTGACCAGCGAGGAGAACGAGATGATGCAGTCGATGCTCCCCAAAGAGGAGATCAAGCCTAGCAATCCCCAGCGAGATGAGGAGGATGATCTACTGAAGAAAATGGTTATTCGCATGAAAGAGATCGAGGAACGGGAGCGTCAGCTGCAACCCCCACCTATTGAAACTCCCAAGGAGCCGGTTTCAATTAACTTGTCCCTGGGTGGGTCTACAATTTTCGAGCAAAAAAGCGAACTTTTAGATTTGGAATATAAAACTGACAGCCACTTGGAATCTAAAAAAAGCGAAACAAGTGCTGATCCATTGGTTAAGGTTCCTCGTGCAAGTCCGAACAAAAGTATAGACGATGATATACAATCCGATGCTTCAACGGACTACGAATCTGGAGAGGAAGTAGGGGTGGTAGAGCCGCCAAAACTTCCCAAGGAAGTCCTGAAATCGTTCTACTCGGAGGGATTTGAGTCAGACCAAAAAATGGTTCACGATCTTCAGGAAGCCACTCGACGAACTCTTTACAGACATTCCACGGAACAAATTAAGCCCGGAACCAGCTCTCATTTAAAGAGTAATCTCATGCCCGGATTCGTTTCACAGGGAAATCCAATGAAAATGAAATCTAATAGGTCTGAGTGTTCCATTAGGGCTAGAGAAAAGTGGGGGAAAATAGCTGAAAGATTATCCGAGTTTCTTGACCCTGAGACGATTGCAATGTTAAATAGCCAAGAATTTGGTGATAGCGATGAAGACGAAGACGATGAGGATGAAAATGATCAATCCGATTTGGCATTTATTTCCGAAGATACAGAGATGATTAAAGAAAACATTTTAGGAAATCAAGAAAAATTATTAGTTTTAGATGAACCAAAAACTGACAATGGAAATGCATGTATCTCTGAGGGTAAAGACAGTGAACAAATTGAGAAGCAGGATACAAATAAAAACGATAATGAAAAGGTAATTTCTAATCAGGAAGTAAAAAGCGAAAGCAAAGAAATGGAAAGTTCTCTGGCACAAGACACAGTCATAGGAAATATAGAAAATATACTTATATGCGATGAAAATATAGCAAGTGAGGAAACTGGTGAAGTTAATCCAACTGAACGCTTTACAATTGACTATTTTGAGGACCCAGAACCAACTGAAATTGAAATCGATGGTGTGAAACCAGAATGTCTAAAAACGGAGCAAATTCACTGCAACCTTGAGGTTTTGAGCGAAGATGGAGACGTTGTGGTTAAAGAGGTCAGTGTCAGTGCTCAGGTGACCTTTAAGTAGTGCCACCTCCCCATTGATAGATGAAAATGTATGTGAAATATTTTTGTATACCCTTATTGTTTCTTACTTTCTGTTAATAAATTGATGAGCATTCCAAAAGCACAAACATTGCGCTATTTTAATTGCCCCACAATGATAAGGCGTGGAAAGTTCAATTTGAAATCCGGTTCGAACCGCTTGAGCAGCGTTAATCTTAGGAAATTTATAAAAAGTAAAAATCAATTGAGATTAGACGGACTTCGCATTTGCCGTGTGCCCCAAGTGCCTATCAAAATTGGCACATATTTAACTACTTGAAACCGGATCGTAGCTAAGTGGCTCATCATAAAAACCGGTTCCCCATGTTCTTTGTTTGCTTGTTTATAACCGAGGGCAATCGTTCGGGTTATCACTTGGCTACCACTATCAGTATTACCAAGCAAAATATGTATATGATTACGTTTTTTATTGACAAGCCCCGAAATTTCAGCACCGAGCACCTTTTAAATGCGTGCTCATGTGATTAACTGCATTTTATATTCATACATACATACATGAACTCAATTGCATAATGAGTTTTGAAATTTATTCTTATCAGGTGACTTTTTTAGACCCCCTGCAACCAGCTGATAAGAGCCCAAAATCTTATGTTATTAGCTGTTTTTGGTGGTCAGATGTTGTGGTTTCGAAGGCCAGTACTTTCTTCTTTATCATATCAGTTCATTCATAAAGTTTCCATTGCGCCGATGAAACGTTAAACTGCTGCCTTATCAAATTGTTGTTTTTGGTAATGGTTCTATTTTCGTATAATCTTATTTAGGCTAATCTATGTATATGACCGAATGGGCCGTTGAAAGGAGTTGAAATGTTTTCCAAAGCTACAATGAACTAAACTGCATAAGGACGATTAAGTAGGTAACCTTCGCAGCCAGTATCTGAAAAGGTAAAAATGAATAAAAACAGTGCTTGGTTCGAAAGTTAGAAAACCCACTGACCGACATTAGAAGTGAGTTATCAGTTTCCATGAAGCCCTCGGCATTTATAGCCAATACATTGTGTTCCACTTGCATGATAAATTCTAAGAGAAGTTCGTTATAAGCCGGTTCCCTTGCAGGCGATGGAAGGCAGGATAAGCTCCTCAAATGACTGCCTATCAGCAAATTCTAGATTAATAATTGAAAATATTAAAAATACCAACAAAAAAGTATTATAAGTTTTGATAATACCAATAATTACCAATCAATTGCCTCGTTTTATACCAACCTGTCTTTTGCAAAACTCTCCACATCGGCAGAATACGAAAATAATGATAATTGAGGGCACAAAAACTGAAAATGTCGCATAGAGATATCTGTATTCGTAGACCTCAGCCAGAACCTGCTGTGTCCAGTATATGTTAACCGTGCTGTCTGTGAACAGAACCACGTAGGTGCTCAGTATGGACCAGCCAAAGAGGTCGTTGAAGTGGGTAAACAGATGGTAGAGCTCCATGTGACTCTGCTTAAGTGCTAACAGGAACTCCAGGGAACAAAGATGATGGCCAGCGCCATCGAGAACGCAGTTGGCGCCCAGAAGGTGACAGTCCAGTACGTTTTGCAGTCGACCTCCCAGAAGATTTACGTGGAGTCCCAACAGGTCCACGTATAGCAACATCAGCACACAATGCATCCGAATGATAAGAATCGAAAGTAGGGAGGCCCAAAAGTAGAGGAGGCTTCCACTGAGAGCCACATAGATCGAGGGTAATAACGACAGCAAAAAGCCAAAACCGAGTCCTAAAATTTTGGCATAAGTTTGCCAGCCTAATCCCCCCAAATGCATCTTCAGTTCGCCCTGAAGTCGAAGTCTCAAACATTTAATTTCCATGCAAAACCGGTAGTAGTCTTCGTAATGAACCATCATCTGCAGCACGATGACAGTGGAACACACAATCTTGGCTACAAAAACGATTACGTTGACCATGAGAGAAATGAACAGCTCTGACGTCTGGGGATAATAAATGGAAATCCCGAAAGTGGCTACATTAAAAACAATAAGTAAAACCGAGTAAACTTTCTGTATAAACTGATGGTGAGCACATTCCGACCAAGGCACGAGCCCCAGCAAAGCAAAGTACTTTAGGTACGTCTGTAGGGAGTATAGCATGACGTACGGTTGGATATAAACTGGTTTTAAAATAATGCAGTTACCGGAATAGTTACCTTCTAATAGTAATTGGCATTTATAACACACAATTTGCTAATTGATCAGATTGTTTTGCATGGCAATTGTTATCTATGTCAGTTTATTCTAAAGTGCTGCGCACCCATGTAAGTAATTAAGTATTTGTGAAAATAGTGGTAGGTTTTTAGACGCCTCACAGGCGCCTCCGTGGGTCATCTGGCTGATAGTTAATTAACAAATCAACACTGGATTACTGCAATCGAGCTTTAATAAAGTGTTCATACACCTGCCAAGTATTTTGTCTCCAGAACAAAAAAAAGGTCCGGCCCTCTCTGTTCATGAAAAATCGGCGTGCACATATTATTTTGCAAAGCTGGCGCTCCAGGTTTTCTACGGTACAATAAAACAACTACACCTTTTAACGTAAGCAACTAGTAACGATAGCACCTTAAACATAAAAAAATGTGGAAATCAACTTTTGTGACGAAAGATTATTATTTAGTCCACTAAAATAATTTCTAAAATAACAATATCGTTTACTCTCAAATGTTTTCTCTAAATTAATAATTATAATTGATCTTCACAGCAGGTTTTAAATTCTGTGGCTATAAATAGAAGTCACCTTCCCGAACTCCCGTTTAGCGCTTCGTCACTACGTGTACGGCTGTCGCGTCGGCAGTGATAAGATGTTTCTATAATTTAATTATGATGTATATGTAAAGTGATCCAACAACAGAGTCACTATGCTGCTTTCAGATTTGTTTTTATTTTTGTTGTTTATAATCAGTTGATAACGATAATGAACCGCTCGTGTGCTGCCAAGGTATAAATGCGATCCGTTTTGTTGAAGCGAGTTCAGTTGATAGTTTGCCGGCCTGAAAAAAAGTAACCAAGGGAAAACTGTGAAATAATATCAGCTCTGTTCATTTTTTAAGAGCTGCTACAATTGAGAAGTGTTGATTTCCAAAGTGCTGAAGAAGAAGTGTCACCCACAATGGCTGTTAGTATGCATTTTAGTGAAGTGTGTTGCATAAAAATTTAGTTTATCAGGTGCAATACCTAATGCGATTTTTACCAATATTAAAAATTCAACATAAACAGAAAATATTTGCTAAATTGGACTGTGTATTAGCATTTATTTTTACTGAGAAAGTGGAGGAGGTTAATGAAATATGAACGGTATTAATTAAACAAAGGCCTTTCCTCGTTTCTAAATATTTTGTATTTTAATTAATCGAGATATAAAGCTTAAAGCATCTTCAAATGAAAAAATGAGTAAAATAAGATTTGTTAAATTGAGTTAGAGAAATTTAAGGCCCATTTTAATAGACTTTTGGCTTGGTACTTTTTTGAAATATCTACAAAAACCCCTCAAATTGAGTTAAAATGTTGTGTTATAAAATTTTGTGAAAAAATTGACTAAACGATTGTGTAAATAAATACAGTTTTAAAATTTACTCATTAGGCTCGCTTCAGCCAAATACTTGTGAATATTGGTTTTGTTTTTAAAATCAGAATTTTAACAATTTTCTAGTACTTTTTTTTTTGTTGTAGCTAAATGACAAAGATTTAAAATTTCTTATGAAGAAATTTTGGTTTTACCCATAAAATTAATATTTAGCTTAGAAGGCCAAATATAAACACTGAGTTTTTTAGCAGCGGAAATCACCATACTGATTAAAAATCATGATTAGTAAGCAAATAAAAGTAATCAAAACCCAAGCTATGCATATACGACACAAACTATTAATTTATTACCAAAATAGCAGTTCTATCGGGTGTGTCAAGAAATAGTTTAGGTAATTTTTACTCAAAGTTACGGATCAAAAAACTGTTGTGTTAAAAATATACTATGTGTGGTAAAAGAAATGACCTAATGCTTAATATTATAAATTGCATACTCAGTAGTATTAATTGATTTCTAATCATTTTAATTATTTAAATTCGCTATTTAGGCAAAACTGAGAATCGCAATTATTGGACAGAGCAACTTTGCGGCGGACGTCCTGGAGCTCTTGCTGGAGCGTTCGAATGTCCAGATCGTTGGAGTCTTCACGATTCCCGACAAGGGCAGTCGCGAGGACATTCTGGCGACCACTGCCGCCGTGCACAAGATTCCTGTCTTCAAGTTTTCGAGCTGGCGTCGCAAAGGTGTTGCCATTCCCGAGGTCCTGGAACAATACAAGTCGGTGGGCGCCACCCTGAACGTCCTGCCCTTCTGCTCGCAGTTCATTCCCATGGAGGTGATTGACGGCGCCCCACTGGGCAGCATCTGCTACCATCCCTCCATCCTGCCACGTCACCGCGGAGCCAGTGCCATTTCCTGGACCCTGATCGAGGGCGACGAGGTGGCCGGCTTCAGCATCTTCTGGGCGGACGACGGCCTGGACACGGGACCCCTGCTGCTGACCCGCCAGACAAACGTGGAGCCCACGGATACGTTGGACACCATATACAAGCGCTTCCTGTACCCTGAGGGTGTCAAGTCCATGGGCGTGGCCGTGGATATGGTGGCCAGTGGGTCGGCTCCCAAGATAACCCAAACGGAGGTGGGTGCCACCTACGATCCGGCCATGTTCAAAGCGGAAAATCAGGTGATTAATCTGAATGCTCCAGCGGAGAAGATTTGGAACTTTGTCCGAGGTCTGGACTCGGTTCCCGGAGCCTTAGCTACTGTTTTGCAAGAGGATGGCTCGGAGGAGGAGATCCGCCTTTTCGGAGCTCATCTGTACTCCGCGGGCCCCGTAACAAATGGCCAGCGATTGAAACTGAAGGGTCTAAGCAAGTCGGCCTGGATCCACAGCGCTGGCCTCCTCATCGAAGGAACCGATGGGGCCTTCGTCAACATTCGCCGGATCAAACGCGGCTCCAAGGTGATCAGTGCCAGTGACTTCTTCAAGCAGGCCGAGCACCAGCCCATCACCGACTTCACTGAGGAGGAGCTGGGCAAGCGCACCTTGTTGGCCGGAATTTGGACGGCCATTCTAAAAGCAGACATCGAATCCTCCACGGATTTCTTTGCCGCTGGCGCCGGCTCCATGGACGTGGTGCGTCTGGTGGAGGAGGTGAAGGAGGTCTTCGATGTGCCGCTGGAGAACGAGCAGGTTTTCATGGCACCCGTCTTCGAGGAGTTCTTCGATCAGCTGGTGAGGATTCTCCGCCAGGGCAGCGGCGCCTCGGGGGGCCAGCAGCTGGACTTCAAGGGCTTCACGCTGAGGGCCAACAAACGGGTGATCCAAGTGCCCAGCCAGCTGTTCATCAACGGCGAGTTTGTGGACGCCGAGGGTCAACGCACCTTGGACATCATAAATCCCAGCAATGAGGAAGTGCTCTGCCAGGTGGCTTGCGCCTCCTCCGGCGACGTGGACAAGGCGGTCCAGGCGGCCCACACTGCCTTCAATGGATCGTGGAAACAGATCACGGCCAGGCAGCGTGGCCAGCTGATGCTCAAGCTGGCCGATCTCATGGAGCAGCACAAGGAGGAACTGGCCACCATTGAGTCCGTGGACTCGGGAGCAGTCTACACACTGGCCCTGAAGACCCACGTCGGCATGTCCATCGATGCGTGGCGCTACTTTGCCGGCTGGTGCGACAAGATCCAGGGCAGCACGATTCCGGTTAACCCGGCGAGGCCCAACAACGTGCTGACCTTCACCCGCAAGGAGCCCATCGGTGTCTGCGGCCTGATCACGCCCTGGAACTATCCCCTGATGATGCTGTCCTGGAAAATGGCCGCCTGCATTGCCGCCGGCAATACATGCCTGATCAAGCCCGCCCAGACCTGCCCCCTGACGGCTCTGAAGTTTGCCGAGCTGACTGTCCGGGCTGGATTTCCTCCGGGAGTGATCAATGTCCTGCCTGGCAAGGGATCGGATGCCGGCCAGGCTGTCGCCGATCATCAACTGGTCCGCAAGCTGGGCTTCACCGGCTCCACGCCCATTGGCAAACACATTATGAAGTCCTGCGCCGACTCCAATCTCAAGAAGTGTTCTTTGGAACTGGGCGGCAAGAGTCCGCTGATCATCTTTGCCGATTGCGATATGGACAAGGCAGTCAAACACGTGAGTTGGCCCTTTTTACTAAAATAATAAAAATAATAAAATAAAAAATCATTATTTTGGATTTTTGAAATCTTAAAATCAGTCACTTATAATTCTTGGAAAACCAAATGAAGGGAACCATTCCTATCGTACTATTTAGATAACCTTTTCAAATCCGCTATGATCATGGTTTTTTTATTTTTAATTGATATTGCTCAGAAATAATCATTATTTTTGAGTTTTATTACATGTAATGATTATTCCAGATAAAATATTTAAATATATATTAAATAAATATAAAACTCAAAAATAATGCTTTTTTTCTAAGCAGTACATAATAAAACTTAAGAATAATGATTATTTATGAGTTTTTTGAATATCGCTTATAATGATTAGTAATCATTGATTACGGCCCCTAATAATAATAACTCTTATTAGATGCATTACTAATGATTTCTCTTTTTTCATCCAGGGCATGTCTTCGGTGTTCTTTAACAAGGGTGAGAACTGCATCGCCGCTGGCCGGCTGTTCGTAGAGGACAGGATCCATGACGAGTTCGTCAGGCGCGTTCTCAAGGATCTGCGCACCATGACCATCGGCGATCCGCTGAACCGGTCGACGGCCCACGGACCTCAGAACCACAAGGCGCACTTCGACAAGTTGCTGGAGTTCTGCCAACGCGGAGTGGACGAGGGTGCGCAACTGGTGTACGGGGGATGCCGAGTGCCCAATCTCAAGGGATACTTCTTCACTCCCACGGTGTTCACGAACGTAACGGACGACATGTACATTGCCCAGGAGGAGTCCTTTGGACCCATCATGATAATCTCCAAGTTCAATGGCAGCGACGTTGATTCCCTGATGCAGCGCGCCAATCGCACGGAGTACGGCCTGGCCAGTGGCGTCTTCACCAAGGACATCGGCAAGGCTCTCAGCTTCGCCGACCGCATCGATGCAGGCACTGTGTTCATCAACGTTTACAACAAGACGGACGTGGCCGCTCCCTTCGGGGGCTTCAAGCAGAGCGGCTATGGCAAGGACCTGGGTCAGGAGGCGCTCAACGAGTACCTCAAGACCAAGTGTGTGACTGTTGAATACTAGTTATGTTTGACGACTTAAGGGAAGGAGAGGAAATGAAATCCCAAAAGGGCTAAGCCCAAGAATAAAAAGACTTAATAATTTGCTTAGCTCATAGTTAAACGATTGTACTGAACCCCATAATCTAATAAATAAAAACAACAACATCCCTGTATATCTGGTGCATTTTGAAGGTTAAGGCCAATACCACCACATATCAAATCAATGATACTTAGAAACCCGGCATCGGTTTGATTAGGTTCTCGTAGTCAACGTTCCAATTTTTACAGTCAAGAATTCAGAGTTGCATAAACTTACCCGTCAAATTTGGAAAGCTGACTAACCGGGAATCTTTGGGAACCTAAACATCTTATAAATTGCTTCTAAAAAGTTGGAAAACTTGATCCCGTTTTTACTGCAGCTTAAAAAAAATTAGCAAGATTAAACTTTTTAAATGCAACTTTGGCCACCATTATTAATTTTGGTGTTAATATTCTTAGAACGTCCACTAGTAGTACATCAACGTCCATCCATAAAAAAAAAAAAAAAAAAATACATTTAAAAATATTTTTTTGTTTAAATCCTTTTTATTTACCGAAAAATAGATTACAAAAAGTACACGAAAATCGAAATAAATCCATTTAGATCGCGAAAGAACAACCCTAACATATATGTATTTATTACCTCTTACCGGTACTTAGAAAAGTAGGAACTTGTCTTAAGGTGGTACAAGTGGTTTTATTGTTGTCCAGTTAACAAAAAATTTCACTAAAAACGGGGTTTTTTAACTTCCAATTTCTCTGAGAAATTATGTAATTTTAATTCCCAACTAAAGGGGATTACCTGCTCACCCTTACATTAATCTTTAATCTCACCATATTGATGGACCCTCCCCCACCTCCGTCAAATGGAGTAAACCAAAGCCTGTCCCGTGGACTAAGTGATTTTCGGCTTCGTTGACATTTTATATAACTTGACGAACGACCGGCATCTTTTAAAAAAGAACTTCAACCCAAACTCCTCGTCAATGAGAAAATAATCAATAAATATCATATTACCAGAACAAACCAAGAGCATCTCTCTTCTTAGCTTTCTCTTTAAATGAGTGCGCAAGACCAATAGCGATTCGCCGCATTTATAAACTTTTCGCTCTAATTGAAAGCTTTCGGCCTTTGGCTTTGGCGGTCTTTGGGGCTATTGATAAGCTTCTGAGCGGATTAATCTTTATTCGCGTCGTTAGACTCGCATTTAATGAATACAACGTAAGAGCTATCTGCGGGAAAGTAGTTTTGCAATTTGGCCCAGAAACACGAGATGTCACCCTAGCAAATTGGAGAGCCTCTCTTAACCATGTAAGAATTCAAACGTTTTGCAGTAACACGACCTAAGAGTAGCTATAGGGCTTGGAGATGAGCGCGTGCCTGTAGCTCAGAAGCCACGGCATACGAACCTAGACATATTTTGATTCAAAAATAACACAATACTTTAGATAGAGGAGTTGATCTAATCAGGGTAAGTTTAAACTTAGAATACAAGAAAAGAATCAACCATAGTTGTTAGGATTCACTTTCACTTTTTAAAAATTTTCGCCGCCCCCGCAACTGCATCATTGCTCACATTAATCGTAAAAAAGTAAAAAAAAACATAGAGGCTGAATTTAACCGAATTTTTTTTTAATTTCTGTTGATTAGTGTCGATATTTCGACCATCGACCAGTAATAGGACCTTTTTTTTAATCAAGAATTTTTGCATCATGATTAGTAACATGTGCGCTCAGCAGATGTAACAGGCGTCAGATGAGTCAGGACTCCTGACATACTCCCATAGGTATTTTAAATTCCTAACCTTTAAGACTTTAATACCTTTTTAGTTATAGGTTAGGAATTTACCAACCAGAAAACGTTGAAAAGTTTAGAATCAAGCCGATCCGTGATCGAAATTTTTGGGGGAAGATATTTGGGTCATCATTTGGTACATAATTCAACACACGACATAATGCCCTCATCTTATTTTCAATACTCACTTAAATCTTAAAGCCATGACCACGAAAAACACAAAATGTCCTTAGGATAAAAATTAAACAAGAGAGAACGCTATAGTCGGGTGCCCCGACTATCAGATACCCGTTACTCAGCTAAAGGGAGTGCGAAGTCTCCTTCCTTCCTTTGATCCGCCGTAACTTTTTAACGAATGGTCCGATTTAAAAAATTTCTTCTACATTTCGTTAGGTATTGATAAACACAATAAAACTGCATTTTTACTTTTCCGAAATATTGAAATTTTTAAAATCGTATATAAGCGATTGTGGGCGTTAGAGGGGGCGTGGCACCTTTTGAAACAAACTTGCGCTGCGTAGGAACTTCTAGAATCTGCATGCAAAATGTCAATCTTCTAGCTTTTATAGTCTCCGAGATCTCAGCGTTCATACAGACAGACAGACGGACAGACAGACGGACAGACGGACAGACGGACAGACGGACATGGCTAGATCGACTCGGCTAGTGATCCTGATCAAGAATATATATAGTTTATAGGGTCGGAAACGCTTCCTTCTACCTGTTACATACTTTTGCACGAATCTAATATACCCTTTTACTCTACGAGTAACGGGTATAATAAGACCTCAAAATACACAATAATAAATGTTTTCCCCTTTTCTAACTTTATTAACTAAGTTAGAATAGTTAGAATTTCTAACTGACTCTTTTTGGGATGTTGCAATATCTGTAAGCACCCTTCTAAGTTTTGCAGCAATTGGATCGAGCTAACTGCAAGGTACAACAGCAACGGCCACCCGTATGCACCACCCACCACTACCCTTCGCTTGTGGTTGGGCGGAGGGGATGGGAGGCCACCCCGTAAGCTACAAAAGCTAGCTATTCCAGCGCACTCAGCTGAGCAGAAAGCTCGGCGCCCGATGAAAGCTTAGAGGAGCTGGCGATTTTCCGTGTTTTTCCGTGGCGCCCGCCTCCCCCACAAGCAATTAGCCGAAGACGGAGACGAGCTGAACCGAACCGAAGCGAACCTTTTGCCGAAAGCCAAGCTGCAAGCTGCGGCAACGGTGGCACTATCATTGGCGTTTTAACTGTGGACGGTTGCTACTCGCACTCGCTGGCGGATTAACGGCATAGAGATATACATACAGACATATATGTATATGCATCTGCATATATACCACTATCTCTGGAGCTATTAAGTACAAGTCTGCGTGGAGGGGGAGCGCCTGAAGGCAAAAGAAAATCCATTCTGTATGTGTGTCACTGAAAATAGCCAAATACCCAAATACCAGTCTTACGTATTTCCACCAAGCGCTGATTACATAAAAATCCACAAACATAAAATTAAACAAATAAAGTTATCGATGTGTTCGGCAGACAGTGATTGAAATAAACGAAGTGCCGTATGCGAATCGAATCAAAGTGCCCAATAATTATTGATATAAATACACAGAAAGCTCGTTGTGCTAAGGAGAAAAAATTTCATTGATTACGTCGACGTCGGCAATGAGGACACTGCGATAGCAGAAAAGATATCCTTGTAAAACCTATATACATACTAAAATTCGATTTTTTCTCAGCTGGCTGCAACCAAGGACCCTAAAATAAAATTAAAGAACTATGAAGAGTGCGTGTGTGAGTGAAAATTTTATAAGTGCAAGTGAAAAGTATTTATAAGAACATGAGAACATTTTAAAAATAGTGTGGGAAAGGGTATTTAATTGAGATGGCAATGGGTCAAGGACGTAATGTTCGAATCGGAATCGGTGGTCTTATCGATTTTTAGAGAATTGAAGCGGATATCCGAATAGCTAGGAAAATTGCACTAAGCCCGAGAAAAAAGGAATGAAATGCCTATTTGTGTATCCCCAGCTTTGTGTTTGTGCGTTGCCTACTTTTGTGCGCTTTGCCCTTTTCTAGGCTAGGCGTTCGCATTTACACTCACAGTCACATTCACATTTACATTCTGAATACCCACCCACCATCTACAGGCAGCAAAGCCGTAGAAACAGAAATAGAAGCGAAAGCTGAATCTGAATCTGAAGCGGGGCCGAGTCGAGTCGGGCGCGTTGCGCAATGAGCGTCGCGAAAAAAGACAGCGACGTCGGCAGCGGCGTCATCAGCTACAGAACAAAATGTAAGCCAAGCCAAGCGAATTTTCCATGAAAAGAAGAACAAGGGGAACAGGGGAACTCCTGTGATAAGCGCGCTGGCATCAACATCATCAGGATATCTGACCTGGCGGTTTCGCCCCATTGTCCGCAGTTGATTGCGAAAAGTGTGCGGCTGCCTTTGGGCGTCAGCTGAACAGGGTTGCAAAACTGCAAGCCATTTCCCGGTGGTCTCTAGGATTGGATTTGCGCTGGGGCCCAGCGGGTACACACCACCCACCCATCTGCCCATCCCTCTGGGAACCCCCCTTGAAACTGTCATTAAGCTGGCGCCCAGCTGTCAACTTTCATGGCGAGGACCCTACCCCAACCCCTACCCCTACCCCTACCCTACCCCATGAAGGGAACAAATAACCTTCCAAGGAAAGATTCCAGTCGCGCTCTCTTCAGCGCTTTTCGGCTCCCTTCGACTCCCTGCGCATGCTCGGAGCTGCTTGGCTTGGCTTGCCGATGCTTTTTTCCACACTTAAGATTACATAACAGTTGGCAGAGCGTGTGGCTGAAATCGGCAGAGGTGACTTCAATTTAGTTTACGGCAGTGAGCTCATACATTTCTAAAACATAAAGTTGTAAACAAATTATTTTAAAAATTCAAAAAAGTCCTTGCTAAACAATACATACGGTTTGGTATTGAAAGCGGAAAATATGGTTGTTTAGAAATACAATTTTTCTTACGTATACATTTGGCTGCGCCGAATCGCGGCCAAGAAGAAAAACTATTCGGTAAAAGAAAAAAGCTATGTTTGCCAAGCGCCAAATGCAGGAAAGGAAAATTTTACATAAGCAGGAATAACTACTATTGATTGGTTTCTAAAAGGATAACTAGAAAAAAAAAATAGCAAAGCATAGGCTACTCTTACATAAACAAAAATCAATACAAATTCCGAGGTAGCAACTTAGTTTTCTTTCCAAAACCAAGGAAAAAATAAAATCCGCAAAAATAAACTTAAATTCCACAATTTACTCAGCAGGTGCTCTTCACAAACTATTAATTGTAAAAATGTTAAACCCAATTTCTCTTTATATTTTTCAGTAACCAAACAGATTTAGAGCAAAAATCTTAACAAAATACTGTTACAAACATTAAAAAAAACCAAAATGATGTACCAAAGCAGTTGATTAAGAAAGACTCACCCAAAAAATAAAACCAAAATTAACACCAAAAACATATATAAATAAAAAAATATATATAATTCATTAATATTCAATAAGCGTTAAAAAATTTAACTTAAACCCTAAGCTACAAAGAACTACACCTAACAAAAAGTCTAACAAGAACTCGCTTGATAGACAAGACACCCTTCTACAACCAGAGTGACAAGACGAATAAGTAGTTCAAGTGAAATCAACGGCGCCGAGAAAACAAAAGCACTAAAATGGCTGATAAAAAAATTGGTGAATACTACGCACCGCCGGTAAAAATGGGCAAATGGGAGGGTTTCAAAAAATTCCTATGGAACAGTGAAACTAGCCAATGCCTTGGACGCACCGGTTCCAGTTGGGGTAAGTACATCAAACCTTAGATTAAAACTTATACTTAACTATGACTATAAGATTCGGACATCAAACATTATTACTTCAAATTTTTAAGATATTTTACCACTGAGGTTCATTCCTTCTAACATTTTTGTTACTTTTGCCATTGTCCGTTTTAGAAAAATTATGGCATTTGCTAGAAATTCGAAATATAAATGTTTTGTAAAGATCAGTAACGACTTTACATGCGTCTTTATCGGTGTTTTATAATTCAAAAGCTTTCAGTCCTTTAGGTAGTGATGCAACTGTAAACGCCCAAACGCGTTTACTAGTCGCGTTCGTAGTCTAAATATGAAAATCAATAAATTGCAAAGCCAAGGGGGTGTACACTTCACTTGATACCAACGACTACATATTTGGATACCTATCCCATTATCCATTTTATATTGATTGTATAGTGTATAACTTATCAGCACGAATTGGTGCAAATATTACTTATAGGGTGTTAAAAACGTACTTATCATTAAATATATTGTGTCATCGCAACAACAAATTGTCAAACCTATTTATGGGGACGATTGGATAAGAAAACATTTATCCACTTTTAAAGTAATTTGTTATTCTTTATAAAAACAAACAAAAATTTGTTGGTGCAGAAAATCGAAAGTGCAAATTTAGGCACCTATTCCATTTTGAGTTCTTAGTTGATTGCATAATGGGAACCCTCCAGCAGTACTGAAGGGGCGAAAAATGTATATTGATATAAATATAAATATAAATGTAAATATATAAAATTCCTATTTTTGGCTTTTCCGGTTCGCTACAACAAAATACAATTTTTTTGAAAGACTTTGATAAATTCGAAGTTTTAGCGAAGTTAATAGCTTTTATGCTTTCAGGAAAATAAAAAAAAGTTTAAAAGTTTGTTTAAAAAACATTAGTAGGAAATTCTAAGGTGGCTAATTCTGGGTTATACCTTATACTATTATTTTCAAAATGGTAGACCTCTCTCGGAACAGAAATATTTACATTATACACATCGTGTGTACAATTCTTTTTGACTTACCATATATAAGAATTAAATAGAATACATCGAATTTTTATAACAAAGAATGGGAACCGATTAAAATTTTTTTAATTTTATTCACATATATTTTATTGATTTACCCTAAATGGCAAATAACCCAGTTATTCTTTAATGACTCGCAGTGCAATAGTAAAACACAAATCGAACATGCGATTCGTCTCCTGTAGAAAAAATAACCAACAAAAATCAATTGTAACCTCATTGCATCAATTTGTGTTCAGCTAACAGATTAGTAGAGTGAGCGTTAAAACGTGGGGGTTTCTACGGCTTGTCTCTGTGTTTAACCCATTTATAGTGAACTGTAGCTTTGTTCTTGAGTTAAAATTACTTGTATAGCCCTATTCTCGATTTGTTAGGCAAGAAATGACTTTATAGTCCATTATGTGTTCATAATTTGGCAAATGGTTAAATAATAAAAACTTATTTTCTAAACGAAATCTCAGTCCATTTGTCAATTGCCACAATAAAGATATCAGCAATTTAAAAAATATAAATTCATCTAGCACTCAATTATTGAAATCAACTTGCATCGCAGACAAGGCTACCAGTAAAACAATTAAAGGGAAAACAAAGCAATTTACACTGTCATCTGAAAGTTAGCTGTCTATCTGCTAAATAATACGCTACAAATTTTAAAGAAGAAATCTGTTAAAAATTTTACCCTTAAAATGGGTAACACCACAATTAGCAATCGAGTCCTAAAAGATTTGCACAATATTGCAAAAAAAGTATTAGCTTGAAAGTGTAAGTAGCTCGAAATACGATTTCCAAATGAAATAGCTAGGCTTACAAGACCGGAGCCTAAGTATACAAATCTATTTGACTTTTGTACAACTAATGTTTAAAAACAGAGTTTTTAAATTTTTTTAATATACTAAAAAGTAACTTTGGGTAACCAATGCTTTCAATCTTCGTTCAACTATACCGATCAGTAGTGTTTGAAAGATAGACATTGAATAAACCACATTCTTAATTCGGTTATGATAGCTCTATCGTTGACCATTTATTAGAGCTCAGAGTGTTTTTTCTGTTTGCTTTTTGATCGAAAAACCACCCAATATTTTTAACGAATAAATGAAAACAAGAAGAAAGTAAATTAAAAAAATTACTTTCTTTAATTACTTTGACAGAATAAGAATAGCAGAGTGTCAGCCATAATACACTTATACCAGCCAAATTTATTTATTTCTTTATATTTTTTTTTAGTGTAGAAAATGTCTTTTTTTATTTATAAATTATTTTGGCGCAAAACCTGATATCGTCACTAGTTTTTAGCTCGTCAAACGAAGATGGCAAACATATTATGAACTACTCTTTCTCTCTTTTCATCTGCCTTACTCTTATTTAACTATTTTAATAATTTGGCTTACAAAAAAAGGGAGTAAGAGTGAACCACGCAACGCCGGAATGGGATTGGGTAGATGACAGAAAGCCTACTCATAGCTTGTTACAATTTTCCAGTATAAAGTGCAGCTCAGTGGAAATGTCAAAGTTCAAGATAGGTATATATAGAACGGCAGGCAAGCAGACGGGGAATGTTGGAAGCAGAGAGCGCAGCTGAGAGCGCAAGAGTTCGGAAGAGCCAGCGCCTGGCGTACGTAACAGTCCCAGTTCACTTTAACTTGTCCTGGTCAGGTGTTTACACACACAAACAGAGCCCCCAAAGTTAATCGTCAGTAACAAGGACTTGAATGTGAATCAATAGGTTTTTTCATAGAAGCAACAACACTGGGACATGCAATGAAGGTATTCTTTGGATTGAATTCTTTGGCAGTGTTGGAACTTGGTCAAAGGAAATCATAGTTAGGAAATGATTACCTTTAGGAAAATAGATACATTTTGTAAGAATCAGAATATAACAGCCAATAAATTTATCTTAAAAACGTTCTTAGTTAGTAATTAGAAATTTCCAACAAATATACCCTTTTTCTCTAATAGTTTAAGAGAATGTAGAATTTTGAGAAATTGTTGTTGAATAAAATAATTTGGTCGACTCTCAATTAAAAATTCTGAAAGTTAGCTCAGCATTTTTTCCCACGTTGCAACACATTCAAACGAATTAATAAACAGATACTTCTTACTGACAACGAACTACCCGCGTCAATTTATCAAGATAATGATCGGAAATTCGCAATGGTCTCACATCCCGTGTGAGAAATAAATTGACAATTTGTGTTCAGTTGCTTGAATCTTTTTAGGTCTCAAGTAAACGGAAATGTAATAGTTCAAAAGTATGCAAAAATAACTTCTTCCTCATTGTCTCGTCCCACGGGTCCATCCGTGTGAAAAAATTAGGATATTTGACGATTGTGAAACTATGAGCACATCTTAAAATGTATTGATGATATATGTATATCAATATTTCACATTATTGATGCATTTATTATGCATTTATTTATTATTTACGAATTATACAAGATGTTCTGAGTCTTCTTAGCCAAAATTTATGTTTTTGTTCGCACAGCTTAAAAGTGGGCTAACACACAACAAGTTGTTTGGTTCCCCTTGTTTCTCTGTCCTGTCTTTATTTCATTTATTTATATATGTATGTACCACCCTCTCGAACTCGCCCGAAAGAATAAAAGGGCACCCCGAGTAACAAGCACTCTCTTAGTGTCGTTGGGCTCCTTTCTTGAACTGCTCTAAAATGTGCATCAATGTTCAGCAATTTAATATACATATGTAATTCTTGTGGAGACACGGTTGGCCTACAATAGTTGCTATTCAACTTTCACTACGCACGTCAGAATAAAACTCTCATCTTTAAGGAATGGCAAAATCATTGGCCGCTGAAAACATGCCACTGGCTAACGTTGAAATCAGTTTCTTCGATTTCAATTTGTCGATCACCTTTTTCTGCATCTGAAATTTTCAATATGAACAAGAATTTGTTTAAAATGGCAAATATACCAACAATTTTAATTTAGTCTTTAGTTTTGCTTATTATTATTTTTATTCAAAATTATGGAACCGAGTGCTATAAAATGCTATATTTATTATAATCAAATGTTAAAATTGAATAAAAAAATAATTGCCTATTCTTAATTTCTTTCCCGAAATAAAATAAATACAATTAATTAACTAATTTTATATGATTTAATTTTAAAATTTCATGTCTAATATTTTTTTGTTCTCAATCTTTTCAGCGAAAATTCTTCTTTTCTACATAATATTTTATGCGGCGTTAACTGGATTCTTTGCTGCCATTTTTACGGTATTTTATCAAACGTTGGACAATGAAAAGCCCAAATGGATGCTCGACAATGGTTTGATTGGATCCAACCCAGGTGACTAACGTAACAAAATTAATTTATGTTATATTGTTAGTCAGAGTACAATTTTTGATAGTTATATTCTCATAGGATTTTGCCTTTGTTTTGTTATTGTTTTATAATCGCAAAAATGAATTGAGTTAATAATTAAGGGGGAAATACATATATTTCTCTTCACATTAGGTCTTGGCTTCCGACCAATGCCCCCAGAGGCCAATGTTGAGAGCACATTAGTCTGGTACGAAGCATCCAAGGTGGATAATTATAAATACTGGGTGGATGAGACTTCCCGTTTCCTGAAATGTAAGTAATTAATTCTTTTAATAAATATAGTCTATATTAAATTCTTTTTTAGTATATGTAAATAAAATAATTTAAAAGACAATTATTTTCCTTTTTAACAACATTCGGTTAATGGTTTAATACCTCTTATGTGTTTTAAATTAAATAATTTGCTGTACGAATTTGTTACTTACTTTTCTTGTTTTAATTTATGCATGATAAATTATTCTTAGCATCGGCACCCGATGCTCTTTTTTTATTGATTTTAAATTGTGGTTTTTTAATATTTTGATTTTTGAAATACTACAATAAAAAGATCACAGTAAGTTAAACTCTGACTTTCCAAAAAGCAAATAATAAACTTTATTGCTACGCAATAGAAAGTATTTAGCCAGAAATGTAGGCTATACAAATCCTTTAAGTCATGATTGGAGCATGTTTCTTAAAAGTGTTTGTTAAAATTCCTAGCTTACGAGGATCTTGAGAAGCAGAATCAAGTTAACTGCAGCTTCGATCATCCACCACAAGAAGACAAAGTCTGCGGCATTGAGGTCTCCAGCTTCGCACCATGCACAGCCGACAACAACTTTGGCTATCATGTGGCCAGGCCATGTATATTCCTAAAGTTGAATAAGGTAAACTACTTCATCTACTGGATTAAAAATACAAATATTTTAAACTGGATTTTTATTAGATTTACAATTGGGTACCAGAAATTTACAACGATTCAAAGACTTTGCCAGACCACATGCCAGAGGAACTAAAACAGCACATCAAAGAAAAGCAAAGCCTTAGACCCAATGAAGTGAGTTTACGAAGAATATAATAATACCTAATAAATAAATACAATAAAACCATTTATTTACTTCTTCTCCTTTAGACCAATGTGGTTTGGGTATCGTGCGAGGGTGAGAATCCCGCCGATGTTGAGAACATTAAGGCACGTGATTATTATCCACGCATGGGATTCCCTCGTTACTATTTCCCATTCAAAAATATTCAGGGATACATACCGCCCATTGTTGCTGTTCAATTTACCGTTGAAAGTAAGTAAAATGTCAATTCATTTTAAAGTATAAATTAAATATCATAGTAATACAAAGTAACAAGAAAACTTTAAAAAAAAATAAAAAATTAAAATGTTTTTATGGTCTACTCCATATAAAATAATCCGCTACTATTGTCTAAGCGACACACTTTCTGTTCACAAAACTTAAATTTTACGGTACAATAAATAATAATAAATAGTTCCTGAAGGAAAGTACAAAGAAATCCTTACAACGAATGTGGAAGTGCGTTCTTATATTTCTTCTTTGTTTTACATTTTCTAAGCTCTGTATTCGGATAATAATGGGACTCATAAGTGGGTTACGAACAATTAAGATAGGACTTAGTGGGGAAATCTGATGGAAAATAATTTTATTTCCAGTCGATGACCGACTTAAAACTGGCGCCCGAAAACAAACATATTTTACACTTAAAAAAAAGTTTAATAACAATACAATAATAATATTACTGAACTAAATTGTGTATTCAATATTTTAAGCTTGTTTTTAAAAAATGTGAACTTGTTTTAAAATATTTGGTAAAATTTAAATATACAACATTTTGTATTTCTTGCTTTTTAGCCGGCGTTTTGATCAACATTGAGTGTAAAGCTTGGGCCCGCAACATCAACCACGACCGTTCAGACAGAAGAGGATCCGTTCACTTCGAGTTGATGGTCGATTAAGAGATGCGCTAAGAAAATTACATCGGGCATGAGAGATCGGCAGTATCAAGGAGGCAGCCATCGAAAAATCTAAGAGAAATTGAATTAAAAGAAAAGAAAGAAATATAGAAAAAAAAAACCAGCAACAACACCCACACACAAAACCGAAACAAGAAAAATGTAGCAGTGCATAAACAACTAGTTAATGCAATAAAAACATGCGAGATACAGCAGCAACCAAAGACAAAATTAAAACAATGAAGCTACAAGGACAAAATAAAAAACGTAAAGATTACAAAAAAAAACTAGCCCTATAAAGCAAAATAAAAAAAAATTAAGCAAAATAAAAACTTACCCAACGCTAATCAAAGAACACCCCACACTGAATGACTCAAAAAACTTTAATTTTTAGGACATTTTTATTTAGTTCATAATTTAGGCACCAAATAATATTATCAGTAGTAAACTTTTAAAAGAAGACAAAATAAATTATTTTCCTATTACATTTTATCGGTTTCTTAGTGTCATTTTTGGAACAGTAAATATTTCCGATAAAAGCTCAGCGAAGAAAGCTTTAAAACTTAAAACTTCAAATGTCCTTAAATGATAACAAAATTGATTAAAATATTATTTATATTTAAAAGTTCTTCTCTATCCACTCCTCGTCAGCACCCAGAATATCCTAAAAGCATAATATATTGCTTAGGATTCCGAAATATAATTTTTTTAAATTTGTGCTAGGTGTAAGCAGAGCGAATCATTTTCACGCATGTAAACGACAAACACAAAACTCTTACTTGTTTGAATACTACATTTATAAATAAAAGAACATAAATGGTAGATTCTTTAATACACCAATTAACAAGATCTGCAAATGACAAAACAAGGAGCATACTTAATAAGAAGGCATAAATGAACAAAAACTCAAAAGCAAACAAGGACATATTTCAAATTGGTACTCTTTACTTATTATTGAAAACCCCAAATCCAAGATCTTTATTGGGTAAATCAGATGAAAGAATCTAATTTAAACAAATATAAATGATGCAAACAGAATAAATAGCTGAAATAAGAGTAAAGAGGTTACTGGTTACAATAAAAATGAAGACATATATAATTAAAATATATTATGTATACAACAACACAAATATAATATAAATAAATCCAAGTTGTTTTAACTAAATAAAAAAATCCGTTTCCATCTCATATGTTTTACAGCGAATCCTAACTAAACATTCCTAGGACAGCCCATCCCTCTTTTAAGAACATTATTAGAAGTCCTTTACTTCTTCGTGGAACAGAAAATCCCATCTAAATTACATTATATCATATTAACGGACGTATTTTCGTCCGCATTTCAAACTAAAAGTAGGCTTTAAACCAAAAAATTATTGGAAATTAGAAACTTAAAACCTAATTTTAGTTTAGCATGCGGCCGAGGCACAGACCTACACTTTTATTTACCCACAGACTAGACTCGGAAAATAAGAAAAATATAAACATTTGAGCCGCCACTAACTTAAAACAAAGCTGTCTATTTTCCCAAAAAATACTCGAAAAAGAAAGCTCGCAACCGGCATAACAAAAGCTTAATAATTATCCCTTTTTCCATCCACTTCAACTAGTGTAATTTCTAAGAGTAATGTAAGGTGATAAGCCTAATAAAATGCTAAAAAGTTTTGCCAAAAAAAAACAAGCAAGAGCGAAAAGCATAAAATAAATAACAAAACTAAATTTAAATGAAAATTTCAAGAAATAAAATAAATGAATTATGGAGAAATTGAATACTTTCATAAAATGAAAAAAACCTGCTTAATAACGATAAAAAGGATTAAGTTTAAAAATTTCAATTTTGTCCGTTTTCATTACAAATTACAAAAATTCAACATTGTTTTAAAAGATCTATCTGGCATTATTGAAGCCGATTTAACCAGTTTTAGTTATTGAAGGAATGTTTTTGAACAGCTCTTTTTAGAATTCAAGGCACGCAGAATTCTGAAAAACTAAAATAAAAAAATTGTTTTCTAAAATCTTTGCTAGTGCATGTTTTCCTAAGACTAAGCTTAACAAATTATAAATGAAAGTAATTAGTTAAGTAGTATAATAAAATTATAGCAACAATTGTCATCATTGAACACAACAAATACCTGTTGGGAGATCATTTGAAACAAATAGTTCGTTAATGACCAGGTAACCGCGGGCAGAGCTAAAATTGAACTACCAAATAAATTATAAGTTTATTTTCCATCTCAAGATTTTCACGCACAAAATTAGACTCGAAGTCGACATTTTATTTGGTTTTGTCCCGGCAAAGTGTGTTCCCCGAAAACCGCCGATAAATGTTAATAGGTTATCTAGGGTAAAAGATCTTGTAAACAAAAGAATTAATATTTTCCATAACAAAATATATAATAAACGTATAAAGAAAAACTGCCAAGTAAATGTTTGAACCCTATAGCTTACAAAAATTCATTTACAAATTTATTTTCTTCAGCCTCAGTTTAGCCTTGCTCGTCAGCGGTTACCATTTACTCATTATATGATTCGAATCCAAAAGAATCTAAGAATACTTTAAAGGCTTTCTATTCTTCACTAACGGCAACTACTAGCACACAATTGAATAAATTATATTTAACAAGCATATATATAAACTGCCATTTTTTATGTATGTAAAATAAAACGAAAAGAAATATAAAAACCATTAAAATTGACATTTTTGTATGTAAACCCGCAAACCATATGATACATACGCAAGGCAACAGCAATTAATGTTCAAAAAATTTCAAAACGGTTTTTCCAACGATTCTTTAAAGGACTTGACATAATCACAAATTTATATGTCCAATGATCTTATCGAACTTTCGCTACGAAAAATAGCTAATCAGGCCGCAAACTTTTCAACAAACAAATTTCCGAGCATGCAAGTTTTTTAAGATCTCCCACAGGAAAGTGAGACACACTGCGGCGTGTGTTCAAACCCAAAAGGTGAGGCAATGGAAATTATTTAATGAAAATTTGTTAACTTTACTTTTATTTGCAATTGGTATATATACATACGAAATAAACGAAAAAAAATTATGGGAAAATTAGCGGCATTAGAAAAATAAAATGAACTAGAAAAATAAAAAGAAACTGTATTAAAAATAAGCTATATATAGGCATATATATACATATAAATATATGCAAATGTTATATACATAAATGGTAAACAAAATGAAGCAACAATGGAAAATTACACTTAAGTATGCATACATTTATGGATTTTGATTTACAACAATAACAATAGATTAACAACAATAATTTAACAAAAGTCCCATACATGAGAAATTAGCAGAAGCTTAATAAATTTAGTTTACGAAGAATATATGAAAAAACCAAAGCTCTAATTCATAGTAGTTATAAATTAAATTAAACAACAATAACATGTTTTGGTTAAAAAGTTCTTAAATCCGAAAGGAAGTTAATCGATAAATAAATTTGTTTTCGTTGTCTATTTTAGAAATTCTGAAAATTCAAATTGCTTTAATTAATGTTAAACAAATCCTCAATAAAATCACTGGAAAACTAAAAAAATGTGGGTAACAAGACGAAAAACAAACACTGCTTTTTGTATTATTTAAGTTTAACGATAAAAATATAAATATTAAAAAGTCATAAAATATGTAAGCTGTAATTTAAATGGAACTTACATCAAGAAGTAAATGAACATCAACGGAAAAAGGAAGAAGAACAACAACCACAAGCTACATAAAACTTGAAGAAAGCCCCTTAAAATAAAGTCATGTACGAGTAACAAAAAAATGAAATGTTTGAAAAATTTTACTGAATTCAATAAAAATATTATGTTGATATGGAATTAAGTAATTCCAAATAAACAAAAAACAAGCACAAAAGGTGTTTTATATTCTATACTTTTTAAACCCTTGGAGGGGGTCAACTGAGTTCACCTATAATTTCTAGCAATAGCATCTTCCCAGAAAGAGATAATTATAAGGTTTTGCCCCTACGAAAATCTCGAATACCCGTCAAATAAAACCCCTCCAGGTTCTGATTCAATTAAAGCCAACACCTGTAGATTTATTTGATGGAATAATAAAATAGGAAACACTTAGGACAGTCACGCACACGAAACGATGTACGATTGTAAAAGGGACTCCACCTCATTCATCCACGCTGTCCATTGGAGACTGGACATTTGCATTGGGTCCTCCGGCGGCGGCGTATGCCTTCTCCATAGTGACCTGGGACTCCCGCTTCGGTGTGGTCCGCTTGTGCTGGGTGGTGAAGCTCACGGTGATCCGTCCGCTGCCGCGGACTGAGCTCATGGGCGGGCGCATGAGGGGCGTGGCCAGGCGACTGGCGGCCATCGACGACGGCGGATACTGCAGCGGATCGGGCTTGGGCGTCGCTTGGGCCTCCTTGCGTACATCCACCACGAGGGCCTCGCGCACCGAGTTCTCCTGGAACTGCTTGACCCGCTCCCGCATGGCCGTCTCCCGCTTGATCTCCTTCTCGATCTCAGCCCGCCGCTTGTTCTCGTACCGCTCCAGAGCCTTCTCGTCCCGCTTCTTGTTCCGCTCTACGATCAAATCTGCGATCTCCAGGCGCTTCTGCATTAGTGCCTCCTTGTCCAGCTTCTGAAACATCTCGGGCCAAAAGCCCTTCTCTTTCTTCACTAGAACGATGCGGGCCTCGTTCTTAAAGATGCGGCAGAAGCTGTAAGTGACCGGAAAATCGTTAATACAATAGGCAAGATCTTTTAGGACCTACTTTCCAACTTAAAGATAATGTAATGAATTAGTTCTACAAAAAAGAAGATAAATTCTATTCAAAACGATACGGGCCTCGTTCTTAAAGATGCGGCAGAAGCTGTAAGTGACCGGAAAATCGTTAATATAATAGGCAAGATCTTTTAGGACCTACTTTCAAAATTGGAGATATACATAGTTAATGAAGTTCTAAAAACCAATTAATTCTATTCCTTATTTTAATTTATAACTTATTAATTTAGGCTAATATTTATTTATTCACAAAATTTTAAAGGATATTTATCTGAAACATCCTTACTATAAGGTTTTTTAAAAGGCATGATCTTTTAAGAACTATTTTCCAAATTGAAGATGTATTTAATAATTTATTACTGGAAAAAAACGATTAATTCTATTTATTATTTTAATTTATATATATTAGTTTTAGGCTAATAATTATATATTCACTCTGAAAATTTTAAAGGATTCTTATCTGAAACACCCTTTTTATACCCGAATATTATTTTCATTTAGTAGAACTGGCCAACTCACCTAGCCATTTCGTCAATCTCCTGGGCCAAATGGCGCTCAAAGAAAATAGGTGGATTGTTGAATTTCAAATACTGCGGCAGGAGGACAACATCCGGTTTGCGGGTCACCAGTCGATTGAGTTCGATGGAGATCTTGATGTCCTCCTCAGTCTGCGAAATCTGAACCATAATGAGTTGCTTGTCCGTTTGCGCTGCTGCTGCCGTGGCTCTTCTGCTGCTGGTCCTCGACTGACAATAGGCAGGAACTTATGTTTTGGAAGTGGCCGGAACTGGGGACTTTGCGACGACAACTACGACAGGGCCAACTACCCGCCCGACTGTTCACTTGCGGCGCATATTGGCCGCTTTCCCCCTCGATTTAATTTGAATATTTACCAGGGTTCGAACTTCGAATCACCAAAACGCGAGAGCCGGCTGCGTTTCCCATCGACCAAACAACGATTGGTTGTTTTGGAACCCCCGTTCCTGGACCCAGGACTCGCTCAGGACTACCTTCCCACACTTGCCCACCTGTAACGTTTGCAATGCATTTGCATTTTCGGCAAGACAAGACACGGTGGCCTAGTCCAGGAGCAGCTCATTGCTCCTGGCTCCTGGGTTCTAGCTTCTGGCTCCCGCTCCTCTGATTGAATTAGTCACGACTCCTGCACGCGAAACGAACTGCTATTTGCATAGGAATAGTCATTCATCAACAACAGCTCCCAGCGACATTGATTGGCAACGGGTTACGGGTTTTTTACGGTTCTGACGCCTGTACTGTACCCACAATTCCTTTTATTTGCCTTATTTAATCCTTTCTTGGGAACACGGGCAATGGCATGTTATTGTAATTCGGTTTGTTTGAAATAAGTACCTGTCGTACTTCTTAAAAGAATTTATGTTCGACACTCATAAAGTGCATGTGCCTGAATATTGATTATTATATACTCCTAATGCTCGTTTATGAATTTTGAAATGGAAACAGAATCTACTAGAATTTAAAATATAAATCTTAAAACGGTTTAAAATTATCTCAGTTCAGTTTTTGAGTTATAGAAGTTGCATGACGATCTAATATTAAATTCTTATCTCTTGTTGAATCATTCTAACAACTAAAACATAAAAACAATTCAAAGATTGTAATCAAACATAGAACGCATAACTATGGAAACCCGAAAACCAGCTTTTCTAGACATATCGTAAACTAATATTTTTAACAATAAATATTTTTAAGGTTTACAAATGTTTTTACTTAACAACTACATCTCAGAATCTATAAAAATAAATTGCTCTAAGTTACTATGGAGATAAAATTGTGAGGCACTCGTATAACGTTCCTAAACTCTGGTTGCTAAGATGTAGAATTAATTAGCTCTTAATTAATTACTGAAACATATTTGATAAATAGTCCCCCAGTTAAGTTCAAGCTTTGAATGTTTTGATTACCATTCGATTGGCTTTATTTCACAGCGTTAATTGAACTCTCTGGCAGGACTTTAGCCACTTTGCGGGGCTCCTTAATCGTGGTCTGGGGGCACTGCATTTCGCTCCAGCCGACCGGAACCATGGGCACCCGGGTCTTCCGGGAATCGCTGGCGTAGGCGATGACCACGCCGAGTTCATTTTCAGCGGTGGTCAGGAGGAAGGACTGATCCAGTTGGTTAATGACTCTGGCCAGGATGACATCGCCCGGCTTGAAGGACTTGTATATGTCCACGCGATCCTTTTCCGTCTCCCGGACATCCTCCTTGCGCAGGAGTCCGCGGTAGCTGCTCTCCAGCAGGACATTCCGCACACAGAAAATGGCGCACTTGACGAATTTGGGAGTTGTGACCAGAACTCTGGCTGTGACCACGTCTCCGGTGGCTGGGATGGTCAGATGGAAGCCGGGTTTATGTACACTGACCACCTGGCACTGGAAATGGAAATATCCTGATTAAATTGGTATATTACTTGCGTAGCTAACTTACGTTTTCACCCGACTCCTCGATGCTCACGATTCCCGACTTGGAGGCGTAGATATAGCCGTTTTGTTCGTATGTGCCTATGCCCAGGACTATGTTGTCCTCGGTCCTGCAGAGACGCTCTCCTGGCAGACAGACTATGGTCTCTTCCTCGTGAGTACTCATTTCTGGGCTAGCTATAGCTTTTAATTTATAAAATAGTAAAATAACAAAGCCGCATCAACAACAAAATAACACATGTGCAATTAGGGATGGCAATATATTTCGATAAACATCGATTACACTAAAATTTGCAATTAGTTAATTTTTTTAAAGAAAATTGTAGTACAAAAAGTATTATAAATACTTTTTAAAAAACAATTGAATTGAAATTGTTTGAAATTTCCGTAAAACCAGTTAAAAACCAAAGTTTTCACTTATTTTTATTGCAGTGTAAAAAACGAAATCGACACTTTTGTGGGGTGCACTTCACTGGTTTAAGTGTTTTCCAACACTGCCAAAGAGCGTGTTTACGCCGGTGCCGCCAATAGTTTTCTGTTTTCCTCGGGTATTCGTATAATTTTACCGTAATTTCAAGATGCCCACTTCAAAACTGCATGCCAACATGAGCTACCGCGAGGTCATCCCGAAAAACCTTAGTCCCGCCGAGTGGATCGAGGTGAAGATTAGCACAGGCAACCAGAGCACTCTGCAGGACCTGAAGACATTTGAGACCTCCGGCGGCTACTGCTACAAGAGCAGGAAGAATGTGCAGACCAGGAATCGCTTTATATACTGGTAAGCAATGGCTTTATATACTGGAAGATTCACCTGTTTAACCACCTGGCAGGCGCACCTACCAGGATGTGCTGGAACTCTCGGAGGTCAGCCTGGACATCTCGCTGCAGCGGAATCACCTGCGCCTGCGATTCACCGACTCCGCCGTGCTAAATGTCTCCCTCACCGAGCAAGACAAGTCCATCACCCTGCTGGTGGTCACGGTCAGCAGTGTGCATCGCTATGTGTTCCCTTTGAAGATTGCTTCCCCGGATGCGGGAGGATCCCCCGAGGATCTGCTGTCGCAGTCTATTTTCTACGACGTCAACGAGAAGATCAACGTTCCGAGCAGCTTCTATGTGACGGATGGCTTTGGAACGATGCCCAATGTGGCTGTGTCGTATCTCACACAAAACGCCCAGGAAGCCTACTTTGCGGTGGCCTACCAGGACAAACTGTTGCTCCACATCATGAACTGCTTGACCGGCAACACGGTCACCCACGAAGTCAAGGAGCCGCATCTGATGCCTCGCTTCCTATCGAATCTAAAGGGCGCCCTTACGTGAGTGAATCTATCTACACTAGTCGGCATAATTATTTTGACAGATTCGAATGTTAACTGTACTCATATTTTGAACTTATATCTTTTGGCACCTAAAATGTTTTGATGCAAAGTTTTACCCTCAAGCAAAATTAAAATTAACTGCAAAAATAGAAATTTCAAAATATTTCTCCTTGTATTTTTTTGATTTTTTGAAAATAGCTAAAAATTACAATTTTAGCCGCTTTTTCATACTTTTCATACAACATTTTACAGAGATCTTTCCATTCAAAAGACATAAAAAAAACAAGGAAAAATATTTTGAAATTTTTTTTGCAGTTATTATTAATTTTGCTTGGGGAAAAACTTTGCATCAAAACATTTTTGTTTTAAGACCCAGGAAAAAAGATAAAAATTTGACTTTCACAAAATTTTCTTACCTTTCAAAGGGTGCTTAATGGGTTAAGAACATTTTTGTGTCATTTAAACGGAATTGAAGTGCTCTTTCTATAGGTGCAAAAAGTTTATGTTATAAGTTCAAAATATGAGTACAGTTTACATTCAAATCTGTCAAAATAATTATGGCCACCAGTGTAGCTGAGAAGCGTATGCATTACCTATTTCCAATCATTGCAGTGGTAGATCGGAAACGCTGGAGGCAGCCACTTCCATGGCATTTAGCGAGATCGAGGAGTCCGTTTTCATTCTGGTCCTGTATCGCAGTAATGAGCTGCGCCTGTGGTCAGTGGACAGCCTGCAGACAGTGGCCAGCATCAATTGCTCCGCCGGATCGGGGCATGGAGGCCTGGGGGCTCAAGGACGTGAGTTTGAGAGGGTATAATTCAGAATATTTTATAACATATTTCCCGCTTTCCAGCCCAAAACAACCAGCTTCGCAAGATAAGCGAGGAGAACTTCTGCCTGTTTCTCTCCCAAGGTCTCCAATCCGAGTTCATTTGCGTGAGCATCATGGCCGATGCCAACGAGGCCAGCGGAATCAATTTGGTGCAGAACTCGGTGCCGGCGCCCCAAATGGATTTGATCGACTTCGATGCCACCTCCTCGCACATCTGGGCGCTCTGGAGCAACGCAGAAGGAGATTTCCATGTCTCTGCTATTTACTTGGGTACAAATAACGCTATCAAATGGGTTTCCGCTGCTCTGGAACCGCCACCGGATCGCTATTGTCTCACCATGGAGCAGGGAGTCGATCCCCGCGAGACTTACTGCTCGTATATCTTCCATCCAGGTCGGTTTGACCGAAATGTGATTGCCAAGGCACTATATGTGAGTATTTATTTATTTATATAAAGCAAACTTAAAGTTAAAACTATAAACTAACTAAGATTAAGAGCTCTAGGAGCTATATGTGAGTATAACTTAAGCAATATTGTGTAAATTAAATTATTAAATTAATTTATTATTTAAAGATGTTCAGACGCGTCAACCTGCAGTTCGATGTGAAGCAGCTTTCCATGTCGGTGCTCAAGGAGCAGGTGTGCCAGGCCGTCGAAGACGAAATCCAGAACGAACTCAAAGACTTTGTGGTCACCGACGAGGAGTACTTGGAGATATCCACGCGGCTGTGGGATCGCTTTTACTCGTGCTGCGAACAGTATCACATTAAGTTCTCCGAACCGACAGGACTCGCTGTTCTCGGAGGCATGGATGCAGTCTGTTTGGTCAGGAGGCAATCCTTCGCCCTGCTGCGTCCCTGCGAAGTGCTTGAGCACCTGTTGCTCATAGGGGAGCACAATGAGGAGGTGGCCACCTACGTGGCTCCACTGTTTCGCAACGATCCCGAAATGGCAAAGGGTTTCGTTGACCTCATGAATGTGGTCACGCTACTGGACAAGCTGATCTCGGAGGATATTAAAACTGATCTAGATAAACAGCTCTACCAGCGCGAGCCGCCCATTGATGTGATATCCAAGCTAGTGGCCAGAATCACGGTGGGCGATGATAATGGCCCGATGTTGCCGTCAAACTGTGTGAAGCAAATTCATCAGAAGCTACAGGATATACCGAACCTTAAACCCGCTCTGGAAATGCTACTCGATGTGCTGTGCATGATTGATCCCGATGCGCCGCCGCATGGTAAACTATTTAAAGATTTAGAGTTTGGAAACAATTAAATTCCTGGTTTATTTTCTAGATTATTCCCTTTCTACACGCTTTCTGCAGCCATCTGGAGCTCTAATGGGCAGCGAATATGGTCTGGCCATTTTATCTGAAACGGTCAAGCAAATGGCAATGATTAGGTAACTTTTAAAAATTTAAATTGAGTTTTATTTTTAATATTTACGTTTGAAATCTAGATTTTCTGTTTGCCGGAACCTTTTGGTTTTGCAATACATGGCTTATGGTCAGGATGGAATGGACAGCGATAACGTTTTAACGAATATCAGTTATCTCAACTCGTACTACACTTTAGTTTGGATTGCCGAGACGCCCATTTCTTCTAATACTCCAGCTGGATTGTAAGAAAATGGAATGTAATGTTTAGTGAGCCATCTTACATTTTATTGAATTATTTTAGTGAGGCCTCCATTCAACGGTTGAGTCGAGCACAGCTCTTCAGCGGCTACACACGGCCATATTCCAGCCATTTGCGGAATAATGGCAATGATCAGACCACCTTGCTCAGGCTGTTCCTGCAATCTAAGGGTCTGTTTAGCGCTCTTTCTATGCTGCTGAAGACGGACAGCATGCAGCTGGAGTCGGAGCAACTGAACCTACGTCAGACTTTGCTTCAACTAGTGGGATTCATCAATAAGATGCTGTAGGTATAAGTTATAGAATTTAAGAAAATATTTTCCTTATCCCCTAGTACACATTTAAAAAGTTGCACGTGTTCCTCTAAGCCGTATCCGAGATATACTAATTTAAAGTTTGAGAACATTTTTTAAGTTCTTAACTTCAAAAATTCATAGCGCCACTAAATGGACACCAACAAGTTTCAAAAAAATCACAAATGATAACCAAGACCAACTCTACGAGGTACCCGAGTTTGAAGAAAATCCATTATTTCTGCGCATCAGTTGAGAAATTCTTACACAGATGTGAGTTTAAGGTAGAGGAATCTGATTTTCTTTAATTTATTTTCAGTTGGCCCGAGTCTCCGATTTACGTTTTTCCGGAATGGCTGTTCGGCACCTGCCATCACATCATTGTGCAGGATTATGTGCGCCTTTTGTCCAGCTGGTGTTCCGTGAAAGCCCATGCCAGTAAGAATAGCTTTACTAGCTTATACTTGACATTTCCTATTAAAATTTCTTTCCGTAGGACGCTTTATGCTGGCAGTTTCCCTCTTAGATTGCGGTGAGGCCCACAAGGCGGTGCATCTCTTCCAGCAAACGGCGCCTGGCGTTGTGGAGGATGACTTCCTCTTCGAGCACGTGCTGAAAAACACTCCGCTGTACGGCAAACTGCAGGAGAGCGTCGCGCGGGGCCATAAAGTTTCCGCAGAAGACAGAAAATTGGCCATTGTTCACTATTATCTGAAGATTATTCAGCTCTTCGAGCAGCATTCCGCCCTGGACTATGTGATTGAGTTGGCTCACATGGCCATGAGTGTGTTGAAGCCGGATGATCCCCAGTTGCCCATGTTCCAGTCGATCGTGTTCAACAATCATCTCCAGCTGGGCCACTACCAGGAGGCCTACTACGCCTTGGTCTACAATGCCGACACTTCGAGGAGGAAGGATTGCCTGCGTCAGTTGGTCATAACGCTGTTCCAGAGCAAATGCCTGCCCCTGCTGATGCAGTTTCCGTATATAGGCTTGCAGGACGAGTTCGAGAGCATCGTGGAATCCCGCGCACGATCAATGAGCATCGATCAGAATGATGTGTATAACTTTTTGTATGCATTCCACACGAACAAGGGCAACATGCGGAAAGGTTTGTATAGGTAACTCGTTTTCCTTGAGCTTTATTAATAATTAATTTATTTATTAGCCGCCACGGTTATGTACGAGCAGGCGATGCGCTTTCAAGTGGACAGCGATGCGCCGAATGCGCTGGAAAAGCGCTGCTCCTCGCTGCTAATTTGCCTGAACTGTTTGCACTTGGTGGACAGCCGCTACAGGTGGATAGCCAGGCCCACAATTGGCGACGAGCGGGTGGCGGCCATAGATCAGGATAACGACGATGGAGAACCAAAGGGAGATGAGGATAAAACCGGCCAGGAGGTGGTGGTCCTGGAACTGGCCGACATCCGCAGGGAACTGGTGCACGCGGAGGCTTTGCATGAGCTCTCGCACTACCGCAAAGATGCAGCTGCCTATGAGCGATCCTCGCCAGAGGAGCTTTCCTACCTGCTAGCCAGCTGTGGGCTGTACACGGCCGCCTTGAAACTTTCCCGCGGCCACTCGTTCTCCGTGCTTCCCATTTTCGAGAGTCTCACCGTGGCTTGTGTCACCGCCACCGAGGACAAGGGCGCGGATGCCTGGAATTGGTTGCAAAACAACGATATGGCCGATCTTCCACATCGAAGCAATGCAGCCGACATGGCCTGGACTTTGCTCCAAAAACTGGTGGTGGATAATGAGGCAAAGGACTCGACTTTGATAAGAAAGAGCGTGGTGCAAAGGCTGCTGGCCTTGAACGCCTTTGTGCCGCAATGGCTGGTGGACTCCTACAAGCTATCCCATTCGCGGGAGCTGCTTCAGTTGTTCGTCAAGCACAACCGCCTGCTGGAAGCCGCTGATTTGGGCTGTGAAATGATCGCCGGCATGCTGGGCGCAGGCAGCGAGTACTTTGACTTTAAGCATTCGGTGAATGTGACCAATCCGCAGCTCTCCTTTCCCATCAACACGATCGATCTGCTGCTGCACGCGCTGAAGATTAATGGCAAGGAGGATGTGGAATATGAAATGGTAAGAAAATTTGGTAATACTCTAGTTTATGGTCCTCTTAAGTACTTGTATTGCGGTTAGGATTATAAAATTCCTGCATTATTGGTGTAGCCTTTTTTACGATTTTTTTTAGATTGTGAAAAGGTTAAAATAGATAATATAACGCTCGTAATTGGCTTGAGTGACGGACCAAAAAATACGTAAACGGATTTGCTTTAAGAAGTTATATATTGGTCCTCCATGGTCAATAAATTCTTAAGGAATCGCTGTCCACCGAGGATATTTTTTTCGCGGCTGTGGGGTCTGCCCCCTATAAAAACAATTAGACATTTTTGTCGAATTTTTCAGAAGGCCTATTATTTTGACAACTTATGAAAATCCAATAGGTTTTTTACAGCAAGTCGAAGAAAAGCCAACTGAATTTTTATAGCAAAACACGTAATTTTAAAATTCGATTACAAGAGAAATTAAATTCTTAAGAATTCGCGGTCCGTCAAGGATAATTTTTTCGCGAATTTTGGGGGTGAGGACCGTAAACTAGAGTATTACCGAAAATTTACATTATTCCTCTATTTGTTTAATCATTTGATTGCTTTTTCAGGCGCATGTCAAACTGGAGGAGGAGGTCCACAGATATATCGAGACCATAAAGCGAACCACCGAGGACAAAATGAGTTTGGCCATTCTGCAGAGTCGAGAGGAACGACAACAGCAACAGCTTCATTAGTTGGTTTTATTCGTTTTATTTGATAAGTTTCTTTGAATTAAATGCTAAAAAATAATAAGAGTAGCGAGTTCCACACTAAAAATCATCCGTCATGACCAGCTCAGAAAGGAACTTTTTGTAGATGTTCATGAACTGAGCGACGAACGCTTCCAGGTGGAAGATGTGCTTGGCACCCGCCTGCATGCGGTGCTCGTACTCGGTGGCAAACTCCAGCGTCTTCGCCTTGATGGACATATCACAGTTGTTCACCAGCTGCTCGACCAGGCCGCGGAAAATGAGATTGGGCGGCACGCCCTGGGTGAGCAGCTCGTACAGGCGTTCCCGGATCTTCTCCAGCTTGCTGGGAGTTTGCTCGCCGATGATCTGGGCGGCTGTTTCGCGCAGGAAGACCTGCCAGTCGAGATCGGGAATCTCCTGGTTGGCGGTGAACGGCGCCTTGGCCACCTTGGCGGCCTCCAGCATGAGCAGAGCCCGCCTGAGATTGCGCTCCGACTTGTCCACCACCCGTTTGGCCAGTTCCACAGGCAGGGCGAGGCCCTCCCGCTTGCAGGTGCTCTGCAGGATGGACACGATCTCGGATTCATTGGGTGCCGCCACCCGGATGCCCAGGCAACGCGACCGAATGGCCGGAATGATGCGGGACGTCGAGTTCACCGAGATGATGATCCGGCACGTGGCCACGTACTTCTCCATGGTGCGGCGCAGGGCGTGCTGGGCATCCTTGGTCAGCTCGTCGCCCTCGGAGATGACGATCACCTTGAACTCCCGCTGGCCGCTGATCTCGATCTGGTGCGTCTGGGCCACCTGCTTGATCAGATCGATCACCACCGTCCGGTCGTACATGCCTGCGTCGGAGGGATTCACCTCCAGGTGGTAGTTGCTGCTCACGGTCATCACCTCGATCTTGCGGTTGGATGGCGTGGTGAACGTCATGGTCTCGCTCCTCAGTCGCTCCACGCCGGATCCGTACATCTCCCGCAGCAGGCACATGATGCGGGTCTTCTTGCCGGCGCCCGAGGGTCCGTAGAACATGAGGTGCGGGAAGTCGCTCTGCTTGCACAGGTTTCGCAGGTTCTCCGCCTGCTCCTGTTCGGGGAAATAACCATAAACATGAAACGCCGGTTAGTATAAGTCACTCAATCTTAAAGAGAAATCGGTGGGACAGAACCTTACGGTCTTTTACCTTGTGGAAGTCCAGCTTGGACAGTTCCCGGGGACGGTACTTATCCACCCAGAGTGCCATTATAATAATTTAATACTAATTTATCAAAACAATTCAATGCGCGCCTTTTTGGCACAAATGCTGTTAGTGATGAAATTAAGATCGATTCCACAATCGATAAATCGATGAATTATGTTATACTTGGCTCGAACTGCCATATTTTTGTACATTTGAAATTGTATAACAATTTGTTTTTTATCAACCCAGAACTTTTCAGTTTATTGAAATTAAAACACATTTATTATTTTTACATAAATAAATTACATTTGAAAATGTATAACAGTTTGCTTTTTTCAACAATTTAAGGAATACCCAGATACCCAATTTATTGAAACTAAAAACACCTTTATTTTTAATTAAGATTTTTTTAAAATAAGAAAAACTTAACATATACTCCCAAATTTAATTTTCAAGTAATTATTCTGTGCTGAGAATGTTATTAATTTGCCGTGGCAATTTAATGAATTAAAGTGACAACTATGGTTTTCAACGATTCAAAGGAGAAATTTCCATTAATTTTCCGATCGTTCCTATAGCAGCTTTTCCATGTACCTAAATTTGTAGTCCTTTGTTGATACATTTTTTTTGTAATTCTGAAAGGCTTCAAGAAGTCCATACCCTCGACTGATATTAAACAAGGAATAAATAAGAAGAGCTGTTTGAATACCTAGATTCAATACTATTATTACTTGTATAAATTGCATATAAAACGCCACCTATGTTTCAAGTTTAGTAGTCACCGTTATTACACAAATCGTGATTTTCCAAGTCTTGTCTGGCAACGCCAACAAAAGTGTGACCAGTTGTCAGCCCTACCGAATTCGGTATTCTGCGCAGAAAAAGCGGCGACCTTACTGCATCCACAGTTTTTTTTGTCGCAAAACTTAAGTATCTTGAAATTAAGAAATCCGCTGAATTGCAAGGCACCGAAATTCGCGACGCGAACGCATGGAGAACGGAGTGGAACACGGTGTCGAGGAGGCCGGCGAGAACCAGGTGGTGAGCAGCTCCGACGGCGAGGGCGACGGTGATGTGGAGGGTGAGGAGGAGGGGGAGGTGCTGCAGCCGCCGCCGCCGCAAATAACAAACGATTGCGAAGGGGTGGCGGCGGGGGAGGAAGAGCGGGCAGGAGTGACGACAGAGGGAATAGATGCCACTCCTCCGGAGGAAGTGCATCCACCCATCGAGGGAGCAGCACCGGCGGCCATGCTGGAGGACAACCTGTGCGACAAGGACGTAGATAGCGATGCTGGCGACGAGGACAACGATGATGAGGTGAGTTAAATGCCGCTCTTATAATTATAATTTACAATATTTCCTCGAAATTCCCCCCAGACCAAGGAGAACTACGAGGGCTTCAATGGCACCGGACGCACTGTTACCCTGCAAACCCTAATGGCCGCCAATGTGCTCCAACCGGGCCTCGGACTGATGACCATCGAGTATTTGGGCCAAAAGTTCGTCGGCGATCTGCTGGCCGACGGCAAGATCAAATCCCATGAGACTGAGACCATATTCCTCACGCCCAGCGCCTGGGCGATGCACTGCAAGCGGATCATCAATCCGGAGAAGAAGAGCGGCTGCGGCTGGGCCTCGGTCAAGTACAAGGGCAAGAAGCTGGACGCCTACAAGAACACCTATCTGCGCAAGTGCGCCCTGCAAAAGGAGACGCCGCTGGACGACGGTGACCTGGGTAAAGAGCACCTTGTCCTTACTTTATAATCCTTGCTAATTCCATTGAATCCACAGATGCCGAACGCAAATCCGACTCCCCGGAGATTGTCGTCAAGCGAACCGTTTTCGCACATAACACCGTTTCGAATCGCAATGTAGTTCAGTGAGTAAAACAAGTGTAAGGGGTTGAAGGGGGTGGTTTTTCAGGGGAAGTGTCATTCTTCGATGCGAAATTCGAATGGAGATGAAGGATTCAGAAAATACCTAATATTTCTTTATGTTCTTTTATTTATTGCTCTGTTTATTTGGAATATTTATGACCCTTTTTTAAATATTTAAACGCGGACCATTAATCCTTAAATCAGAAATTACCTACTATTTTGTTGTATTCTTTCATTTGTTAGTCGATTTATTTATAATGTGCAATGACCCTATATCATGTACTTAAACACAGAGCATTAATCCTTAAGCTGTTTTAACCACATGGCCTTATTTTACAATGAAAATAATAAGATGGGTTTACGAATTCAAACGTAATATTTCTTTATGTTCTTTTATTGGTTACTAGATTTTTATTTAGAATATTTATGACCCTATTTCATGTATTTTAGCCTGTAGAATTAATCCTTAAGCTATTTTAACAACAGGACCTTATTTTCCCATGATATTTTATATTGAATTTCTCTAACTAACAAGATGGGTTTATGAATTTAATCGCAATATTTCTTTATGTTCTTTTATTTGTTAGTAGATTTTTTTTAGAATATCTATTTCATGTATTTAGAGCATTAATCCTTAAGCTATTTTATCAACAGGCCTCATTTTCCAATGATATTTTATATTTCATTTCTGAAACATATAAGATGGGTTTACGAATTTTTTTATTTCGTTATGTTCTTTTCACTTTCATGTCTTTAAACCAGCGGTCGGCAGCGCCCTGTTAAGTGAGCATAGGGTTTTGTTCTGCCGGCGCGCTGTTCGCACACGTATAACGTAGAACAGCGGACTGCACACACACATCGATGAGCTGCCCAGTGCAAATTACTCACACAAATATAAAACAAAATGTCAACGTATGTGTGTGCCGACCGCTGCTTTAAACCCAGATAATTTATCCTTATGCTATTTTAACAACAGGACCTTATTTTCCAATGATATTTTATATTTCATTTCTATTACTTATATTTAAACCCGGCTAGGTTGAAGTATAGAGATATAAGCTATCTTGCCGTAGAATTCGCATTGTATTTATTTTAATTATATATTTAATTTCTGTAACTAATCCACAGTGACGCCAACATGTTAATCGAATCGGTGCCGTTTACTTCGGTGGGCAAACTGCAGCCCTTTCTCATCACAGTCAACTCCTCTGCCCTTCTGCTGGCCGACTTCCATTGCCATTTGACGGTGCGCGAGGTGTGCGGCTATCTGGGTGGCACCTGGGACATGAACACACACAGTGAGTCCGACTCTGCTTGGAATATCCTCCGCACAGGCATTACCTACATGTTTACCCCTTTCAGCTCTATCCATCACAAAGACATATCCTTGTCGCAGCACGCGCTTCGATCGGCAGCGATCCGGCGAAGTGGAGCGCGACATACAGAAGATGATGATCCAGGATCAGCTGCTGTTGGTCGGATGGTATCACTCGCATCCCAAGTTCCAGGCGGAACCCACGCTGCGCGACTGCGACTCGCAGTTGGACTATCAGATTCGAATGCGCGGCGCCAGCGATCTCACCTACACGCCCTGTGTCTCCTTGATTATCTGTAAGTGTATTTCTAGTAGAGCCCTGCGTGAATCATTCAATTTTTGTTTAATCATGGTATGCCATGAAATTTCTGATTTGTTTAATTCAATTCTATGTTTTTCTAATTCATTTCGAATTCAATAAATGAATGAATAATTTTTATGAATTTTCTGAATTTGCGAGATTTTTTTGTGCTTTCTTTTGAGAACAAAAAGTGGACATTTTTTAACAAATCAATGTTAACTGCATAGTAAATAAAATTTAGGCAGATTTTGAAGAAGAAATGGCCATCATTTTGTGAGATGGCCATTTCTTCATAAAAAGCAATTGTCGTTTGAATTATTTCGGAACTCATGCCATTCATTCATTCAATTCTATTAAGCTCAAAATTCAAATTCACTCAATTCTATTAAACTCAAAATTCCAATTAATTCATTAAAAAAATTCAAAATAATTAATGGAATCCATTCAAGCAGGGCTCTAATTTCTACTTTCTGTTTAATATAATATTTTATGTCCCTGCAGCTCCTTACTATGATGAGAACCCCACTTTGGAGTCGGTGGTCAAGTGCATTTGGATCGTGCCGCCCAATGAGAACAGGCAATCGATGGAGTACGGCCGGCCCATGCTGATGCAGTATTCGGTGCTGCCGGACAAGGAGATTCCCGAGGAGGTGCGCTCCGAGATCCAGCTGTGCGTGGACTACTACTCGCAGTACCGCGGCGAGGTGGTCAAGTTCCGGAACATCTACAACAACGAGGTGACCTACAACGAGAAGCTGAAGAACACGCTCTACCCGAAGTTTCCCTCCAAACAGAGCGACAAGGCCTTGTGGAATTGGATATGCGCTGTTCTCGACTGCGAGCAGGAGGATGACTTTATTCCACCGAAAACCATAAAGATCATCGACAATGATGAGCTGGAAGTAAAGGAGGAGGACAAACCTGTTAACCTAATGGATCTTAGCAGTGATGTTAAGCTAAATCCGCCCAAGGAGGAGCTATTCAGTGAGACAATCAGCACGCTGGAGGACAATGCGCGCAAGGCAGAGGAGGAAACCAACGCCCAGGCGGAGCAAAAAGCAAGTGAGCTCAAGGTGATGTCGCTACAGGAGCAGCTCTGCATGCCCTCCGGTCTTAATATGAACCCTGTGCGAATGCTTTCGCCTCTGGCCACTCCGAATCCCACGAGTCATCCGTCGGTGCTGCCCAATTTGGTGGCACCCACCAGTCAGCTGCTTCCACCGCAAATTCCCGCAGCTGCCACCGCGCCACCAGTTGCCACGACTTCTGCTCTGACCTCCGCTTTGAGTGCCTCGCCTCGGGACAGTCCCATCACCATTCAATCGAACGCCGCCAGTCCCGCCAAGTTTGAGGTTCCAGTGAGGGCGTCTCCATCGCCCGCCAAGTCGGACGCCTCGTCGCATGCCTCCACCTCCCGCACCCGCAATTCCCCGGCGCCCAGTCCGGGAAAGTTCAGCGTAAGCGATATTGCTCGCAATAGTCCCAGCATCACGCCGAATAAATACGAGGCGGCTGCGGCTGCTCTGGTTCCTCCGGCGGCCGCTTGCCTGCCCACGGCCAACGATCTGATGGCCGCCAGTTTGGCTCAGCTGGCGGGGCAGCTTCCCCCGAACTTCCTGCAAGGCGATTTGGCCGCACTCTTCCAGCAGCAACGCAAGGATTATGGCAGCTCTTCGCTTAATCAACTGGCAGCGGCAGCAGCTAAGGTGGGTGGCTCCAAGCAGGGCAATGCCACAGCTTCCTCTGGGCTGAGTGATCCCAATGTGGCGGCGGCAGTGGCTGCCTACTCGAATAGCTTCAATATGCCGCTGCCCACGGGAAACAGCAATGCCCACAGCAGTAGCAAGTCGAAATCGGAGCGATCATCCAAGTCCTCCTCCTCTTCTTCCTCCTCGAACTCCAGCTCAACCTCCAATTCGTACAAAACGAAATTGATGAAGGAGCTGGACGAACTAAAGAACGATCCGCTGAAGATGAGCGAGCTCATCCGTTCGCCGGAATATGCTGCCTTGCTTCTCCAGCAAGCGGAAGCCCTGGGTGCCACCACACTGGGCACTTTGGGTTTTGGATCCGACTACAGCTATCTTACGGGAGCGGGATTGGGAGTGCCGCCTGCTAATCAACCCTCAAACTCGTCGTCTGGCAAGTCCTCGAAATCTTCGCCAGCGGCTGCTGCGGCCGCTGCCCTGAGTGCCGACTATAACAACCTAATCCAGGCATCCAAGCTGCTCGGCTACGACTCCTACATGCAACAGAGCAAGCAGAGCAACGACCTCAATGCGTTCCTGCAGCAACAGATGGCTGCGGTGGCAGCCGCATCAATTCCACCGCCTGCGCAGACTTCCTCCAGTGGCAGTTCCAACAGCAGTTCATCCAAGAAGCAGCAGCAGCAACAGCAGTTGCAGCAGCATCATCAGCAACAGCAGCAACAGCAACAGCAGCAACAGGCAGCTGCACAGGCTGATTACACGGCATTATTGCAGACCTACACCAAGTTGTTCGACCCGAATAACCAATTTGCGGCGGCAATGTCGTCCAACAAGCACATGGCAGGCGCCCACAACGAGCTCTCCGCCCTTCTCTCTTCGGGTGTGGGCGTGGCAGGAGGTGGCGGCGGCGGAGGAGGATCGAAGCAAAAGCAGAAAGACATACAGAGCGATATGCTAAATCAGTTGCTGCAGCTGGAGAAGCAGGATTCGGAGATAAAGGCATTGCTGTATCGCCAAAATAAAGCGGCCGCCGATTTGGACGCCCTCTTTGCCACGCCCTCAGGCGCAGTTGTGGGAGCAGCTGGGTCCTCGGCGAATGCCATGAAGTCGGGCAGCTCCGGAAATGCCGGTGTTTCCGGTATTTCATCGCCCTCTTCGCTAACCAACCAAGCCGCTTACTATAATGCCTTGGCGCAGGAGAAAATGCAGGATTATGCTGCCTTCTTTCAGCAGCAACATGGCAAATACGGCATCCCAGATCCGTTGTCGAAAACCACACTGGCTGCTAATAACATGTTCATGACTCCATCGGCTTTGTTCAAGATCCAGCAGGAATCCCTGTCGGCCATGATGATGAAGCCACCGAAATCCACGACGCCTTCATCGGCACGCACACGGGAATCATCGGCCTCACCGGCTTTGGAGCGACTAACGCCCACCAAGTCGGCAAATAGTGGAGGAAGCGGCGGCGGCGGAGGCAGCAACTCCAATTCGGGCGGCAAGTACAACTTTAGTGCCGTCGATCTGGCCATCTCGAGTGTGCCCTCAAACACACCATCGCCGTCGCCGTCGGACGGAAGCAGTGGCTCCTCGCATCGACGTCCTTCGCCGGACTTGAGCCGCCTCTACGGAGAGCTGGCACCGCCGGGAGGACTTGGAGTGCCCAAGAAGCGCATGGAGTTCGCCTCGGTGGCGGACCTGGCTGCTCCGCCGCCGGCCAAGATGCCCAAGAACAGCATGGGCGACGATATCCTCAACCTGTCGCACGACTAGAATCAGTCGCAGTATTTTCCCCAACAGTATATACTCCCATACGTAATGCCGCGTAGCATCCATTAACATACCAGTGTCCGTCATTTTAATCGTGCCCATCCAGTATCTTTCGGGACAAATATTTGATTTTATATTTTCCTTATTCCTCATTTAAGTTTACCTCTTGCTAAGTGTAAAGTTCGTAGATCAGAAATCTATATCTGATTGCTTGCAATTTACAAACATTTATTTTTCACAAAAAATTCAAGTTTTTATTATTTTCCACAACCCAGATATGCCGTGCATATCTCAATCGAAGTAATCTTTATGAGCATTAAAGATTTCGCCAGTCCTACGAGTGAATCTCCGCTTTTACTCACCTCACGAGCGCTGTATGTCCTTAAACGTTTAATTTAATGTACTCGTACTAATTTAGGTTTAATTACCGCATAAAAGTACTTTAAGTATTTTAATATACAGACAGCGCACACATCAACTGTATTGTATTGCCTACCGTATTAACTATAACTTTGAATCTTTGCCGCAATAAATTAAACGACTAGTTACTTAGTTTACAAAATTGGAGTGGAACTTATTTTGGTTAGTAAGTAAAATCAAGTAAAGATGGGAGCTTGGCTGTATTTAAATAGGTATACCCCTCTTTTAAACCAGTAAAACCGCTATGCTAAGTAAATCACGTATGCTTTTCCAGTGGTTCAGTGGTGCGATTTAGTTGGTAACAAAATCAAAACAATCCGCACGCATCAACAACTGGGGGCAGGTGTTTGCCTCTCGTATCATTCGGCACATTTCAGGGGACTGGCCTTTTCTCGGAGACTAGTTTCTCCGGCCAGTATTCAAAACACTCGCTATCTATTCGCTGGAGAACAAGTGGGCTGACTAGATCGAGCATATATAAATAGGGGTAGCCCATGATCGGCGAACTTCAGTGATACTTTTAACCGCCGGAGGATCAGACATGTCGAAATACAAGGTACAATGCAGTGAAGCTAAGTGTAACAAAGAAAATAATATTTTAAAGTTATTCGGATTAAAATCATTTTGTGGATCAGATAGAAAATACGGTTTTCAGTGAATCTACTATAATCTGAACTGAAACACTGCGTAACGAATAAATAACCAAATATTTTTTTCGAATCAGGTTAATCGGGTTGTATTCGAACGGGCCTTCTTCTTTAACAGCGCGCTGTGGATATAAAAAACAAGTTGACGACTTGAATAATTTAATAATCTTTGCCGGTTTATTTAGATTACTATTTGTTGTTATTTAGATAAAATAATACAATTTCTTTTTATACCCTTGCAGAGGGTATTATGATTTCAGTCAGAAGTTTGCAACGCAGTGAAGGAGACGTTTCCGACCCCATAAAGTATATATATTCTTGATCAGCATCACACGACGAGTCGATCTAGCCATGTCCGTCTGTCCGTCTGACCGTCTGTCCGTCTGTCTGTTTCTACGCAAACTAGTCTCTCAGTTTTTGAGCTATCGGGACAAAACTTTCGCAAAAGTCTTCTTTCTATTGCAGGTAGTATATATGTCGGAACCGACCGGATCGGACAACTATATCTTATAGCTCCCATTGGAAGGATCGGAAAAAAAACTTTAAAAAATTCTAGCTTCGGTGTTTTTTGAAATATTACCTTCTACTTTTGGGGATGTTATTTTTTAAATATTTCTGAATTTCGAATTAATTATTTAAAAAATCGGACTACTATATCATATAGCTGCCATAGGAACGATCGGAAAATTAATGGAAAAGTAATAGGATATAAATTCTAGCTTCTTTGGTTTTTATTGTATTATCTTCTACTCTAGGATATGACTCTTTTTAAATATTTCCGAATTTCAATTTTAATTTGATCAAAATCGGACGACTATATCATATAGCTGCCATAGGAACGATCGGAAAATTAATGAGAAATATTAGAAAATTTAACATTTTTGCGATTTCTTAATTAATAGGAATTATCTGCAACGGTATATAATCTTCGGCTGGCCGAAGCTAGCTTCCTTTCTTGTTTGGTTCTTATTGATGCAAATATCTTATCTGCATTCTAGGTCAAAACATCTTTATAGCTCACTTTATCCAGCGTTTGTTTATGTCTTAACTCGAACCAAAGTGCTTGCTAGTAAAATTAAGTGATCTTTTTTAAGTGTTGATAAGGAATAGGGCAATGTTTCGCATATGGATATTTATAGAAATTAATTTATTTTTTTTAGTACCTGTCGGGCTTTGGCTCTCACTTTTCCTCTGAGGACGAGCGATATCCCAACTCCTTGCCTGTTGGTCAGAACTCACCGCAAGTGTGTCCTTATAAACTCTACGCGGAGCAGCTCTCGGGAAGTGCCTTCACAGCCCCAAGAACCGAGAATGTGCGCACCTGGCTGTACAGGAAATTGCCCTCAGCAGTGCACCTTCCATTCCAGCCTTTCAAGGGAGCCCCCTACTTTAGGCAGAACTGGGATGAACAGCCCCCAAATCCAAATCAGGTGAGTGTTATATCATAATCATAATGTTTTATTTTATATATATTTTATAATCCCTGACTCAGATGCGTTGGAAACCCTTTGATCTGCCGCCAAAAGATGGCAGATCGGTAGATTTTGTGGAAGGTTTGCATACGGTTTGTGGTGCTGGGGATCCCAGATCTCGGCATGGTCTTGCCGTGCACATATACTCCTGCAATGCATCCATGGATAACTCGGCCTTCTACAACAGCGATGGTGATTTCTTGATTGGTAAGAATAGCAGTCAATGTAAGATCAACAATGACGTATTAACATTTTCTTTTAGTCCCACAGCAAGGAGTTTTGGATATTAAAACGGAGTTTGGTAGGATGTCGGTGGCTCCCAATGAAATCTGCGTCATACCGCAAGGGATACGGATTGCTGTTAATGTGGATTCTCCTTCTAGGTTAGTGCCAATAGCAGAGCCCAGAAAATCTACATAATTTATAAATATTAAACAAATTTTTTTCAGAGGTTATATCCTCGAAGTGTATGATGGTCACTTTGTTTTGCCCGATTTAGGACCCATCGGCGCCAATGGCCTGGCTAATCCCAGAGACTTTGAAACACCTGTGGCTTGGTTCGACGATCAAGACGTAAATGGTACAAATTAGCTAATTACACTCACTAGAAATATTAATTTTAAGTCAATTTCATTATGTCACAAAGACTTCCAGGTGATATCGAAGTTCCAGGGCAGTCTCTTTGTGGCCAAGCAAAATCACAGCGTCTTCGATGTGGTGGCCTGGCATGGTAACTACGTGCCCTTTAAGTACGATCTGTCCAAGTTTATGGTGATCAACTCGGTTAGCTTCGATCACTGTGATCCCAGCATTTTTACCGTGCTCACTTGCCCGAGTTTGAGAGCTGGAACAGCCATAGCCGACTTTGTGATCTTTCCACCCCGCTGGTCAGTACAAGAGCATACCTTCCGGCCACCCTATTACCACAGTAAGTTTCATTTTGAGGTGTAAGTTTTATTGGGATTTAATGGATTTTCTATATTATCTATAAGGAAACTGCATGAGCGAGTTCATGGGTCTCATCTTGGGAAAGTACGAGGCAAAAGCGGATGGCTTTGCCGCTGGAGGGGCTACACTCCATTCCATGATGACCCCGCATGGTCCAGATGTCAAGTGCTTTGAAGGTGCCTCGAGTGCAAAGTTGGTGCCCGAACGCGTGGCTGAGGGAACCCAGGTTGGTTGGAGTGTAGGAAATCTAAAATCTGCATCTAACTAACTTATATTTTCAAAGGCCTTCATGTTCGAGTCCTCCCTGAGTTTGGCCGTTACCAAATGGGGCGAGGAAACCTGTCAGAAACTGGATGCAGCATACTATGAATGCTGGCAGGCGCTGAAAAACAATTTCGAAATTACTAAAAAGTAAAATATTTCTAGGGTAAAGTTACCATAAATGAACAATTTATTTTATTAGTACATGTTTTTATTTGAAGGATTAGTTATTTGCAACTTATTCTTGAAATTTTAATGACGAACTGAATGTCTAATTTCGTTTCGATCTAAAAAACAGATAAATTAATGGCAGGCTGAACGGAAAAATTGGAATGTTATTTTCGTATGATCAAAAAAAAACGGAATGTTCTTTGATCGCATATTTAAAAATATACTAAAAAATATATGTACAGTAGCATCATAAGAAACTCAGTTCGTCACTATAATTCCATAATAATACGTAAACATTAATGGACGCCAGTACATAAATCTAGCCTGATATTCACTACATCTCAAATGGAATCGATCAAAGATCTTACATATAATATAATTGACTCCTTAAAGTCTAAATGTGATGCTGGGAGCAGATCGAGGACTTCGATTACTGAACACTTGGCTGCTGTTCAAGCGACAAACACACAATTGATTGCAGTTAACCTGCGTGGGTTCACTAATCTTGGGGAACTCTGAAGTGCCATGGGAACTAGTCACATTGTCATCAGATCGACGGCTATACAAACATTTGGTGTCACAGTTGCAGGATCCAAGTCTGTAGTTTTTCGGCGCCGGACTGCAATATTGGTGGAGCGACTGGTCCATATTGTCCCTACCGGCGGAGCAGTATGTATCCAAAGTGTCCACGGTGCTAATGAGATCCGGCGTTAGCTCGGATTGCTGACGATTGGTCAGCCAGTATGTTCGCATGTCGCCCTTGCCCTGAAGTTGAGGATTGATTTTATTATCTTCCTATAATAATATTAAGCCAAGTTTACCTTAATGCTGGTCAGACCCCTCTCGATGCAGGAGTAGCTGCCTATTAGCTGGAGCAGTTGATAGGTGGCCTCCGAAATGTGGATCTTCATCGTATCCCCGGTGCTTTCCATCCGAGATGCTGTGTTCACAGTGTCTCCGAAGAGGCAATATCTGGGCATCTGATTTCAGGATGAAATGTAAATAATATCCTATGCAAATAAAACCTTTTTGCTGTACCTTCTGTCCTACAACACCTGCTGCACAAGGACCCGAGTGAACTCCAATACGCAGCTGAACCGTCTCGGTGGGCTTATGTCGGATTTTGAGATTTCCCACGGTCTCTAGAAGGTGAAGAGCCAACGAGGCAATCTCTCCTGCATGGCGACTTCCATTTTGCAATGGCAATCCGGATACAACCATATAAGCATCGCCAATTGTCTCAACCTGAAATCATAGGTGCATAAAAATGATAAAACTTTTAATACCGCAACCCACCTTATAGACATCATAGTTGGAAATAATCGAGTCGCAACAAGTGTACCAGTCGTTTAGCATTTCTACCACCTCAAAAGGTGTGCTCGTGGTGCAGAGTTCGGTGAATCCCACAATATCGCTGAATAAAATAGTGACGCAGTCGAAGCACTCGGCCTCTACGGGGTCTCCTCGCTTTAGAAGCTCAGCTACAGGTCTTCAAGAAATAAGGTTTTATTAGTTTATTTTATAAACTAACTGGACTTAAATCATTTACCTGGGCAGCATCTGGTACAGGAGCATGTCGGTTTTCTTCTTCTCTTCGTACAGTAAATTAGTTCGTTCCTGAACAAGACCCTCAAGATTGTAGGCATATTTCTCCATTATCGATAGCATATTGTCAAAAATATTTGGTTTTCTGGATTTAAGAAAGGTTAAAACGAATGTTTGGTATCTTTTATCTATATGATACTTACAAGCCAGCCTGTAGTTCCTTTAAGTGCATGCGAACCAGCCGGATATCGGGTCTGACCTCCGGATCTTCATCCCAGCATTGGCACAGACATTTCCGGATGTAGTCCGGTATATCCAAGTGAGTGTGCGTCAAAGCTGGACGAAATACCCCATGTTGCAATAGTTCAGGACACTTGACAAACTGAATTATTTCTGCAGAATGCACGTCATTTAAATAAATCTATTTTTATGGGTCAACTACCAATGCTCACCCTCTTTTGAGTAGGCCGTATCACCCCAAGGACCTTTGCGGCCAATCATCTCGTAGAGTAGAATCCCAAAGGAATAGACATCCCCTTTTTGCGAACCTCGTGCAGGTCGATAGGCGTCCCTCAAAAGCTCCGGCGCCATGCAGAGAGCACGTTTCAGTTCCAGTTCACTTCTGCAAAGCGTTAGAAAAATATACAGTTTTTGTTTTCATTATTGCGGGAAGTTCGTTCACTTGTTTTGTATTCTATGAAAGGGTTTTGTGACTTAAAAATATTTATTTTATATAAGTGATAGGAACTCTAAGATAGGTGGTCATTGAAACTAGGCCAATTTCTTACTTGTTGGGTTCTTCTTGGCCCGCCTTTAGTTCGTGCAGTCCAAAGTCAGATATTTGGCAGACCCAGCGAGAGTCGATGAGGCAGTTGCTGGATCGCAGGTTGCCATGGGATATTATCTCCGAGTCGTGCAAATAGATCATGCCCTTCAGGATGTCGGAGACGAGTGAGGAGATGAACATGTGATCCAAATGGAGGTCTTCGTTGGCCAGCACGTCCTCCAGACTGCCCCGTGCGCAGTATGTGGTGAATAATATTACGGATCCGTGATCGGTGGAGGCTCCAATGAAGTTGATAATGTTCTCATGCCGCACCTGTATGGAATATTTGTATATACTTATACTTTATTTTAGTTTTCTGCCTCACATCTCGCATTAGTTTCAATTCCTTGCGAATAGATCGAGTGATGTCCACGCTCTTCTTGTGAATCTTTTTCATGGCCACAATAGTTCCACGGAAAAGTGCTATTTAACGGGGAATACAAATTAAGAAATGTTATGCGAAATCACTATAATATACCTATATTTGTGAAGGACCTCTTGTTTGGCTCACCAACCACTAAAATACTTTGGCGGCAGATTTGAAACTAAAATGGTAAATGGGTTATTTTCCTTTTTAAAATAATTCCTTAAAGCAATACCTACAATGTTTTTATTACTGGGATTGTTGTATTCGCCGAGATTAATGACTGTAACTTCCTTCATATCCACCTTCCACAATAGACCTGCCAAAGTCTGTTCGTAGCGGTAATGCCTCAAAAAAACATATATTTTAAAAAACAGTTAGAACTAATCAAGAAACAATCATACTTAATCAACAGGGCAAAGGCTACCACAACGACAAGGGCACACAAAGGACCTGATACCAGATATCTCCAGTCGAGCTTTTTTCGAGGACACAGTTCGCCTTGAAAACCACAAAGGGGTTCGGCAAGCGGAGGACGGCCATTTAGCCACTGGATGGGTCTATCGTTCTTTATGTATCGGAACTCCTTGTGGGGTTATTCAGACAAATGGCATTAAGTACGGTGATTAAAAATGCTTTTAATTAACCAACCGGTATTAGGGAGTGCTTGTCGTAGGCAAAGAACCCAACTGGCTGCATGGACATTTTGGCTAGTGAACCCGAAGAGGTTCCACTGCCCACATCGTTTTGAAGAGTTATGACTGTGTAATTTCCCTCAGCATCGCCATTAGAATCTATGTAGACCTTTTGCCAGTTAGGAATAATATTGATTGATGAAAAGATACGTTATTTAATTTACAATATAAATTCAAATCTATATATTTCAGCAAATTATTTAGCTTATATTTAAAAAAAAATATTTTAGATAAATTTGAGCTATTTTACTCACATCAAATCCTTGTATTGAATGATAGGACCTGTTAAAAATGTGGCTCATTACCAAATTTCCGTCGTATACATCACCGCCCAGCTTCAACACTTCCGTAATAGCTCGAACATAGATCATAACACTGTCGTAAAGATGCAGACCATAAATGGGGACCTGTACAATAAAAATAAAGAGATAATTAATAAAAAACAAAGATTCTCATAAAAAAAAGGAAAAAATTAAAATAAAAAACTAAGGTTAAAATATTTTCAGATTTTCCTACCGATATGTTGTCAAAGACACGTTGATGATATGGTACCAGAAACGGGGTCTTTCGAGCATAGTCTTTTATTTTTGAACAAATGTCGCTGCAAACATAAATATATTATAAATTGATAAACTGTTTTAAAATATACAATTTGGAATATTTATTTGTCATGCAAATTAATTTACTAATTCTGAGGGGAAATCAGCATAAACGAAATCGGTATTAATTTTTTTCGAAAATCCTCAATACTTTCAAAAACAGTCTACTGTAATTAAACCAAAAATTAATTTTTAATTTGTATGAAATCAGACATCTTTAACTCTCCTCATCAAAAAATTTTAAAACCATGCTTAAATATAGTGACTAATTTTACCAAAATAAAACAACCCAAGTGATTTTGAATAATCATCTAAATTTCTATTAACATTTGTTAGAAAGACGCAACAAAAATACGCACAGTTAGATAACTAAGATTCAGATAAATTACCGAATATGGGGGTTTTGTGGATATGTCATGCTTATTTTTATAACTGAACGAAATGAGATTTTGTCCAGTGATTTGCTCTTTTCTTTTCTAATATAAGGATCTAAATAATCTGGAATAGATAGTGCATGCATTAGAACTCTAGCCCGGACCGCCGATCCGCACAATATACTTACTACGTTCCATAATGTTAACCCTTCGGTTGGAGTCGTAGATCTCGTCGTCCACGGACACCACGATGTAATCCCCGCTCTCGAGTAGCCGCCGATTCTGGAGGCCCCGCACAAAGTCCACCATGGCAATATGCTCCCCAATGAACACATAGACTGTTTGGGGTGTTTGGTTAAATACAGATGCTTCAATATTGAACAGTGCCATTTACAATTCAAACGGAAAATTATTGAATTTATGTGCTTGCATTGAATAAAGCAATAATTAACCTTTGATTTATTTAAACAGTAGGTATACACAAAAATATACGATGAAATATTTTTTACTTCTAGCCATTTTTAGTTATAAAAAACACTGTTAAAACACACAACTTAAAATTAATCCTTACTGCGTGTTGTTGAATAGGTTTCTTCAATAATTTTATCGATCTGCGAAAGTGTCTTCGTGGTCGGTATATAGTCAGATATATGTTTAAAATGGCTGATGGTAAAGTTCCTTGCTTCCGCCAGTTCCTGTTACCGAAACTCTAAAATCAGTTAAAGTAATATAGTCATGGGACTCACCTGAATCGCCCGAGCAACATCGGAGCCCCAGATGGGTTTCGAGCTGACAACTATAGAGAATTTGTTCCAATGAAAGGCGTTCAGTAGACTGATTACACTCTTGGAGACCTTTGAATATGTGGATTTAATAAAATTAGGGACTTTGAAGTCGGGGTAGCTGTTTATAAAAATTACCTTGGAGGCCGGAGCTAAGGTTCGTGCAAAGGTATGAAAGGTACTTTTGTTCGAAACAATTGAGTCGGAGCATTTCTACAGCAGAAACAAGAATAAATGTTTAAGGATTCAGTAAAATGTATTGAAAAAGAATTGCCAGAGAAAATAAATAGCAAATAAAGTCTTAGCAATGGAGCTCTAAAAGTTCTTTTAAAATCTCTGATGCCACTATATTTTTGTTTACCCAAGTTAAGGAGTTTATTTGTCTTTTATTTGATAGTCAAATTTTGGCACCATAGAGTGTTGCACTTTTTTTATGGAAATGGCTCATAAATTGTGGATCAATCGGCAAGAGAAATCTCCGTAAACTGTAGCACAATGACCTATCACATGTGAAAGGTAAGGTATTCAATTCTTGAATTGAACACTGGTGACCCAGATTTGAGTAATGGGTCTACTCACAAAGGAAAGCATCGGAGTGTTCCAGGCAGAGGCCAGCAGAGCCTCCGTGGTGCAGCTCTCGTCCGGACCGATGAATGCGGTCACGCCCATTTCCCTCATCTGTGTCATCGCCCTGGAAACGCAAACGGAAACGGAAACAGACACCGGAAAGGGACAATTTCAAAAGGTAAATGATGTAGGAGTAATTTAATGTGGGAGTAATTGACTGAATTACCTCAAAGGCTTCACGCGATAGGCGCTCATTTTGTGGCCAATGTCAACCGGTTTAAAGGCCAACTTCTTACCCGGCAGCAAATTCGGATTCTTGTTCACATCCTCGATGGCGAGTGGCAGTCCGCCCAGAGTCACCTAATGTAAGTAAGGTCAGTTTAAAGTCAGCGATGAGTAGTGGATAATTGCAACAGATTCCCGTACCCCTCGGAAAGTCCGCCCCGCTGTGAATGGCTCTTAATTTATGCATGTTGTGCTTGTGGCAAAGGGCCTGAGCAAAGCATAATAAAGCAATGCAAAACAACTAACATTTACACTTGGTTTCATCTCGTGGGGGTGGTTAATTTAAGAATTTCTCATAAACACATTTCACCATTACAAAGGAATGCTGTTTGAGATTTATTCAGTACTCACTTTTCTCCTACTCATACCTGAACAATTGTAATTAACTCTAGTCTCTTGCACAGAGCATGTAACGCCCACTTCTCAGGAAACTAAAATAGAAATTATATTTTTATACCCTTGTGGAGCTTAGGCTTAGCCAGACTTTGGAATTCCTAGAATAACGTTATTATTTATATTTATGTATATTATTTTCCAGAGGTGTATTTATAACATCTCCTTTTGTACCTTGTCTAATTGTACCCCTAACTTTTGTCTGTGTGGGAAGGTTTTTATTATTTTATTTCTGAAGTTATACTTTGAATATGGGGCATTTTCTTGAAAACCGGCTATCCATAACCTATGAAAACATTTTGGGACTTTTACTAATTAAAAATTATAAATTTTAAACCAAATTTGTAATTTTTTATTATTTAAAAAAATATAATACGTTGAAACCATTGATTTTAATATGTACTATTATGTGAATGTAATTTACAATTTTCTTTTATATTAGGTATACCCAAAAAAAACTCGATATGAATCGTAGGTCAATTTGACCTTTTTTAAGATCATTTTTAACTTGATATGGCGCCAGGTAAATGTGATATGGTCGACCAAAACTTATACTAGTGCGAGCGAGAAAACATGCTTTCGAAGTACGTCAGTTCGAATTTCGAATACGTCTTTCTCGCTTCCACTCATGTCATTTTGCTCGCCATATTGATTCTTGCGCTCTTTTTCGAAGTAAGAGAATCTCCGAGAGAGAGAATTCGGTAAAATGATATTATTTAATGTAAATTTTATGAATATTTCAGGTAAAAACGATATGAGTAGGAATAACCAGAAAATTACCTGGACTTATCGATTTTACGGCGACGTGCTTTTTTTTGTGTGATAGAACTAATTTTTAGGCTATAAAATGAAGCACAAAAAATATTAATTTTTAGAAAGTTTAAACTTTCACTTTAATTTAAATACTTATTTCCACTTTAAGTCGACAAAACTATCATTTCAAAGCCGAGTAGCTCGTTGATTTCCCGGGCGTAGGCCCGCAGCTCGTGATCTCCGCCACCAATGTGTCTGGCACCCAGCATACGAAGATTGAGTCTCAAGGCGACCACGAAGCTGGTGATGGCCAAGATCAGCAGGTAGATCCAAGCCGCAGTAGCAAGGATGACGATCAATAGAAAATTATCAGCCTCGAGGCAGGGCTCCTTGGCCAGGCACTCCCAAACGTGGTGGGGGAACATGCTGAGACCCTGGGCGACCCTCATGCTCCAGGGCAGGAGCATCACGGGACTGCACTGCTGCCACACGGACAGGCCAGTCATGCGAATAGTGGTGAGGAGTCCCCCGAGGGGTCCCTTGGTGGGCAGGTATATTAGACCGTATCCGTAAAACATGGCACCCATGGCGAAACCCGAAAGGAAAGGACTGCAGGCGAGCTCTCTTGGCTGGCCCACTACATAAACACGGGTCAGGGGTCGCTGAAGCTCCGGCGATTGGTCAATTTGGATTCGTACCTCCAGCATCGACAGCATCAAAGTCAGTTGGAGCACCGCGAAAATACAGAGGCAGTGATGCGAACGAACAAAGTTCCGAATATAGTCACGCATTTTGATTTCGATTTTTTTTTCAATTAAGCCAGACAGTTTCGGAAAGTGTTCCTTGGGCCAATTTTCATCAAGGTCTGCATATTCGAAAATGTACCTTTTTTGCTTTTAGGAAACCCTGTTGCTAACATGTATAAAGTTATTTGCCTTACATGTTTGCCTTTTGAGACATGAAACCCTGGAAACCGTTAAGGATTCCTTTGGAAATGTCTAATTACTCTCGGGGAATGAATACTTATATTAAGAAGCTTAATTAAGCTCTTGGATTTAAACAGAATTTCTATTCGCCGTTTGAAGCTTTATAAGTTGGATTCTTTGCTGGGGAAGATTAAAGTTTTTTAGTGAAATTTTTTAAGCCAAAGTCAAACTCTTAGTTGCTGACATGCCCGAAGAAGATACAAAAAAATTTGCCTTATTATACGGACATAGCTAAAAAAGCAACTACAGTTATTACACAGTTAAATAACATGGAATGCCCTGGAGCTTCTTTACACTATTTACACTTTATCCATTGCACAAATTTAATTACTGACTATTCCCTTATGAGTAAAGGGTAAAAAATGATTTACGTTTTTTTGAATACATAGTTCCTTTGCAGTATTCATTGGGGGATTAAAGAGGGAGGTTATTTTGCAGTTCCACCTCCGCCTCGCAGGTGGAAAAGTGTTAAAATTGAATAGTAAGAGAAATTGTATTTCCTTCACTGTCAAGGCTTGCATGATTATAATTAGAATTATGTGGCGTTGGCCATAATCTATAAATATACTAATTTAATAGGTGATAATAATATCAATTGAAATACCGACTTGTTTTGTGGTTTTCGTTCGACGATTTCAATGGCAATTAATTAAAATATCCAAACTGCCCAAACTGGACTCCTAAAGTATGACACATTTTTAATGGCTGGCTGCATTTGTCAGTTACGCAAAGGGTTATATTTTCACAAATTTAAATCCATTCTATAATTATATTACAACTGCAAGTGTTGGGAATTTATTGGAAGTCAAACCAAGTTTTAAAGACTTTAATGACAGCAGACAAATAAAAGTGGTTTATTTCTGTACCTTTAACACTGGCAGCGAAATATTTCCTCGGATGCGTACGTAAGGCTCTTATTATCTCTTTTTAAAAATAAATAAAACGTAATTAAAGGCAATGATTTTTTCAAGCGAATTTTTCAATTAATCTTCCCACAGTTTTTTTTTATTATCTGAAGCATCGTCTTTAAATCCATGCTGCGAATTCGGCGTGGGCAGGAAACTGTGCAGACACTTCGGTCCAAAATGATGTTAATTACGGTGGAAGAGATGGCGAAAGCTTTATTAAAGGTATGCAAAATGAGTATTGCTTTAAAGGTTTTTCATATGCATCGAGGGTATCAATTAATACATTGTGAGCAATTATTCTAGCAATACCTTTTTAAAAGCTCCCGGACAAAGAAACTACTGCAATTGACAGCTTCTCGGTAAAGTTGCCATTTGATTGTAAAATTGTTTGCTAGTCAGATAAAATAAGAATACAACAATGTATGTATGAAAAGTTAAAAGAATAAAAGGGAAAATTATAGTTTAAATTGTACTATTTTAAAACTTTCCTATATTAATTATCTTCCACACACACTTAGCCCATACAAATTTATCTAATTATGTACCAATTACGACACACATTGTAGTCTGCGTCTTATAACAATTTTTACTTGTAAGGGCACATTACAAGATTTTAAATGAAATTGCTGACTAGCCTTTTTTCATTTAAGAAGCGAGGGAGAGGTGCACATGTGGGTATATGAGTTAAGGACGAGTGCGAGTGCCATAGAAACAGGAAACGGTTGTTGAGATGAGGTTTAAGCTCATGGATGATTGCAATTCAAGTAAACATTAAACCGTATTTAAATTTTCCCTAAAACGGTTTTTATGCTACCAATTCTCTTAAGTTTATATAAAGCAACGTATTTCTGTGTAACTGGACACTGATTTAAAGCAAAATTCAAGGCTTTGAAAAGCAAAAGCCCTCCCACCCAAAAAGAAACATTTTTTGTCGCTATAGTTCCTGGGCTTTGAAACAGTAAGCCATTTAATGAAGCTTCCGAATTTTCTTCAACATACTTACAGGGAACATATTTAGTTAAAAGTTGTAATAATTATAAAAAACTTTAGACATATTTAAATAAGAGACAAGCTCCCAAATACAAGCCATTATCTTTCAATATTAAAAATTGAAATTAAAAGTTTCTAAAATGACTGTAGGAAGTAAATTATTGTAGTTGACTATAAAAAAATACATTTTTTAAACAAAATTTGAAGTAGGACATTTTGGTGCTAGGAAAATCTTTTGCTCAAGGTACGATTCTTTCAAAGTAAATTAAGGCATAATTGTTAATTAAAAAAGGATTGAAAGCCAGACACAAGAAATCCTTTGTCGAATTGTGTTTTTGGCAAATGTTGGTCAAACGCGTTGGTGTCGTTTTTACGACAAATTTTAAGCTTGGAGCAAATGATTTGAAAATGTATAATTTTCAGCAATTAGTGTTTTTTGTTTTTCACAATTTATGTACCATTAATACCTCAAACAGTTCCTTTCTTTTTCTTTTTTTCCGTTTTTTGTTTCCTTCTGGAAAAGCAATTAATAAAAAAGGTATGGTGGTCACTTCATGACTTTAAAGCTAAATAATATTTGTTTTCTGGTGAAGGGAACCTTTTGTCGCTTTTAATGCCCTGAAGGGCAATTTAAGCAGATATAAGATGGCGCAATGGGGAAAAATAAAACTTACAGGCAAAGCAAATAAGTAAACATAATGAATTTTCGTGCTAAAAGTTGACGTATTGCCAACATACAATGAAAAATAAATATCAGTGTCATAAATATCGAGAGTTTGCCTAATGTGGATTTATGAAGTTTATTTGGTTCTTTTGACGAAATATTGTTACGATTTCCTGGTGGCATAAGTCAATAATTCTGAATAAATATAATATCGGTTTTAATAAAACCCAACAAAGTTATTTATTTCCTGCCACACATGTACAGAACGTTCAGAAAACCTTATCAGCTTACAAAAAATATATATATTTTTATGATCCACATTCATTTGTGTATATCACGCATAACTGAAAAAGGCCGAAAAAATCATGAATCGTTTGGCGTTGGTCCATTTATGAAGGACTCTTGATGGATTTGCTTTTAGTCTTTTCATTTCGTCAGGCAGCCAGTCAAATAAATGGGAGCCATCAACACACTATTACAAGTATTGTGGATTTTTCCGGGGTCCAATTAAGTTCGGAATAAAAGAAAATAGATTTGAACGGCTTACTGACCTATCAATAGGATATGCATTTATCTTTATTATTCTTCCTTTTTCCATCACGGACTGGATGACCGTTGTCAATCCTCTTTAAAATCATCAGAAAATGAAAACAAGATGGGAAAAACAGTTAAAAGAGAAAATAGAATAGAAAACACCCTATCTATATTGTATGTTCTTAATGGCTTTTAAGAACTTAACTTTGATGTTTCGTTTTTTATTATAGTTATTATATTTTTTAAACTGATAAATATTTATTTATTTTAAAATTTTATGAAATTGTAATTATACTATTTAACTATTTCGCATCGGCATCGGTGTTAGAGTATTTTAGTCAAATGCCTCAAGGGACGCATGATGTGTTTGATTGGGGCTGCCAGCACAATCGGCCCTTCAATCTGGAAGCTGAGCTATAAATTATATGATATTTTTGGGACACGATGCGTTGACTTGTGGCCCCAAATGAGATTGGCATTTGAATTGCAAATGTGACAGGTTGATGTATTATGCATGCACATACACAATTAGCCCAGGGCGAAATTTGTAATAATTTTCGATAATTTTTGGCGAACTTTAAACCGCCATCAAGGCGGTTGGAAACTCCAATTACTCACGCGCATCTGGGAATATTCAGCTAGGAATCCAATATTTATCGTGTCCGACAGTCGGCGCGAGGAGGCAGTGGCTCCGGAAGCCAAAGGATGGCTCCGCTGACAGCCGAGAAGGACGAAAATGCAGGAGAATGCAGCGGTGGAGGCGGAACAGCCTGGCATCCTCGAAGGCAATAAAGTTTTATTTTGCACTGAAACTGAAACTGACACCGAACACGGTCACTGACAACTTGACAACCTGACTACGGAGCACAGACTTTGGAGCACTTAATGGTCTCAGTGGACTTTAGCATGATCCTGGGAGCAGCAGGTGGACCAGCGAACGACAGTCATTTGTTTAGGCAAATCCCATATTCCATATATCGTATCTTTTATCCCAACAGGTGTGCGCGTATTTGCCAGTCTGAAATCCAACTTGTTGCTCCGTTCCGGCACTTTAACACGCCCGTAGTCCGTCACAGACTGAGTTCGTGCCATCAGTGGTCCTGCTTTTATAGCCTCTGTGCTTCGGGTCCTCCAACGCGATTCGTTTCGGTTCCGGATCGGAAAAGGAGCAGTGGGTGGATGGCCACCCAGCCAGGAGGAAGCGCCAAAATTAAGTGGTCTATGAATGACAAAATCAGCAGAGCCTGGGGATCAAGAGCGGGACAAGTGGGCGGCCGTCCCTTGCTGGTCGGTCAGTTGGACCAGGATGCTGAGGACTTTGTTTATTTGTTCCTGTTGGCAGCCAAAAATCATTCGTTTCAAATTTAGAGTGACCCAGCTTTCCTCCTGTTAAGCACATTACTTTCCTGTTCCTGATACCCATCGAGGCAATTTATATTTGCAAATTGCAATAATACTTCCCCATGCACTCAGTCTGACAGTCAATTATGGGAATAATCTTTTGTTTTTGCCTTGTCAGATTGCGTAGGAGGCTTTAGGGTTTCCGGGGCTAATAGTCGGGGGTAGTAGATCAAAGGAGCTTAAGGTTTTTTATTGTACAAGTCCATTCTGCAAAAAATATTACCTTTGGAAACCTAGTTGATATACTTAGGCAGTTTAAAAGTGAGTTTTAGAACTCAAATGTTGTTTAAGTAAATTTAAGTATTCCATCAAAGAAAAGGACACCCTTTATCGAGGTGCGTTGTTGAATTTCAAGTTCAAGGTCAGCGGGATGTGAATTTTGGCGGCGATTTTAGAGCTGCACAACGAAATCCGAATTTAGATTGCCACAAAAGGGATTGGAGGGACTTTTACCCGGTATTCCAAATGCAAATGCTTTGGCCTACCTGCAGACGGATATTGGTTTGAGAATGTGGAAACTCAGACTCATTGGGACATTTATTTCGTTGTAATTATCTTAATGCCATTGGTTTCGGTTTCTAATTAAATTTCCTTAGGCCTAACAAAGTGGCATCACATAACTTGCCACCTTTCACATTCACATTAGCTTAGCACTCGTCTCGGGTTTTTATTTTCAATTGCCATGCGAGAGGTAATTTGCAACTGAATTCCAATACATTTCGGAAGCGGCTCAATAGCCCAGACACTCCGGGTCAGTATCGAAGGTCTTGAAACAAAAATACACAGAATATTTTATTTTACCCCTTAATTCCTTTTTTAAAAACACTTGCCCTTATTTATCGTTTAAAAGCGTTTATTTAAAGGCTCACATAATAGATCTGTTAATATTAAATTTTCTATCGAAATATCCGAAATAGATTTACCTCCTATTACATTTGATTTTTACCTTAAATAACTTTAGTTGAGAAAATGGGCTCAAGTCTAACTAACTAAAGCGTTATATCGCTCTGTACCCATTCACTTTCTATTTGAGTATTTGTCTTTTCATTGTTCTAAAGTGCTGTTAAGGTCCAAGTTCAATTTCAATGCCGGCTCAGAATTTGATTCCAGTTGAGCCGACACGTAAGCTGATTGAAATGAAAATTTAATTTTAGCTTTCGCTGGAGTGACTCCTGTTCCTCCTTGCCAATGGTTACTCCTTTGTGTGCCGGACGGAGAATGACGATTATGGGACCATGACGACTCATATTCATATTCATATCCGCCTTTTGAGACGGTGCGTTTGCACATGACAATAGGAAACTGCCAGAGAGCTGAAGTTTCCTCTACCGTGAATTATTCATCGACAGAATAACTTCAGGATGTGCGATGAAAGCGGGTCTTGCATTTCCACATTTAATTTATTAATTTAACCTCACTTAACATTTAATTCCACAGTCGGTGGGACTCGAATTTATTTTGGTAAGCCGATGTCACCTTTAAAATCAAAAATAGTTCACAAATGTCACGATTTTCCGTTTGCATATATTTATGATGTAGATTTACGTATATGTAAACAATTTTATACGTGTGATTTGCTTTTATTGCCATTTGCGAATAATTTTTACGCACTCCCACGGGAATTGATTTCACATTTCGAAAATTTGCGTGCGACAGTTATTTTTTTTATTGTAAATTGTGTCTATTATCTGCCCATTGATAATGGTAAAATTAATTTCTGTTGTGCATTCCGGATGTGAATACATGAATGTGTTTTAAATATTAAATCTGTTTGTTAAATTTTGAGATGGGAGTTTTTAAGAAATAAGAAAATTAACTTTTTAAATGTGATAATTTATGTCATGATTGGATAAATTTGATAAATATTTAAAAATATAACAAAGGCAGCACAAGCTATTAGAAATGCCGACATAGCTCTTATTTCTAAATCCAATTCAGTTGAATTGCTTTTTCCATTAGGCTGCGACAGTGCAAACAGAATAAATAATATGCTAGTGTTCTTAGTTCAAATCTGCTAGCTGTTTTAGTATATCAACATGGCAATTTAAATACACAAATGTGGGTTCAGTTGGGGCATTCGCACTTGCTCAAGGCTTAAACATAGAAAAGTGGCCAAAAATTGTATTAAAATTTCTTGAATTTCAATATTAAGCTTGTTCCAAAGGGCAGGACGAGTTTAAGGGGTTTCAAATATATTGCTATCCTTTCGCTAACTTTTAATTAAATTACTTGCTCATGCGGTATTCAGAAATTTACAATTTCATTAGTATTTGAAGTTCGAAGATAACAGATAACTACGAGTATTCTTCCAACTTAAGACATAATATGTTAAAACCTTAAAGTGAATTTTTTATTTTTAATAACACAAAATAATATTTCAGTTTTTAATGTTTTTTATTATTTATTTTTACAATGTTTCGTGTAAACTTATTCTTAGCGGCCGACAGAAAAATGTAGAGTTTGCTGCGAGTTTCAATATAGGAGTTACTTCACTGGTAATGGGAGAGAGCATCTTTGTTGATGACGCCCGCGTAACTGGTGTATTTCGGAGAGGTTCCATTGAGGGCGATGAACTGCTCAGCAACTTCCACCGCAACGCGAACCTGCGCCTCCGAGGTGCTGGCCCCCAAATGGGGCGTGGCCACCACCTTGGGATGAGCGATGAGAGCCTTGGTCACCGCAGACTTTGGCGGCTCCTCGGGATAAACGTCGAAAGCGGCGCCGGCCACTTTTCCACTCTCAAGGCCATCGAGCACGGCCTGTTCATCGACGATGCCGCCGCGGGCCACATTTACCACCTTGACACCCTGCTTGCACTTCGCAAGGGTCTCCGTCGATATGAGATCTATAAATAAATTAGATTTTGAGGTAAGCTTTTATACCTTTTATAAAATCTAAAATGACTTTAATATATTTACATTTATTGCTCTTTAAATAAGAATTTTGTTTCCGATTTTTTACATTAATCAAAGTTAAAGACTCTGTTTAGAGCTATCACCATGAGCGAGAGTTCGAGTCTCAGAAAATATGACAAAAGATATTTATTTAAATTACAATGAAAATTTTATAAATTGTTGATTGAAAAATAAAGACAACAAGTTTGTATAAAAAAAAATTAATACAGAAACAAACTTTTTAAATATAATATGAATCTATTAGTGATTAAATCGACCCATTTCTAAGTGCGAGTATTGTTGCTGAATTTTAATAAAAATGGTTATAATTTAAAAACGTTCAAAATGCCATTAAATTTGATTTTTTCAAATGCTGTTTCCATTTTAAATGCAACAGAATAGCTAAACTTACTTCTTGTGGCTGGGATAAGCGGCGTGTGGACGGTTATGTAATCCGCCAGAGGCCAAATCTCTTCCAGCGTCATCTTCTCGATGCCAGCCGCCTTGGCCTCCGCCTCCGTGGTGATGGGATCGTATCCAATAATCTGCAAAGCACTCACGGTTCGATTAAAAGTTTCACCTTAAGTAAATAGGCATTCTCAAAACCCACCCGCATGCCCCAGGTCTTCATGCGAATGGCGACCTCGCGACCAATGCGTCCCAGTCCGAGGACCGCCAGGGTTTTTCCATAGAGCTCGGTGCCGGCATAGAGCTTCCTGTCCCAGCGACCCTCCTTCATGCTCTGACCGGCGGGGACGACGGGACGGGCCAGGGAGCCAATTAGGATGCACGTCAGCTCACAGGCCGAAATAGAATTGCCACCCGGAGTGCTGAAAGCGACGAGAGTTTAGTTAAACATTCCCTAAATGCCTCGATAGACAGTAGTAGTGGGTTTCGGGTGGCAATGGGTGGCGTTTGTTGTGACTAGACAGCATTATGCAAATGCCCCCCCGAAAAAAAGATGGCAGCAAAATATGGCAATTTTCGCGCTTTGCCTCGTATCCTTGGCAATGTTGTGGGCCATCTGACATTGACGCGACCAACCCACAGCCCACAGCCCTCAAACCTTCTCTACCGCCTCCATTGACACTCGGCGTCCCTTAATTATGCGTGTCAAAGGGCGTCAATTGACCCAAGTCATGGCTATGGCTCTGTTCTGTTCTGTGCTGCGATGCGATGCGATGGCGACTGCCAATCCAGCGATTCAGAATGCGCATAATTATTCGGGAGCTGCGCCATCGAGGCTTACACTATGCAGCACTCCCAGAATGTGCAGATGCTTTGGAGACCCTTATCATCTTAAAATTGCCTTTAAACTGTTATTGGTTATATTTTGTTTTGTTTGTTGATGATTGACGAGGTTCTTAAAATAGCCATTAAATCAATATCAATCCGCAAATCAAAGCATTGAATTCTTTTAGAAACTCAAAATAAAAGTTAAGTTTGAATAAACTATTATTATATACTTATCTACTGTGCCACCTTAAGAAGTAGTTTGGTTCCATCTGGTTACAAATAATCCTAGGCAATTCTAATAAACCTTACCTATGTCTAATTATTTTCTGCCAATTATTTGAAGTACGAAAAATACCAGACTAAAAATCCATTTATTTCTCTTTGAATAAAAATAATAAGAAATTTGTGAGCTGCAAGTCCCTAAAATCTTTTGAGTTTCACTTTAAATCGATTAATTCTATATATTTATACTAATATTTCAGGTCTTTTCTTGCACAGTGCTCGGAGCAATTCTTTTTCCCCGAGTACAATGCACCAAGAGCTTATGAGGGACTTACTTCAGGACAACGACATTGTGCGCCGTGGCTGCAGGAACATCGATGTTATCAACGCCCGCCCCCGCACGGCCAACAACCTTCAGACTGCCGGATCCGGCGGCCAGAACTTCCGCGGTTATTTTCGTATCCGAGCGAACGATGGCAGCGTCGTAGTTCTGGAATGAGGGGTAATTTAATAATTAGCATCTGTGTAAATATAAATATTTGTAAATTTTCGTGTAATTCCCTAAACCATTTCGCTGACCATTTTAAGTGCTCCAATAACTGTTTTCGTCTGGCAGCGCGATTGATACCCCTTAACACCTGGTGGTCAATTATATATTATCTTGAAAAAGTATTGGTCTGGCATAATGTTTCTGGTTCGATTCATTAGTTTACTTTTTCCCAGAAATGTTCAGTCTCACTTGGAACAATATATTTTATGTTGGGGCAACATCGTCTGATCGGCAGTTGGTGTGATAAGAATAATTCGATTAAGCCTGATAACAATGTCTAGCGCCGCAAGCTTTAAAGTGGTTCTCGGAAACTATTTTATTACCAAAAAAGGGCAAACATATATTGTACATACAAATAAAGTTAAAGTATCGTTTGCTTAAAAAATTGAAATTTTATAAACCTTCTCAATATATTTTAAGTTCATGAAAAAGTTAGGCAATGCAAACCTATACTTTACAGAATACGGGGTACCACAAATTAAAATGAAAAACATGTTGGTCGTATTAAATTGTTTTTCTGTGTACAAAAGAAACATATTTTTTGTCGAATATTTTTCTGACCCTTCAAATTGTTTTATGATTTTGTGAAAAATAACTTTCTCTAAATCAAATAAAATTCCCAACTAAAAGCAAATCTAAATAAGTTAGGAGAATAAATGAAAGTCTTTTGTTGTAAACTGAATATAAGCGGGCTAAAATACTTAATTGAGGATAAAGCGAATAAGCTTTCAAGACTTTGTAAATTGAAATTAAAATACAAAATAATGTATTATTATTTTATAAAGGGTTCTATATGATTATCGTCCATCAATTCATTATCACTAATTTGCAATGAGGTTTAAACAGATTTAATTACAAACACTTTACAGTCGGGTTAGATGAGAATCTTGTTGCCGATAACACTTATGAATACTAAATCACACATACTTGTGCAGTCTTGTGTTTTACACTTTCAAGTTGCTGTGCGGATTTTGTGCTTATGTAGTCAGTTGCTTAGTTACAGACTAATTGAGATATGTATGTTGTCATTATGTAACAGCCACAATTACCACCACACAAATGTAAGGAAATGCAGCAATATTTTAGCTCAGCGCACGTGTTTTAAAACCGCACCTGAATCGCTTAGAGAGCTTTCAATTACAACGACTTATCTCTTACATATGTAGTATTTATTTATTCACCTGTGCTGTAATCCCAAAGCCACTTACCTTAACTTCCTGACACAGTTCCTCCACGGGGAGCTTCAGCTTGTAGGTAACCTTGTCAAAAAACAAAAATAAATGGTCAACAACTCTGATTAAATTGTGCAATCAATTAAGTGCAACTATTTTCTGTTTGCCCACTTGTAAGCTTCTTTACATGCTTACAAATTCATTTACAGTGGAGACTTATCATACACGATCGTTGTAAAATAAGGTTAAAACAAATATACGACTATTATTAATTTTTTAATTTTATTTAATTTGTTATTAATATTTTACTTCTCCATTGAGATTGAATTTATTTAATTGTAGACTGACATTTTTTAGTGAAATGTTTATATTAAAATTTAATATTAGAAATCAGACAAACTCAATAAAATACAAATAATTTTTAAATTCAAATATCTTTAAAGTGCAGATCCTCTTTCGATAAATTTTCAATCAAATATTTTTTACCAGTAATAATGCTATGTAGAAAATGCAATAAAAAGCAACTGCAGCTGAGCTTCTTTTTTCGAGGGAGCACTGTACTTTAAGGCACTTGTATGGGTGTAAGCTTTTGCAAAGTCTGCACATAATCGCTTGTCACGTCAGGGGATTTAGGAAACTTACATTAATCCCGTGCTGCTCCAGCAGCTCCACGCAGGATTTGTCCACTGCATCGCAGACCAGGACTTTCTTGATATTAAGCGGCATATTTGCTGTTGTAAATAGTATATCTGGGCAATCTGGACAACCGGTCGATTGTGTTAATTTTTGCCAATTACTTTCCGCCACTCACGATCTGCGTCTCTGAGCAAACAAATTGAACTGACTTTGAGAGCGGGAACGTCGGGTTATCGAACCTGACTTTCAATTTGTACTTCTCCCCGGTGCAATGTGAGTGTTGTTTTTCTGGGTGATAACCGCCTGGAAAGATCGGAGAGCGCCAGTGGAACCCCAGTTCTCTCGCTCTTTCTCTTGGGGCAATCTGTTCTTTTTGGGTGTGCGTGTGAGTTGTTTTCGATTTTGCTTCGAAAACAACAATTTTAACCCATGTGCGACCCCAGGTTGAAATATATAATTTACATTTAATAATTAGTTAATATTTTTAGTTAAAGTAAATAGTTTCAAACTGAGAAAAACGGGACAGAGCTAAGTGACAAGTTCGGTCTAAAACCAAAATTTGTATTTGTGACTTTAGGGAACCCCACAATATAGATTACCCGTTATTATAACATTTAAAGGGAATACATTTTTCATCTGTAATTGTAGGAAATCGCTCAGTTATTAGATTTATTCAACCATACCTATTAATTCCAAATACCACCCCAAAAGAAAAAAGGAATCCAGTTTATTTTCAATATTTTTATTGTATTTGCTTTTAATTGCAATTTAGCTTTCATTTAACTACGTATTTTCCAAAAACATATTGTTAACAACATTTGAATGCGAAAAAATGAAAACAAAAACAACAAAACATGGCCGAGAAGACTGCAGATGATCATCCTTGCCATTAAATCAGAGGAATATTACAAAGTTCGTAACAAAATAAAGTGCTAACAAATTTAATTATCATAAACTATTTACATACAATTCTTGGAAATTGCTGATTGGGTTTTAGTTACTGTTTTCTCTTTTTTTTACAATATGTATATGTTTTGCATGTATAAAATATTCTATATAAATTTGGATTGGGGTTGATATTTTCACAATTAGTTTGTGTTTTTTCTGGGTATTCGGTGTGGGGATCTTTTGGTTAATCATAATATATTGAATAGGGATTTCTCAGGCGTGCTCTTGTCAATTTTTCCACTTCCTTCATCAGTTTAATAAGGGATTTAGGCTAAAAAAATAAGGTTTGCTTTTTATTTATTAAAGTGGCTTGAAAAGTAGAGAAGTTATTACCGCTAAATTTAATTATATATAGGCGTATCCTCTTTAAAGTTTCAGTATTCTTGCTATAAAATTTGTTTGTGTGTGTTTCTTTTAGTTCTTTAGAGTGTCAACAAATTTAAATTGCTTGGTTTTGTTTGTTCGTTAATCGGAAATAAGATTTGATTATTACAAAAAAATTGATATATATTAGAAGCAAACCTGTTTGTTTTTGCAAAAATTTATGAAGACTTTTTGTCCATCTGCTAGAAGGTTATTTAATAGAATATATGAATTTATCAAGTTTAGTTTTCCGAAACTTTCAAAGAATTTGAGTTGAGAAATTTAAGGCATCTTACAAAATATCTTCAACATATTCCTATCAGATCTGATGAAATTTGCATGGCAAAGTTTGCCCTTTAACAATATCTGGGATAATCTATTATTTTTATTCCATATTAATTTGTTCATATTTCGGTTTTCACGCTTACAAAATGCCGGCTGATGTATCTGTTTTGGTTTAAATTTTGTTAATTATAGTAAGAACATACATATTCATGTATAAATGTATATGCACCTTTATAAATGTGTGTATCTTTTAATATATACCATTATCATATATTGAATTACCAGTTCTGTGAATTATGTGCAATATTCTAACATACACATTCCCATCAACTGATCTTTTAAACTTAAGTATTCCGTTTGTCCCCTTTTTAGCTGCGAAGGATCGTATCTAGTTTTGTTTTTAACTTTATGCTAGTATTAAAAAGTAATATTTCATTTAGGCTTAGCTAATACATAGATCATTTTGGTTTGCCACTTTTTACAAGAAGTGCTTGCGTATCGTATGCTGCTTTCCGTTATATTTAAATGTTTTGTTCCTCGTTAAAGCGCCTCCAGTGCCTTGGCCAACCCCATCCAAATTCGCTTCAAGGGAAAGGCGTACATTCTCCAGAGCCCTGCACTTTGAAAGTAATTTGGAAATATACCTCTGGATGTCCACTCCCAATTGGTATTCCTTCTTTTTGCAGCCCGTCTGAGTTCTAATCCTTTCCCCTCCTGAATGTTGCTAACAATTTCTTCTGGGTATCTGTATTTGTCGTGCGCTGTTCAAATTTGCTTTCCAAAATTTAGTTATATCACCTTGTATCTCTTATATAAAAAAGTACTAGATTTTTGCTTTTATTTCCGGCTTAATGGCCTGGCCTGTCCGCTACACCGTCCTACAAACTCTGTGGAATTCAGCTGTAGTCCCTGGACAGTAGGATGGGTTCTGTGGGTGTGCACAGATCAACTAGCTAGTAGCTACTCTTCATCAACTCTTACTCGAGGTGGCGATCGATTTGAATGCAGTGCGGTTCATCATTGTTGGGCGCTAGCTCAGTTCGACAACTAATGATCGACAAATTTAGCATGGTGGTTGGAATTGTAAAGGGAGTGCTCGTTCGGAATGGGCCAGATCAACGTTTCTCGTCTCGACATTACGTGTAGGTACTTACAATACTTGAACAATAATTTTGACGCATTCGACCATAGCGGATGGTAGAGGTGAAGAGGATGATCCCTTTTGGCCGGGAAATGCAAGATATCTGGAGAGGAGAGGAGTGGAGTGGTGTGGAGTGCTGTTGTGTAACTCGATTTGATGGTTTATAAGGCACTGGTAGTTTAAATCGCTATACCTAAAGCTGGGTCGCCACTGTGATCTAATTCCGATCGCGACCCAGTTTGGAGGCCTGTCCACGAGCAATCCAAATTCGATTTCGGAATTGCGATCGTGAACTGTGCGCTTTTTGGCAGGTGTGTGGCATGATATGGTGTGACAAGGTATCTAGGTCGAAAGTATTGCTGTTGGAAGAGGAAGTCTACATGGTGCGTTTCTTTCAAGCTCAAAACAAATTATTATTTAATTTTATTGGTAGTATTTAGAAAGTTCGGTTAAGGTCTACGAGATGAACTAAAATTCCAGGAAGATCCAAGTTTTTATCAGTCACTAAACATAGGTACTAAATAATAAATAAGGTATTAATTTAATAAAAATGATTGATTTGAAGATGCCTATGAATCATTCGGCTTTGAAACGCACTTGCGTGTTAAGTTTTCAATAATAATTTAATAAAAATGATTGATTTGAAGATGCCTATGAATCATTCGGCTTTGAAACGCACTTGCGTGTTAAGTTTTCAACTAGAAGAATTCCTAGCAGATGGGCTGAAGAAAGTGTCAAGATATCAATTCTGCGTAGAGAAGAAAGAGGATTGATGCGAGAATAAGGCATCGGTTTGAGATTAGAGAGATTTCAATCGGTTCACAGTCAACTGAGGGAGTGTTGGTGTGAGTGTGTTCGAGTGTGTGTGCAGGTGTGTTCCTTTGTGGCTCGACTTAGATTAAGACACGTTCACTAAATTATTAAAGCTGACACTTATTTATGTACTTAGTCAATCGATTGCATAACAAATACGAGACCCATTGGGGGACCAACAAATATTGTTGTTGGGTGGCTGCGGACTCCTTTAACTTTTAATTTTCAACCGTCTAGCTGACTAGCTTAAATCTTAGGCTTAGACCATTTAATTTAAATTCACATTATTCAAATAAAATCTGATTACACTTAGCTATAGCTATAGCATTTAAGACACATAAGGCCCCACTTGGCATTGGGCTGCTTTCCTTGGTTTGCTCTAACGTTTACTTTAATCGCCGCTTAACGTTCACTTTAACTTTAACCAGCTACTATGTTGTGTTTCTGTTTGTGTTTGAGTGTTTGAGTGTTTTGCTACCAAAATTGATCTGATCATCGAATGGAACATTTACAAATGTGTCGTGTGTTTTGGCACTGCATTTGCTTTCCTTGCCCCCAAAAAAAACCTAATCGACGCGGGGTGGCGACTGAAATCTCTTTAATAGAACCGATCCGTGCTCAGGATATCCTCCTCGTCCTCCTCCACGATGATCTTGTTGCGAATGGCGTGCGTGACAGCCTCGACCTTGCTCATGGTGGGACTGAGGTACTCCTCGCGCAGGGATCGCGGTGGGTGGGCGAAGGACGTGTCCTGCACGGAGTAGCGATACTGCGAATGCGACTGGGATCGTGACTGGGGTGCGTGGCTACTGGTGTACGAGTGCGGAGTGTATTGGGATCGGGCCTGGGAAAAGGACTGCGGCTGATGCAGCAGTGGATAAAGCTCTCGGCGAGATTGGGGCCCGGGGTCAAGGGTGCTCTGCTGGTTGGAGGATGAGGACAGCCAGTGGGTGCCCAGGGACGACTGGCGTGGCAGGTAGGATGTGGGTGCTCTATTGCTGGGCAGGGATGATTGGCGGGGCAGGCCCAAGGGTCTGGACGACAACCTGGTCCTGGACTGTAATTGCGATTGCGATTGTGACTGAGATTGAGGCTGAGATTGAGATTGCGATTGACGGTGTATTATGTCAAGATCAAAACTATTGTCGCGTGCTTCCATCAAACCTGGCACTCTCGCATCGATCTGATCCCACCCCTATATCCACGATTCCTACATGGCATTAAGCATTCTCCTACTACTCCCACCACCTCTGTGCGGACTGTATTCATCGCGATCGACAACGGTGGCGCCCCGCGGCAAGTCCCGTGGATCGTCGATCCTGGTCGAGGGTCCGTAGCGGGAGCTGCTCATCCTCATCTGGGCCTCCTCGCGCTCAAAGTCCGGATCGTCCAGCAGGCGACCGCCCCTGGACAGATGGCCGTGGTGGGAGGCGCCGCTGGGACCGCTCCTCATCGCCGGATACTCAAAGTTGCGCTCGTCCAGCAGCTCGTCGCTGTTCAGGTCGTAGTGCATGAGGTCCCGTTCGCGCCGCTCGTACCGCTCTCGCTCGCGATCTCGCTCGTAGCCGCCGCCGCCGCCTCCACCTCCTCCGCCGCCGCCGCCTCCACCTCCGCCGGCGCCCACGCCACCGCCGCGCTCCTGGTGGCGAACGGAGGTCGGCTGTCGGCGGCTGTGCTGGTAAGAGGTTCCTCCTGCAAAACGGTCAACACGGCATTATGTTAGTGAAGTTGTAGTAGCTGGCAGGCAATTAGGGGTAACGAAAAACGTAAAAGAGAACCAGAACTAAAGCATTCAAAAAGGGAGTCAATAGGCGATAGTTGGGCGGAGGTAACAGGCCAAAGGTCACCATGGTTGGTCAATTGGGGTTTTGTGTTCTGTGCCATCTCTAGCTAAGAGGAAATACCTTACTGTGTGTTATTTTACACTGAAATCTCTTCGAATGTGTCCTAGGTACTTACAGCTAATAACTATTGTTATAAAGTATAATAATTTTTTCAGTTCTACCTTGTTTCACGACTATTATTATCCAATACTACTTATTTTCTATACTATTTGAATTTAATTTGTAATCATTTTGTAAAGAAAAATAATGATATTTGAGTAATTTCAAGTAATTTCAAAGTATTGTAAGAGCCAACCTATTCAAACGTGATTTTAATGAACAAACTCTATGTGACCTAGTGATCTGTATTTAAACACTAAATTTAAAATCTCTTGACTCTAAAGCTTTTATGGTTATAAAACGTTTGGTTAGGTTTTTAAAACAGTACAACTAAAATTATATTGTTATTCGCTGAAAAAAAGGAAAATAAAATCAGCAAACAAACGAGTCCTGGCGTCAGTTATGCATGGTATAAGTTTGGGGGAACAGGGATGAACTCGGGGACCAGTAATAAAGATAACCAAAATGGAATGGGTAACGCAAACACATCACGGGGGTTCGGTACTCACTAAACCAGATCTAAACGATTGGATGATTTGGCTTTGCAACTTGAAATGGTGAAAACATAAGGATCGACAACAACGGAATACATATATATTATAACTGAGCTGATTCGGGTTGAGTTGAGCTGATCTAGGAAAACACCCGGTAGAATGTGAAAATCGAGTAGAAGAGGTTGGCGAAGATCGCGGCAGATTACAGGCGCACAACGCCCGGTGTAACTAAAAACAAGTACAGAGGTCAGTCGGTAAAACGCACGAATGGTTGATCGATTGGATCGATTTCGGTGAATGTCAGATGCTTGAAAAAGCGCGCCGGGGGGTTCTAAAATGTCGTGCAAATCGGTTTTAATCGGTTAGTATAACTCAAACGGCAAAGAGAAAGACTAAGATTAGTCAGCTAACGTTAGTGGGCAATCTACGTATTGGTGTTCTAGGCATCGTTTATCTCATCTGGAGTTCTTGAAAAGAGTTGTACTTGTGGAGATCGTCGGAGATGTCGGAGATGTCGGTTCTTAGGTTCTTTTGCTTGTTCCATTTGATTTGGTTTTGATTTCAATTTCGATTTCAATTCGGTTTCGATTGTCTTTGGCTTTGTACTGTTGATGTCGCAGTTGTGTTGGTCTTGGTGGTTGGATTTGAACTCGATATTGGTTTTGATATCTATAGCATTGTTGTAAAGGGACCGGGTATGTCACGTGCTGTGAATGCTGTAAAGTGTGGTCACAAAATAGAAACAATAGAAATAAACGAAAAGTTGAGGATACCGGAGTTTCTGTATAGATATGTATGTACAAAAGGTGTCTAGAAAGCGGGAATCGGTAAATATGCCATGAGCTGTAGCTACGTACAATCGATGGGTGGAGATGTGAGTCGGTATGTCGATAGGGGTAAATCCGAAGCTACTTTCGACCTGAGTCTATGTACAAAGAAGCATGAGAGATACAATGAACTACATCTTCAACTGGCTTATATCTTGGGACAAGGGAAGTAGTTCTAGCTAAACTTTAAATGGATCGTTCAGTTACGGGCCTTAGGGGACCCAATTTGCTATTTTTGTTTTTTTGATACAAACTCGAATCTTAGGGAATATGATACTTAATGAGTTTACGTATATATTATCGGTAAAAAGGAAACGAAACGAAAAGAAACAGTATAAACGAAATTTACCTTGGTCCCAATCGAACTCTCTATCCCAATCTCGTTCCCGCTCTCTCTCCCACTCGCGAGCCCTCTCCCGCTCCCACTCGAGGTCCCTCTCCCGATCCTTGGAGCTGCGATCTCTGTTGAACTCCCGATCCCAGTAATCCCGCTCCCTCTCGCGCTCCCGCTCTCTTTCCCTGCTATCGCGATCGCGCTCCCGACTTCCCTCGCGCTCTCCGCCGGAAATGCCCATCCTGGGATCTTGATCCTGCTCATCGATAAACTCCTCGCCATCTACTGCTCATGTGCGTAACAACAACACCATGCCCACCGCGCGGAGAAAGGGAGAGAGAGCCAGAAGGAGAATCGATTGGTTTATCGGTACAGTCATGGGAATTTAAATTTGAAAGAGACAAATTTTAGAATTGTATTTTGTATAATTGTGTTGAGTATGTTGAGAAGCAAATGAAAATTGTTTACTGGTGATCGGATTTTTTCGGTATGTGCATACATAATGTCGCAATGTATACATATACTGAGCTTTTGATATCGATATGTGTTTAATGGGTCGGATCGTTTCCGTTTGAATTGGGGGTGAGACTGAATGGGTGACTCTGATTTCGATTTCGATATTGGTTTGATTGAAATTTCGCAGCTTCTTGGGCATGGGCTGGGACTTGGTGGAATCGCGCGAATGAAAATGGCAATGCGACCGTAGATGAACCCGATCGGGCGGGCAGGTGTTCCTTTACCTGGAGGCGTCGGACCGAGACGCGCGGGATCGGCGGAGGGCGAAGCCTCCTGTGGCAGGGGGCGGGCGATGGGCGGCACAGCTCTTATGTCCGGATGGGTGGCCTTCCAGTAGGTCTACAAGGGATGTTTTGATTTAGTCATGATCAGTCAAGATCAAACTTCTAACCCAACTCACCTCCAAGTACTCGGCAATGTGCTCGCAGGCGTCTTCCAGCTGATTCTCGTCTAGGATTACATCGAACATATCCGGTGGACATTGGGCTAGCTTCTCGGCGGCGACCATTTGAACGGAGAGGTTTTTCGCCTGCGACTTGCCACGTGATTTGATCAAACGCTGTAAAACCTGCAGGAAGAAAATCAAGAAATGCCAGACATTCTATATACCCAAATCGAACGAAGTACTCACCTTACTACTACTAATCTTTAAGTACACTATTGTTGGCGCTAATGAAGTTTTCGCTAGTTGTGACGGATGATTGATTGTATCACAATCGAGCACGACCAGCTGGAGCGAGCGGGCCAGCTCGAAGATGCGCTCGATCTCCTCCTGCACCTTGCCGAGGCAGTCGCTCCGGCTGGAGGATCGCTCCATGATGGCCCGCTTCGAGGGATTGTTCATGATGGAGCGCTTGGCCAGCGAGATGTCGGCCATTACCCGCGTGATGATGATCCGGCCCTCGAAGCGGTGCTTGAGGAAGTCGAAGAGGGCCTTCTGCATCATGTCGGTCACCTCGTAGCCCTTGAGACTGGGCCCCACCAGGACTACGGGCCGCATCGAGGGCACCACGTCGTAGGGACTGGCCGTCTCCTGCTTCTTGAAGAACGGCTTGCGCTTCTCCTTGTTGGCCGCCGCCACCGGGGTCTTGCCATGTCGTCCTGGTCCCATGGAATCTGATTCGTCACCTGAGCGTTAGTATCATGGCAAACAGGACGAGATAATGGCAACGGATGAGCGAGCTTATGATTGGTACGAGCCAGTGCGATCGATCAGTACGAATTGCTAGGCCAATTTCAGATATTATTATCGTAAATACGTAAGACGCTTGTGGGTTAGTAAGTAGTATATACAGTGTTTTGTCGCAGGGTTTCCCTCTGCAATTTGTGGGTGTTTCTCTTTTTTTTTTGTGCCAGGTAACTGTGTCGGTCTACGGCAGGTTCGAAATTTCAGGTTGGTTTGAATTTGTATCTCTTTTTTCACCGGTCTACGCACCATTTAATGCTGTTCAAAATGCCAACTCGAGGGTGAGGTTTCTTCCTACAAGTATTTAACTTAATTCTACTCGAATATGAAGTGTTCTATTTAGACTTTACACAACTCTATAACTCTATGGATAATCGATAGCTAATTACAGGTTTTAGTTACTGGGATATTAAACTCTTTGTTGGACAAATTACATTCAGATTATATACGACAGCAAAAACAGCGTGTTGGGTTTTACAGACAGATGATCAGTATTTTGGAATGAGTGCCTCTGATATTTGAGTTTATTGAATATGTTACTTACGAAAATTTAATAGAGTTCGTTAAGAAGTTGAAATAAAATAACTGATTAATTATTCTGCTCTGATAAATTTACAATTATTGATTGTAGAATGAAACAAGCTTTAACGACTATAAAAGTACTGCAGTTCTCAAAATAATCGATTATAAACTAATCCATTTTTATTTGCATTTATCCTTCCATTTTAATCATTTTAGTTTTCAATACTTTTGCTATTTTAATTTTACCCTGAAACTGACTGGAAGAGCTAGCGATAGTTTTTGCGATTGAAATGGATTTCTGAGGATCTGATGAGAGACGTGGACAAACCTGTTTTTTTCTTGCGCGGTGTTGTACTGTAGGGATCTTGGGTCGCGTTGTGGTTGTTCATTTTGTTAGTGTTGTCAACCGTTAGTGTTAGATAAAAGAGAGTTTGAGTGCATTTAATAGTGTTCACATTGGCTAGGTTAATTTACAAGCAGACCATGAATGAGGAGCTTTGATTTAGACAAACTAGGACGGAGAAAGTCGTGGCTATTGAAGCTGAATACAAGTAGGTGTGTACTTTTGTGTGTTTACAGTGGTGAATCGTGGTGGCGATCGGGGAAAGGGGGTCAGGCAGTCTAGGCCGATCTGCTGGAGGATTCGGCTTTTCATGCTGGGATCTGGGGCTAGCTCGAGGCCGATATATAGACCGTTTGCATAACTAGGGTCGGATTTGAAGCTAATTGCCAGGTGAACTCGGTACATAATTAAGCATAAACTTGCACTCGTTTTATGGATGTCGCATGATATATAATTAGATCAAACACAAAAGTACGAAATTACGGGAATTTAGCTTAGCCCACTTCGGTTTTTTTTTTGGTTCTGATTTGGTTCGCTTCAAATGAAAATCATAAAACACGCGTCCAATTACAATAAACATCGAAGAGCTCGAGTCGGGCTCGGCATCCGTCTGTCGGACCTATGGATGCTCACAAAACACACTTCTGTGACGATTTACAAAAGTAAACACTTTACATAGAAGACAGCGAAAAATATATATAGATTGAAATTAATTCGATTCACAGAATAGAACGGATACGAAATAAAACCTCGCCCAAAAGAAATCAGGAGAATGAAATGTGTGTCATACCAGGTGTGGGGGGTGTGCTACCTCGAGATGGCTCCGCACCTGCTTGTCCGCCCGCACCAAGATTCCCGCTCGACGAGCCCTTTGTGCCATACAGTCTTGAGGGTCTGGTTTGGTTCTGCAAATGGTTTTTGGGTTAGAAAATTACGAAATCGATCTAAGCGAAGAACTATGGCCAACCTGCATGCGAATGTTGTCTAGCTTAGCGGGGCTGGGTATGAAGCCCACATCACAGCCCTCCTTGACCAGCCGGCCGATCCACCAGTTATTGTCGTACTTCTCTTTGATGTGCAGGAACTCCCGGATCTCGAACGAAACTGCTCCGCCCTGCACCGGCGAATCGTCGTCGATGGCGCCATCGTATGCTACGTTGGTTCGCACAGCGAACGCCACTGGTTTGCTCTGATATAAAAATGGATTTATTAGAAATTTCTGGATTGTAATACATTATATCCAAAAAAATCGCCACAATATTATTAAGATTTAAATTATTTTTATTATATTATTTTAATCTAGTGATTAAATCCACAGTAATTAACCGGTAAGTGCCTCATAAGGTCACAAAGACGGAAAATGGAAATTTAAAGGAGTTATTAAATTGAATGAATGTAAAAATTTTATAATAATAAACAAAGCCTTTAATATGTTATTGTATTTCCGATAAATATAATTTTTATTGTACTAAATTTCACTTCAATATATTACTTTTCAATGAAATATTTCACACAACTAAGTTGTAATTGCAATTTGGATTTTATTTAATGGCAATTTTTAAACAAATCCAACATCTACATACCCTCGCTTTATCCAACTGGCTTAAGGCCTGACGTTCCTTTTCTCGCCGAAGCGATTCCTTTTCCTCGTCTAGCGACAGATCGGATGACGGTTGTGAGTAGTTCGAGTCGGCAGAACCCTGGAGAAGGCAAAACATAGAGGTATTTAGTACAGAATTTACTTTGCCCAAAATAAAATTAAAGATAAATGAATTAGCTTAGCCCTCTGAAAATGAAAACAAATTAAATTGGCCTGCTGCCAAAAGCCCAGCCCAACCCAAGTGGCCAAACAATGCAGCACACTATGTACCATTTTGATTATTTCTTGTTGCCACACATGAAGCAACAGTTGGTGGCAAGTACATGGGCAACCTATTGGCAATGGAGAAGGCTGAAAATTTTGACAAGAGTTGAGAGCTTTTATAATTCAATATTCAAAGCAATTATGATTCACGTACATAAAGTTTAATATGGAAAATTTTATATGATGTCTAAGTAAGCTTATTTGTTGTTTTAATAAATCCAAAACATAACGAAACGGAGTTCGAGTGATGACTTATACCCAACCCAATATATGAATCTGTATACAACGTTAGGATGTTGACACACTTTCTAAGGGCCGTTTTCTCGCCATACACTTATAAAAATTAATTTATAAATTTTAGAAATCTTGCCATTGAATCGGCCTACCTTTAAAAATAGAAAAAATTTCTTGTTAGTAGAAAATTTGGCCTTGAATATAGAAAACCTTTATAGATGAAGAAAATTCAAGAAAGTATTTTCTCGATTTTAAGGAAATTCTTCGATTTTTTTTATGAGTATATGTTATTTTTAAAGTTGGATTACAATTTGGGATTTTGGGAATTCCTAGTTTAAATACTACTTCAAGTGTAGCATGCGGACGTGAAACAGTTTTAAAAGTAACACTTTCGTTAAGTTAATTGTGCAATACATCCTGACAGTTCATCATCGATGTTAAGATCTTGCCCTATTCTTGACCTTTCAAAAAATGTTTAAAAATGGTAAACAGATCAGAACAGAAAGAAATCAATTGTTTGGATGTTCTCAGCACCTGTGTGAATAGTTTGTTGTATCCACTCTGGTAGGAGGGGTATCCAAGGCCAAATCGAGACTCTCGATGTTGGCCACCCTGAACGGAGGGTGCATCCGAGGATGAGGCGCGCTGCACCATGGGCCAGTCAGCCCGGTAGTCTTCTTCGAACGAAGATATCTTGCCGATGTTTCCGACGAGCCGGTGCGAGGACAGCAGCAACACCAGCACCACCAGATGGTGCGATGCTGATGATGGCGGTGGCGGTGGAGGTGGCGATGGCGATGATGGTGGTGGTGGCTGGCAAAACGTTGAGCTGGCAATGGTTACGTGTGTATATCCCAGGACTATTTTTATTACTATCCGCTTTCGGTGAGCGTTGAGTTGGCAAGACGAGTGAGTTTCGGGGGGATAATATCTTTGTACTTATTCGGAGGAATAACTGCGTTTCGGCCCACTAAGCACTTTGTGAAACCAATGCGGGCTGGTTAGATTTGCATGTGTTTTGTAAAAAGACTATAAAAGCACTTTGATTCGGATGCTCAAGCTTATACAGGACTTCCTTAGCATATTCTTCCACTTTCAACTTGTTTCATTGGCAGGACACAAAAATGTAATTATAGCACTTTTGTGTTTGATTAGCATTGACATTGGCAATATTCTATGGCTAACGATTGTAATCATCGGGTTAGGCGGTATTCGATTTTGACACTGACACAAAAACACCGATACCCAGTGTGCGAGTGAGACAGTCCGATTGTGAGAGAGAGAGACGGCGGCAGAGAGAGGGAAAGAGAGAGAGAGAGACGATTGTCAAACGGTTTGGAAGCCACAGGCGAAGTAAGTTTAAATTGTTAACTGGAAGGGATTTCCGCAGCCTTTTCTCGCCTTAATTTCAGCACAATTTGCATACGGCTGGCGAATCGCAATTGATTCCGCATCGGCGGGGATTTGGCCCCAGGAAAGTTAAAAATAGGAATTTATGTCAGTGGCGTCGGGTCGCGGTTCTCTGCTCACATCACTTTTTTTCTAGTATATGCACACACAAAATGTACTGGAAAACACGGGCGGAGGGAGGGGGGTGGAGAGCAGGCGAATAGGTCGCGAAAACGGATTTCCGTCGAGAGTACTTCCGAAAAACCAACCGAATCGCAACGTTTTCGAATCCCTTCACTGGCTTTATCCTGCACTAATTCGCTACGATATCTTTTACAGGATTTCACTCAAATCACATCCTTCGATTTCGATTCGATTGGGACCCTCGCCTTTCCGACTTTCAAACAGTTCTACTCCGCACGCAAACTGAATCGTTTCTGTATGTGGAAGGCGAAAAGTCCGCTCCGCTCTGGGAAAATCGTGTAGAGTTTTCTCGTCCGCTTCCAGTGCGTAAATGCTCCAATCGTTTCGAGCGATAAACATACTATTGTACATATGTATGCGGACATTCCCGCACACACACGCCACCACAAGTGGCCTGGCGAATGTAAACAAATTTGGTTTTCAAGTACAAATACAACGCTCTCGTCCCACTGTGCGACTGGAGTTGTTTGTGCTGAGGGGGGGGTGGCCAAGTTTTCCACCCCCTGAAACCCACTTGAAAAACAAAATCTCCATCAAAATGAGCGCGCTGTCATCGCTGGTCAGCGGTGTGCCTGGAAAATCGATAGCTCCCCCACTTTTTCGGGGGCTGAGGGGGTGGAAAAGGGGTGGTGGCGGTGCGTCCACCTGTTGGCAACCCCGACAATTGCCCGCGAGCGCCAAACGCTCCCAAAAGGGTTACAGCTGTTGGTCGCATGCATAAATATAAATACCTATTTAACTGATAAGAGATCTACAAGGGTGCAACGAGGGGTTCTTGGTTTAATTAGAGCTTCCCATCCCAGCTTCTTTAAATCTAACTCTAAGAACTATGAACTATCATCTCTATCCAATTTTAATAATCTTCTAGCCATTTTACAGATTTTTAGGTAATTCCTTTCTCCTGGAAAATTACCAATTCGATTCCGAAATTGGATTGTAGGACTTGCTTAATATTCCTGACCTGAAGTTAGTCTAAGGATATTTTTAAAAAATATAACTCAAAATCAAATTAGTTTCGCATAAAAATTACAAAGATTTCATACATAGAATATCTTTTTGAAAAACATACAAATTCTTTTTAATCTAATCTATTTCAAAATGTTTTATACTGCTCTTCAGAAAATGCTTAGGAGTCTTACGGATTATTAAAAGGGTTGTTCGAATGTCAAACCTTAGAAATGTTTTTTTAATAATGGCATTCATTTTAAAATATGTTTTTGCGGTGGGACTATAATGATAATATTGCAAATGCTAAAAATGTAAGTTTGTAGAGCAATAGATATCTCAAAACATTGCATTTTAGATTATTCATTTAAAAAAATCTTTTATTTTTATTAAAATTTTCTCGTCACACTGTGCCCATAACGTAAACATTCAGTTTTCGATTACTTCCAGGCGAGCGGGGAGAGAATGACAAGTAGCTGGGGATTGTGAGAGTAAAAGAGCGAAGGAGCATGCGCAGGAGCCAATTCTCCACTTTCACTCTGCGCAGCCGTCGGCTTTTACTGCTTTCCACTCTTTCTCTTTCACCGACTCTCGCCATTTAACCGTTAACGGGGAAGGTCGCGGGCGATGGTCCCCATTTGCGATTACACATTTCCAAAAGGCGATTCAAAAAAAAAAACAAAGGGGATCCCCCTTTATTCGCGGATGAATAGGGTGGGGGGTGAAGGTTGGGATTCTTTGGGTCGATTCTTTGTTTACCTTTCGCCGTTTGCCCAAAAGCACCATAAAACTTTGCAATGGGCAATGTGCCCAACAACTAGTAATGAACTTTGGTTGCCATCGATACCCCAGTGCTACCCACTTACCGCCCACTGACACCCACCACCCATCAGAACCCATTTGTTTGGTAGTTTTTTCTGCGGGTGGGTCAACGCTCTGGATTCCAGTGCAATTACCCTCTCAGCCCCTTGACAAATATTTTCATGGTCAGCCCGATTGTTTCCCACTTTTCCGGCACTGCCGATGACCGCGCGTCAGCAAATTACTCCCCACCTGCCGTTTGCCATTGTAAAGCTGTCAGATGGCTTAAATAACAATGATTACGAGTGCAAAACGTGCATTAGAAGGTTCATAGTTGCGTTTCCCTTAAATGGAGGTACCACATAAACCTAATTGTGAATATCATCTTTACATTAATTGATGTTTTCAGTTTAAATTTTAAATTTTATTTATTATGGTATTTTTTTTGTTTATTTATCCCTTGTCCATGGAAACATTTTGTTTTAATGAAATTTAATCGAAATAGTAAATATTAAGATTCAGTATAGCGTTTAAAATAAAAAAGGTTAAATTATCCTAAGTATTTATATATCGGACTAATATTATGTGTTGATTTTATAGAGCAGTAATTTAATTTATTTAAGTAATTTATAAATTTTTTGAGAGATTGCCCCCATAAAGGCAACTAAAAGCGAATGCAAGGAAAGCGAGAGAATCGGAAAAGTCGTTTACAAGTGCCGCAAAAGTATTAGCATTGACTATTCTTACGGGCATGCCGTAAAGAATTTAAAGATGAGTAAGAGGTGTGATAGCCTCTTATCCCCCAAATTGTCTGTAAGAGAACTTAGAGAATTAAAAAAAACACATGAATAAGTCACAGAACTACAGTCCGTGCTATAATTAAATAACTTGAAGAATGTTTTAAATATGCATTCAGAAAAATTTCATTTAACAGTTCTTTAATAAGATAGATATGGATTTAAAATGTATACTAATTCTTAGCCGTATTAAAGCGGGCTTGGATCTATAACTTAAGACATAATTTAACAAATTATATAAAAACCCCAAAAAAGTATGAAAGCCAGATGTAATAATTAGTTAGAGGACAACTAGTCGTATGAGTAATCTGCCATCCTATTGTCTTTCGCTAATCGCTCATCCGCCCAGTTGACACCTCGTTTTGATACGCACTGTAGGCACTCCGTGTGTGTGTATTTAAATGGTCGCGAACAGCCTGACAAGCAGGGCGAGCAGTCTGCGAGCGATCGAGTGGATAAAAATATACAGATTCCGCCCGGGCCCGGGGGCAGGGCCGCGACATTAAAGTAGCGAGGGTTGTAGATCGTTGGGATCTGGCCACCAGATCCCTTACTGCCTTGCTTACTCACCCGACGGTTCTTGTTCCGGAAGGGCTTGTAGGACTTGCCCTTGTGCTTGGCCCCCAGATGCAGCTTCTTCATGGCGATGAAATGGAATCACAAACGGAATTCAAATTGAAATCGAAATGTGGTGTGCGTTGCGCGCAAATTGTCCCCCCCGAAGTCAATTATGCAATCATTTTTGGAATCGTTTCTGCGGTCGCCGAGCAAAATAAACAAACACTCAGGCGTTATGGCCACTAATTGTTAAATGGCCAAGAGCCACACACACGCACACACCCGAGAACACAATTGGGGTCACAATGGGGCAGATTTTTAGTGATTTCGAGCACGACACATGGCAGCGATTTGGATTAGGGCAACGCTATCCTGCAGCACTTCTGGACAAAATATGCACAAATATCGGGGCTATATAGGCGATACGAATGCGTGATCCACTTGCGACTGCTTTGGCCAGGCAATGTGGAGCAGATCTCAGCGGTTCGCGGCGGAGACGAAAAAAACGACCGACCGACCGCACAAGACAGCGATTTCGACTGACAATATTTTTGGCACCCGCGCCGCATCCATTGACAAAAATGTTTGCGAGAGAGAATCCCTAGGAGATCGCCGAGAGTCATTTAGTAATGGGAATTTCAAGAGGTGAGATGCTCGGAAAATGGTTTTCAATAATCTATTTAATGACGGCTGCAGTAATAATATAAATTCATCCGACTAGGTGACAATTCTATGCCAGGCGAATGTGGGCTTTCTTGTTTTGCTGTGCAATTTTTTAGGAATCTGAGGTCACAGGTTTAAATCGGGAAAATGTTTAATGTTAAACTCTTTAAGTAATTATTTTCTAAAATTATTGAACATAATTTTTGTACTGACAAAAATTGTTTATAAATTAAATATTTTTTTCTTCGCTATTCTTTTTCTAAAAAATAAAAAGAATAAAGATTTCTTTGTAAATCGATTTAATTTTATTAGTCCAAATATATAGTGTCAATCATTTCACAGGCTTAAATCGGGAAAATGTTTAATGTTTAACTCTTCTAGTAATTATTTTCTAAAATTATTGAACAGAATTTCTGTACTGACAAAAGTTATTTATAAATTAAATCTTGTTTTCTTCGCTATTTTTTTTCTAAAAAATTTAAAGAATGAAGTTTTCTTTGTAAATCGATTTAATTTTAATAGTCCAAATATAGAGTGTCAATCGATTTATAAATAAAATCTTTTTATCTTCGCTATTCTATTTCTAAAAATCGAAATTTTCCAAACATTAGTATTTACAAAGTAAAATAAAAACAATATAGTTTTCTTTGAAAATCGGTTTAATTTTAATAGTCCAAATATAGAGTCTGAATCAAAAATATACACAAACATCATCTAAGCTGTAGTCCTTAGATTAATTGACTAGTACTGCTGACCCTGGATTCCCTGGCCCAAGCCGCGAAGTTCCTCCATAAGGGCTGCCATTCCTATCCTTTGGTGAAACTGCTGCAACTGCTCCCTATTGGGCTTTCCCACGTAGAAGGGAATCTGCTCCGTGTAGGCTCCGGCGGATCCGTAGGCAGGAGCTTCCTGGGCGCAGGGAGCGGGTGTCAGGTTGGGCTGGCAGCTGAACAGGTAGTTGGTGGGACAGGCTGGAGCCGGATAGCCAGGGGCCGGGGCCGGGTTTGCAGCATACGGACAGGAAGCACCGACAAAGGCCACAAGAGCAGCGACGATTAAAGCAATGATCTTCATGTTAAATTCCGTGTTTTACAACTGTCACTTTACACCCTCAGTGAGGCACTCTTATAGTCGTGCGTTTACCAAACTAAAACTCTGCATTTTTTACGCACGCTCGAAAAACTGCAGAGCCAACACATGGCAAGCAAATTAAACTGGGTGAAAACTAGAGGCGATTGGGGTTTGCGGGTCTTTAATTTTCGCACAATATGGAAAAAACTCACTGTCACCATGCTGTCTATCGCCTTTTTGTGGGTTAACAAAAAAGAAACATTACTTAATTGTGTTCGAAGTTCCCTTTATGAGGGTCTCAGCTGTTTATCGATCAAATATTTTTGAAGATTTGTATTTTAAATACAACAAAATTGTGATTAAACTTTTAGCTCGGGTTCTACCATTAAATTATACACAATTAAAAACCACAAATCGTGAAATGGAAAGCATAATATTATAAGGATTATTCAAATAGAATGGAATTATTTAAATAGGCAAATAAATATGTGCCGATTTTTCAACAAAATCTGGCCAAGATCATATTAGCTCCCACAATTCAAATACGAATTATAAGAGAGACCTGATTTCCAAAAGTAAATTACCTTTTCTATTTTCTTATTTTAAAACTAAAATTTTAATTTTGTGACCAGATTTTATTGAAATCAACTTTTTGGAGAGTTGTTTTGTAGTAGGTATGCAACACTTTTTGTTTCGGTTTAAGTAACGGGTATATCTTTCTAAAGCGACATCTTTCGGGTTTCCGATCAGTTAGCATAGACAGAAACCAATAAAAGAGATTTGAATTTTGAGACTTGGTAGTCACTAGTTTTTGCTATTTCTCGTAACTAAAATGGTATATTGGTATTTATTGGGAAGTATGTAACAGGAAGAAGGAAGTATTTCCGACCTTATAAAGATTATAGATATTTAAACAGGATCACTAGCCTAGTCGGTTTCTGTCTGACTGTCTGACTGTCTGTCTGTTCGTATGAGATCTCGAATTTATTAATTTTTACTTGTCGTTTTATGTTACAACAAAATGTATTTACAAAATGTCTTTAAATTATAAATTTAAATAAATGTACCTACACATTTTTTTTAATTTTTGGATACAAAAACTGTTTGACTATACATTTTTAAAGGATAAGATCCAATGTCATGATATTTGTTGTCTGTGTAGTTCTTTGACCATAATTGAGCAACAAATGGAAATGTTGATGGTCAATTTATGTCATCTTTTAGTCATAACTCGTATTTGACCTGTGTCCAGTTATTATGGAAATTCAAATTTACTGAAAAGAATCAATCGCAAATGTTCTTGTGTAGAGTGCATAAATTGCAAGACCAATTTTAAAATGTATCCTATGCAAATGATTCGCAGAAGAATCAAATAAATATTGCATTTTATTACCGAACCATGCAATTAGAAAATACATTTCAAAGCATTCTTGTTTAATAAATATTATAGAATTACAATCCTGTTTCATAATAATTTAATTTACTAACTTTGGCTCGTTCATTAATTCAGTGCTTAATGCATACGTAAATAACTCTAATTGTGGCGATGAAAATGAACCGTTTCTCATGCGACTGCCGGCCAAATCGAAAGACCCTCTGATATTGTCTAACTTCGGGTGCAGGTAGCTTTCCCCCCGAACGAAGGGAGGAGTAAACTTTAATTTGAGAAGGATCGCGACCGCTGGATTGGGACGGGCAATTACGCACATGCACCATATACATAAGTATGTATGATCCACCGACCGCTGTATCAGACCTAAATTTTAATCATAGGCTTGGTGCCGCTGGCCTTCAAAGTGGGGCACCTTCGTTTTTGGACTGGATCGGATCCCCACATCCACCGAAAGACGGCGTTGAGAGCCGTTTTGATTGCCCCCTCTAACGGTAAACAAATACCTGGCCTGCTCGCGAGAGCGATCCCATCCAGACATGGCCCCAAGATATACATCTTAACTGGAACTCCAATTGAAGGGCTGCCTGTGCACTCGATGAGGGGGAAATGTTTTTGTTTTTCAATGGCCTTGGGATATATCTTGGGTAGAGTTTTAATTGGTTATTGGCTCAGTAGATGATCAATGAATATTTAAGCCCGTTTCGAAGGCCAAGACTTTGGTTTATTTGGCCCTCCCTCCACGATATTTTATTGTCTTCTGCTCCTTTGGGTTCTCTTAACCTTTTTTTTTAGTAGACAATGGCCAGAGATCGGTGGCCCTAATCGGCATTGGCTCGAGCCACCTGCCTTCGCTTAGACAGCGACTAAGACCGACCCAGCTGCTCCTGCCTTGGCTCCTTGACTTGGTCCTGCGGCTGAGGAGGAGGATCCACAACATACGCACACATGGAGCTGAACACCGAGGGCAAAAAAGCTGACAAGCCAATAACATGTCTCGGTACTTAGCGGAAGGTCCGGCGCCGGATCCTCTACGATCCTTCGCCCACGGCCATTATCCTTGTTCGTGCACTGAGAAAGTGATATTTTCAAACTCGATTCATTTGTCCAGTCTATCATCACTAACCCACAATCTTCTTTCTAAACAAAAAAGTGTAAAGTAAAGATTTTTGAAAAGTATAAATGCAATTTATAATAATAATATAACAATAAGTTATAAGCAAATAAAGGAATTCAAGCAGTGCAAGCAGTCGATTTGCAGAATGCATATATCCCTCACTACTATATCTCATCACTATAACTTTTAAGAACTGTTTTAGCCTTTTAAACTTTAGTGGAAAGTACACATTTACAATTTTTTTGAAAATTGTTTAAAGAACTACTTAAATTTTTTGCAGTGCTTTAAGGAGTCGATGCGCTGCAGCCTAATACTTTTTACGGCATCTAAGTTGATGGGGCCTCGAAAAAAAACACTGTGTTGCCACACTTTCCCTGTGGTAATTTAAGATCCTGTTTCCTCGCCACCACCAACGGCAGTCGTCAATTATGAGATGGAGATGGCAAAAGGGATCCTCGCGAATCGCAAAGTTGACGAAATGCCGAGCTTTGTTTTAAATTAAATTTAATTAGCAGCCGCCCAGACGAACAAACACCTTTCAGGTGCTCACCTTTCCGAACAGGCAGCGTCTTTATAATTCATGCTTTCGGAACAGGGCACGTGTCTCTGTTTTGGCCAAAAACAGAAGCAGCTGCAAAGGCTCCAACCAGGTTAAAAGTATGGGATGAGAAGGGGAGCTACATTTAAAGTGGCAGGGGATTGGGATGGGGGGATGGGGATAAGATCCGTGTGCAACCAGCGCTAACAATGCCGTTATAAGTGGCCCATTAACACGGTGTCAACCGCCATGCAACAGCAATTTCCGTCGCCATTGCCATTTATCGATTTTCAAATTCCATTCAACGCGGATTTCTATGGGGGAACGGAAGTGGAAGCGAACTCCTAGGATGTAGTCGCAATGAATGCGATTAATGGGGCCAACCAGTTGGCGGATGAGGATGTGGATGCACAGGGCCCAGGATGCTCTGCCCTAGCAAGTCGGGCTGGGCCACTTGTGGGTCACAGATACGATTTGAGACCATTTGTTTAATAAAACCTAATTTATTGGCACTACAATGCATTTCATTCCATCGAACTGGGGGCAAGAACAATAGCTTAGTAATAACGAATGGGCCCAAGAGGTTTTAAATAGTTTACACATATGTATTCTATCCAAAATGGATTTCCTATCTCAAAAAGGATTCAAAAAATAACAAAGTAAAATCATTTATTGTTGTTTTTATGCAATTACTTAGTAAAATGGAATCTCCTGAATAGGATAAAAATTTATTAAATTAGGAATATTTTTATCCACTTTGAAATTTTAAACTAAATTGATAAAACATTGAAGTAATATTTTTAGAGATCAACATTTAAAGTTCATACCTGTTGGTTCCGCAATTCTCACGGCGTACAAAAGTGCTGCAGTTGGCTCCTAAATGGAGCTGAGCTATAAACCGCGATCCTTTTCCCCTCTCCTTGGTGGCGATCTTCTAGCTACTGGGATCGGTTTGAAGTCGTTTGGCTTAGTTTCATCTGGAATGGCAAGAGTAGAGATAGTCATTAAGTAACCAAATGGCAGGCTCTGAACAGGAAATCGAAAATAAAAGCAAGAAGAGCGCTGATCGCACGAGTATACTACATATAAATATTTATGTGGCTATGTTTGCGTACATTCTTCGGCTTTTGCAATGAGAATTTCAAAGTCAAGGTTAACAGAAACATTTGCCCGTTTCGTTTCTCGGGTTTGTCTCCTTTTCGCGATCGCTTCTTCTCTTCTCATTTCTTTTCTTGTCGTTTCCCACTGTCCGCGGGCAAAATGCAAGTGCAAGTGTGAGTATCGTATATCTGTGTGTCTGTGTCTAACAGCTACATACGCTGCGCATGCGCACTGCGCATGGAGTTTGCACTGCTGGAAGTGTTGTCCGTTGTCTGTTGTCCGTTTGTCCGTTGTCCCGCCGCCTGTGGCTGTTGCTGTGTCTGATTCCAGTCTGCCAGACAACCGAAGCAACAACAACAACATCAGCAGAACATCCTGACTCTCCGTCGCAGCTTGCTGTTCACTTGATGGGGCTCAAGTACAGAGCAGCTTTGGGAATTTTTGGTATTATGCTCTTATAACACTGATAAAAAGTAAGGACTTTAGGTATATTGTAATGTACTCCAAAATTATTACACTAGAGAGATTTTGTTAGCATTACTTGTATTTACATAGCACAGATTCCAGCTGTCCTTATGTGTGACTATGTTTATATTTTAGCTCTTATTAATTATTATTTTGTTTACTATTTTTCTTATATCCCCATTTCCTTAAGTCATTGGATTTTTAAGGGAACAAGAGTAATGTCATACAGGCTTTACGAACATCTCGTACTGGTTACTGAAGCCAAAGTTCTTGTTGTTGTTGCTACTGTTACCGTCGAAATGGATGTCATGTGTTGGCCGACGCAGTCGTGGAATTCAATTTTTTTAAAACAACTCTCCGAAAAAACTTGGGAATAAAGTAAGGCAAGATAAAACAGAAGTAAAAGGAAGGGATGCAACTTGTTTGGCGTGGCAGACAAGTCCCAGACATGTTCACATGCCATTAGATGCTGGTGCGGACTTTTCAGTATCTCGTGGATTTTGGCAATTGCACAGGGTTGTCACCTGCGAAGAAGAGTGCCATTACCAGGCAGGTTCATCGACCTGCCACACCCCACAGCCCCACCCACACGAGCACTAATACTTTCTCATTACGCCAAATTCCCTGTAAAGTGGCATGACTCGCCGAAAACCTCGAAGTCTTCTTCCAATGCGAACTGTCCGAATCGATCAGCCTTGATGAGGGTCCAAGTGCACGAGTGAAGTTGGGCAGTGAAGGATGTAAGGGTCCAAAAATCAACCGCCCCTCCCCACAAACAAATCATGGCTAGGCCACTGCATGCAAATATAGGATAACATTTATTAATCAAATGAATGTACCTTAGTACATAATTTCAAATAAAGGCTCAAAAGTCATCAAAAGTTTCATTATAATCCAAAAAAATGTTATATGTTCAGTTAATTTTCAAGCCATTTAAACATTCCAAAAAAATATAAACAGGGATAAAAATATATATTTTAAAATAATTGACAAACCGGAAGGCTAACTTATTGCTTTCAACAATTAATTTTGAATGCACATACTACACATTTTAATATCAGTCTTAGCGAATATTTCAAAGGTAAAATACGAACAAAAATTGTAGCCTTCAAAGACCCTGCCCTCGGATCCGCACTTGCAGCTCCCCAGTTTCTGCACTTATACGTTCCCTGCAATTAAGATTTTAGGGTCCACCACACCCAGCAACCTCTCAAAAAGAAGAATAACTAAGGAGAAGGAGGCTCTCTCATTCGCCGGCCATTGAGGGGAATTCTGCGGTTGGGCTTTTGGGCTTTTGGGGATTGGGTCTGTGGGCTGGATTCGGTGAAATATTTCCGCTGCCGTCGACGGTCCTGCATGTTAAGTGCGCTTTATATTAATTTTATAATTCATAATTGCATCATGTTGCCCACATTTCTGAGCCAAAACGCAATGGAATTTAATTAAGTTAACCCTGCAGGTGCCGACGGTCCTTTGTGTGCAGTTTTCGCCGGTTAGCTGTGTTTTATTTCGAAGGTCCCAGGTACTCGGCTTGAATTCTGATTAGTCACGGCCATCAAAGGGTATAAACTTCTTCGGGATGTACACACATATATTATTTATTGTATAACGCTGCAAAGTTTTCAATAACGAAAATTTTAAGGCCTTTAATGGGAAGTTTAAATCTGAATTTGATTGAAAATCGCATATTACAATTAATCTTAACTTTTAAATTTTTATATAATTTGTAAAGTATTACTATTGCTCATTTAAAGCAGAACACCATTCACTCACACTATTATTTACAATGAAATAATGTTGTAAAATGTGTTTTACTATTTTTGTTTAAATAGGGAGGACATTAGATCTCTGTAAAAGCTCTGTGTAATGGTCTATTAAGGAAACATATTTTTATAGCTATGAAAAACTGACGAATGACCCACATTTATAAAGATTCGTTAGACATGACTAAATTGCTTGGCCAGAGTGGGGCTTTGATCCTGGCCACCCTACGAGTTTATCTTCCTGCCCTTCTTGACGCGACTTTATGGTCAAAATGGAGGCTGCATGTTAGCATAACACTAACCAAGTGGGATGTACATATGGGGGGAAGGGAACAAGGGGCCTGGATGGCCACAGGCATCGCATCCACAATCGCATGCTGAGTCAGATGGGAGTGCTCCTCGTGCACTTGGAGGAGATGGAGGATGGATGGACGTGAACGCTTGCACTTATTAATGCTTAATAAATGGCATTTCATTTCTTATTATTCCCGGACTCGGGACGAAACGTGTTGTAGGATTTTATTGCACTGCCATCGCCGACCGCAGTTGTTGTTTGGTCGTGGTTAATGCGAGTCGATATATTGGCCATGACTAAGGATGCAGATGCACGAAGGGCCCAAGCTCAGGCCCAAGACCAAGCCATTCCATTTCCAGACGGAGTCAGTCAGTCGCTGTGTGCTAAAGTAATTATTTCATTTGAGCCAACAATGAGGCTGCAACTCTGAGTGCCGGCCAAGTTCGTCGAGATGGATGATTGACGAGTGGAAATTAAAGAAGCTGGCGGCTGGAACTGTCCGGTCGCAGTTCCAGTACTAAAACCCGCTGCCCGCTGTCCAATGCGATCCGAGCAGCATCTTTTAACGACCGCGCGTTTCGACTGCGTCCGCTTTTAAAGTACTTGGAATGTAAATGAAGCGGGTGCAACTCCTCCTGCCCACTCCTCTCCCCTCCGACCAGCTCCTTCTGCCCCGTTTCGAGGTCACGGCGGTGGTCGTTGCACCCACGCATGATTTCCCAGACACCCGAATGCTCTCACCTCGATTTTATATGCAAATTATTCATTATCCCTCTGCGCGACATGCCTAAAACTTGAGCGATTTCAATTGATTTTACTTAACGCATTAAGCAGACACCTGGACTTACACTGATTTTGAATAGTTTTATTATCCACCATTTTATAAATATATATATAACATTTAGAATTAAGTTATCAACAAGTATATTATTTATTTATTTATACAAAATACATTTACAGATCTACAAAACCCCAAACAAACCTACAAAATATCTTAAAACCTCGCAAGCAAACAGCATTACAATTTAAATTCATTAGATTCCATATTTGATTTTCAAACTGCCCGCCAAAAGACTATCGGTCTATCGACATGCGCACTAGTCCGCTGGTATTTTTTAAGAAACCAAAGGAGAACCCCTCAAATGCACTAACGCCTGACGCACATGTTCACACTGCAGATAAAGACGACGCCGATTTTGGCAAAAGGCGAATAAAAACATAAAATTAAGGAAAAAAGTTGAATTAAAAGTTGGTGCGAAGTTAGGAAAAGACAAGCGAATTGTCAACGAACAAAAATCACTTATTTCTGAACCACAACACCCGTTAATTGGCCCACAAAATGCAGCAACCAAATGCGGCTTCTGGCGGCGATAATCTGCTTCCATTGCGCGCCTGCAGCACGGCGGGATGCAAAGTGGCCACCGTTGTGGACAAGACCAAGCGCAAGTGCTCACAGTTCGTCTCCTCGCCGTACATAATGTCCAAGCCACTGGTCGTCAATGGGCACACATCGATCTTCCAGGTGGGCGGCGAGATGGCCAAAATGGGCGACATTCCGTCGCTTTCGCAGATGAGCGGCGGCGATGGCGGCCAGCCCATTTATCGCATCAAGCCGGGCACCCATGCCCATGTCATCAACTATGTGCTCATCGACGAGGGATCCGATTCGCTGGAGAAGGCACGATCCGGTGACCAGGAGTCCATGCGTCGCCTGCTGGAATCTCAGCGCGACAGTGCAGTTAGCAAGCTGCAGAAACTCATCGCCAATCACCGCGGTGTGCCGCCCACCACCCTCGTTACCCATTCCTCGCCAGCGCCAGCACGTCCGGTGCCCTCAATCTCAACTCCTGGTGGCACTTCTGTAAGCAGCGGCCATGTAACAACGCCCCAGATCCATCCGGACTTCTCCATTGCCAGCGTCGAGGGAGCCGTTCCATTTGCCCGTGGAGTCCCGGCCTCAGTGGCTAGTCCTTCTGCTCCAGCTCCTTCAGCCGCTCCGCCAGCTGCCAGTGGACTACCGGTCGAATCCGTGGATCGCCTTCAGGCGGAGCTCTTCGAGCTGCGACGTAAGGTGGCCAGTCTGCAGGAGAGCCATCGCCGCTAGATGACCGACTTCCTTTCTTTCTGGAAGTTACTTAAGTTCTACCAAATACGCTTGGGGCAACTAATAGGGCCTTAGATATAATTAATATAAACACCTTAATCATTGTTAATTTAATAAAAATATGTACTTCTTAAACGACCATGTCTGTTCTTGTATCTTTATTTACTTCTCTTATTAATCAATGAAAAGCTCCTCTGAACTGGGGTAAAAAAATTGTGAAAAACACCTTTGCAGCTTTTACTTATTAAAATAAATAAATTACATGCAAATTTCATGACTGATTTATTTTCTCGACAAAGGCGAATGATAGAAATCAATCATTTGAATATAAAAATAATAATTTTCTTTCAATAAGTGGTAAAATCTAAAAAAAATCAAAGTTGTGTGTTAAAAATACCCAATAGATATTGATAAGAATATGAATATAAAAATTATTATTTTTTATTAAGTAATAGCTGTAAGATATTCCATATCTAATCTTCCATAAGGATTAAAATTTAAATTATTACAATCTACTCTTCTAATTTAATATTTCCAAAATAAATACTTCAAATATATTTTTCCAAATCATTTTAAATTAGCTTTGGCATTATATAAACTATCCCCTCTTCCTTTAAACCCTTCCTTTGGCCAAATCGTATCAGTAACGAATCGGATATTAATTTCTGGCAGGCAAACGGGCCAAACATCAAAGCAATGAGCTTCAAGGTGGAAGTGCCGAGCTGCAGGCCTGTCCTGAGGGAAGATATCAGCGGCAGTCAGGCGGTGTGCGGTCGATCCCAGTTTCCGATTCCTGGAAAGGTTTCACGATCCCCAAAGCAATCGAGGGAGGGGGGATAAGACAGGGGGCATAAAATCCAAATGGCCAACTGCGCCAGGGCCAATTCTGCAATGGCGGTTACTCTCGGTTTTAGAGTTAGGGGTTTGGGCAAGTAGTGAAACCATCGCAACCTTTCAAAGTCGCTCATTCGGCTTGCGCTTTCCCCTGCCCCTCGAAAAATCGCCATTTTTCGAAGTAAACATTTTTATGTTGGCTAAAAGTGAAGAGACCGAGTCGCGTCTTAAGGGGCCGTAAATGTGGCATTTTATGTGTCATCAACGGAGGCGGCGGCGGCGCTCTCGATCCGAGCGCGAAAACCTTGCAATCGAACGTAAATTAATTTTTATTGGTTGCAAATGCGGACACTGTCCCGACTCAGCCATCAACTTATCCCGATCCCTGCCACATGAAAGGTGTCCCCATGGATGTCAGTAAATGGGAGGGGATCCAAAAAAGCAACCGAAATTACTCCATCGAGGCAAATCTTCCAAGCAATTTCGTTACACTCATTGACTTCCTTAAAAATTAAATTTACGGATAGCCAATAAAAAAAAATTGTTAAACTTCAATTAAAAAAATTAAATATATAACGTTTCTTTTAACTGTACCCACATCAAAAAAATAAATTAGAATTTATACGGCTAATGAATAAGCGAAAATCAATCATTTAATTAGGTTCTAGTAACTTTAAGTTTTTATATAAATGGGAAATAGCAAGTGATTAAATGTTGCCCCGAAACAAAAGACCAATAAATATAAAATTAAATTGGAACCCATATTACTATATTGATTTCTATAAATGCTTTAACCAAATGATGTATAATTTACCAACATTTATATATTATTAAAAAAGGTAATACTAAAAAAGCTGAACTTTTTAATTAGATTTTTGAAATGTTTAAAGTTTTTGATAGAATATCATAATAGTTTTCCACATTGATATTTACAAAGGAAGAAAACAAAAATCTCTGAGTTAGGACCACCGACTATATCACAGGAATTTTTCAGGGATAAGTAAACATATAAATTTATGTGTGTTTGTATAGGTGGCCAGCAGGTACAGGCGCAACTACTTAGCCGGCGAAGATCAGGACTCAATTGTGGGGACACGGCGGCCGAATCACATTCGATACGCCAGCGAGGCTCCAGAAGAGATCCTCGCCGGGGTTGTATAAAAAGTAACGAATGTGCGCAATAATAAAAATCATTAAAATAAAAATGTTTATGAGAAGGCATAAACACGACTTTATGGGGGGAGCGAAAAGGAGTTCGGGCATGGAGTTGGGGCACTTGATGGCCGAGATGGCTGGACAGAAAGTCACCCGAGGAGTGAGGGCCAGAGGATCCCGGGACGAGAGTGTCAATGGGCAGAAGTACCTGGTGTTTTGTCGGTGGTTGGGAGGGGGAGGGGCGAAGAGTACTCCTCAGACACGAGAGCCAGCCGGCCGGGTTTTTGGGATGCTAACTCATTTTGGCGGCGGCTTCTGCCGAGGAACCTCGGGACCTGGGGCTCCAGCTCGAGGAGCCGAGATCGGGATCAGGGGACTGGCAGGGCGAGGAGCAGGCGCAGGCGCTCGGCTCAAAAATAATTTGCAATTTCTTGGAAATACTCACTTTGCGCTGCCTGCGAGAACTTCGCTGCTGTCGTCGCTGGCGCAGCTTCTCAAGAACCTTTAGTGGATAAAAGGTGGCGGCGGAGAGTGCAAAGGGCACTGAGAGAAAAGGTAGGTAGTTTTTTTTTCTACCTCAATTTCCCAATAAATAAATAAAAAGGTTTTTTCTTTTTATACCATCAGAAAATCTATGAACTTATATGTTAATATGTATATTGCTTTTAACTTAATAAGGGATCTGAAGATATCCTAAATAAAGGTTTCTAACCAATTAATGATCAATTAAATTTTAAGACAGTTTAGTAAAATAAATAATCCTTTTCCTGGACAAATTTCAGAATTTAATCATGTTTGTTTAATTAGATTGAAAATTTTAAAATTTTGTAAGTAATTACAATGCAAGCTCAATATTTTACTGATATTTTGTTGAGTGCTGAAATGGTAAGTCGAGTTGGCCGTAATGAAAATTAAAATACGAAACACTCAGCCAAAGGTCGGGTTCGGTTGGGTTGGTTGGCGAGAGCCAGGAGCCAATGAGCGGTACAGGGTGTCCTCGGTCTGAGGAACCCCCTCCGGAGGCTCCGGCTGGTGAGTCGCTCGGTCGGATTGCTTGTCGTTATCTTGTCATGTCAAAATGGTCTTACGAAAATGTATCTTTTGTATTCCAAGTGCAAATGAGCAGCACAGATACAAAACAACAACAGCGAAGGGGATCGACCACCTACCCCTCTTTCCCTACCCCCCTCCGCCGCCCATGGACACAGTGGTCAGCATTTTGTTTCGCGTCTTTTTCGCTCAACTCGATTTTTATTTGTTTTGCTCACTCGCAATTTTTATGCCTTTATTGTGTTTACTTTTTGCCTTCGCCGCTGTCTTTTGGCCGCAAATGCTTTTAAGACTTTAAGACTTTTTAGTTTGTAGTTGAGCGTACAAATTTGTGGAGGAACAGGATCGAGATCGGGATGGGGATCGGGATCGGATGGGATCGGGAGTATCTGTATGTTTTGCAGTGACGCTCGCTCAGTGGCTGAATGCTGATGCTGATGATGACACAACATGAAAAGGTAAAGCACGCTGAAAAATATTAAATACGCTACGTCGCTGCCTCTTGACAGCGGACGTAAATTTGCTTTTGCCCCTCCACCTTCTTACTTCCCCTCCCACTCCGCGGATTGTTTAATTGCACATGAGATCGGCGGGTCTGGAACTTGGGATTTAAACCTAAACTTGGGACTGGAGCGGAGAAACGGAGAAAGAGCCTCTGAGGATCGCGCGGCAATTAAAATAGAGTGTAAGTTAAGGATGCATAAAACGCTCATCTTTATGAAGCCCTATATTGTCATTCCCACTCCGACTACTCGGATCCCAATCCCAGCTTCCCTGGCCGGGATGTAATAGCCTGATTTGCCTGTGGCAATAATGCAAAGTTGGGTTGCATCGGTTTCATGGAATTCAGATTCACAGATAAGTAGCTGATTGCTCTACCTTTAAGAAAGCTCCTTGGAAAAGTCCCACACTTCCTTTGAAGTTCCTATTATTGTCTGGAAAACAACGATAAAAAATTACAACTATATAAATTAAATATATTTTTAATTTACATTTTAATAAGATGAGAAATACTGTACTATAGTAGTTGTTAGCCAGCTTAAGGTCATAAATAATGTTTATAAAAAAATTAAGTTTAGTTTGTCTGAAATTACACACTTCTTTTCAGTTTTTATATTAGAATATTTTTATAAATTTGTTCTCTTGTTTCAAATATTCATTTTGCCTTGAAAAGGAAATCATTGCCCATATAAACACTCAATTTTCTAATATATCAAAATTCCATTTCCCGCAACTTCTTACTTTTGCATACTCCACTTTCGTGAGATTTAAAGGACAACTTCGCCACTTTTTTCGCATTCAATTTTGAAATGTGTCAAATTTGCGGGCAAATAAATGAAGTTAATTAAGTTTCGCCTGAGCCGCAAACGACCGAATATCCATTGTGCATGTGAAGTCAAAATCAAATCTTGCATATCGCCGCCCCCACACAGACTTGACTTGGCACCAAAACAAATCCCAAAGCTAAACCCAAAAACAAGAAAAAGCATATGTGAACGAGTTTAGAAGGACAACTTGCTCCCATTTCCCACAATTGCCCAATTGTGGTGTGAGAGATACACTGTGAATAAATTAATATCTGTTTAGTAAAAAATATTCTTTTGAATTAGGATAATTCAAAGTTTTAAATTTATTGTGAGCTTACTAAAATGTTTATCTCTCATGAAAAAATATTTTGCTATAGATTTGGTTTTTGTTTTAAATTATCTCTAAAAATTCTATATAGTATCGAATTCTTAAAAGCATTTTTCCCTTTCCATTTTATGAGTGTACTTTTTAACAGGGGATCGTTTCCTGCAAAACGAAGTCAACAAAAAGAGCAAAAGCTCGGTTCTCTGAGGAGAATAACAACTTGCAGGGGCTGTCTGCATCGTTATTCGCCTCTCCCTGTCCTCGTCCTACCGCATTCTAAGTTCTATTGGCACAAAGACCGAGTTTTGCTTTGCGGTTCTTCGCTTTGACTTTTCCCATGTATCCCAGGCGACTGTGCAGAAACAGATACAAATGCAGATACGGATGTATCTGTTAGATACGCTCCGCA